GTAGTAGAATTAGGAGGAGAACCACAGGTCTAGTGTTCTTGTTGGAAAAATGCAGGGGAGAAGCCATGACAGGACATCTCTGATCCCCGGGTAGTGATAGCAGAAAGTTACTCAGTCAGCTGAACAGTCATTGGGGAAGCCTCCTGCTTGGGACCTGCCCTGGGCTGGGGGCTGGCTTGGCCTCAGGTCGGCTGTCAAACTGAAAAGAGGAGGCAGGAACCCTCTGGTTATCTTGATGTTCAAACAATAGTCAGCAGGTAGAGTGAAATAATAAAACATTCATTAAGTGACATTGTGATCTATAAACAAGTTTAATCATCCTATTAAGGTCATAGTTTACCACTAGTATTTTCAGAAGGAAAAAAAAACATTTATTAAGCACCTACTATTTACCAGGCACTGTGCTAAACTCTGGGTATACAAAGAAAGGGGGGGAAATCCCACAATACCTCTTCTCAAGGAACTCAGGTTTTTTTTCCTAGTCATCTTTTATTGTCTTTTAAACATCATTTTTTTTGTAAATAGTATTTTATTCTTTCCAAATACATGTAAAGATAGTTTTCAACATTCATTTTTTAATAAGATTTTGAGTTCCAAATTTTTCTCTCTCCCTTTTCTCCCTCCCCTCTCCCCAAGATAGCAAGCAATCTGGTATAGGTTGTACATGTGCAATCATGCTAAACATATTTCCACATTAGTCATGTTGTAGAAGAAGAAACAGAACAAAAGGGAAAACCCACAGAAAACAAACCAAAAAAATGTGAAAATAGTATGCTTCAATATGCATTCAGACTCCATAGTTTTTTCTCTGAATGTGGACATTTTCCATCATGAGTCTTTTGGAGTTGTCTTAGATCCTTGCATTGCTCAGAAGAGCCAAATCTATCAAAGTTGATCATCGAACAGTGTTGCTGTTACTGTGTACAATGTTTTCCTGGTTCTGCTCACTTCACTCAGCATCAGTTCATGCAAGTCTTTACAGGGTTTTCTGAAATTTGCCTACTCATCATTTCTTACGGAACAATAATATTCCATTACATTCATAAACCACAATTTGTTCAGCCATTCCCCAATTGATGGGCATCCCCTCAACTTTTAATTCTTGGCCACCACAAAAAGGGCTGCTCTAAATATTTTTGTATATATAGGTCCTTTTCCCTTTTTTATGATCTCTTTGGGATACAGATCTAGTACTGGCTATGCTGGATCAAAGAGTATGTTCAGTTTGATTGCGCTTTATATAATAAGAAACTCACACTTTAAAGAGAGAGAACCTAAATATATACATACATATGCATAGATATCCATACATACATATACACATACACACACACACACACACACACACACACACATATATATATATATATACACACACATACACATATGCAGTTAGGTGGATAGAATGCTGGGCTTGGAGTCAGGAAGATACATCTACCTGAATTCAAATGTAGCCTGAGATAATTACTAGCTGTGTGACTCAGGGCAAGTCACTTAACCCTGTTTGCCTCAGTTTCTTCATCTATAAAATGAGCTGAAGAAGGAAATGGCAAACCACTCGAGCATCTCTGCCAAGAAAACCCCAAGTGTGTGTGTGTGGGGGTCACAAAAAGTTGGACACAACTGAAAAATGACCAAATAACATATTTAAGTGATATGAAAGGGGAAAAGGGGTGGGTGGGACAGTGTGCCAGGAAAGGCAGAGGTGGGATTTGATCTGAGGCCTAAAAGAATCCAGGAAACTCACAGAGAGGTGAGCGGGGTGGAACGTTCCTGGGGGGACAGACAAACGATGCAAAGGCACAGACAGAGAAGATGGAAAGTGGAGTTTGGGAACCACGCAAGGCAGAGGACAGAAAGACCAGGAGTTAAATCTTGGGGCCTGGGGGTATTAACCATTCTTGGGGGTGTTGAGCAGGCAAGGGTCTGAAGGGAAAGGCAGAGAGGGTAGAGTTTACCATTTTTCAGCGCTAAGTCAATATCAGCTCCAGATTGGGCCCTGGGGCTATTGAAACAGTTGCAGCTGTGTGATGAAGGCTTGGCAAAGATGTGAGCCTGTGTCCTCATTCATGAAAGAAGGGGCTTGGACCATATAATATCTAAGGTTCGTTTCATTCCTAACAGATAGTTCAACTAAGACCCATCACCAAGCAAGGGAAGATGTACACCTTCTTCAGGGATTTCTCCAAGCTGCCCCCCCCCCAAGAGAAGCAGGTTTCTGCTTAAAAGTGGATGGAAGTCAGGAGGGGCCTCTTCTCCTGAATGACTGAAATGTGATAAACAGCCTGGATTCTGCTCTGAGAATTTCGGCAATCTTGGCTAGAAAAAAAAACAACTATCTCAATCAGGTGTCTCTCTGCCCCATTTGGCCTTCCCCTTAGAGACCAAGTCACCTCTAACTTTGAAAAGGAGAAGCTGTCCCCTGGAATAGGCCTAGCCCAAACTGGTTGTCTGTTTAGGAGTAAACAGAAATGGGTCCCACTTTAAACTGGTCAACAAGCAGGTGCTCTGGGACTAGAAGTGATCACATTCCTCAACCATGCCTTAGTTTGGACTGGGAGAGGTCTCCTTTTGAGTTAGGCTAAGAGAGGGGGTTTTGGCAAAATAGGGAAAAGGATGGATTGCGGAGTAACATTAATTATCTAACGACCCATCATAATGCTCATTTTCCTCAGTACTATGTGCCAAACACCATGCTAAACACTGGAGATGCAAAGGAAGGTGAACGACAGTCCCTGTTCTCAAGGGGCCCACCGTATAACAAGGGAGACAGTGTGTGAACTGTTATGTACAAACAGGATCTATACAGTGTAAAATGGAGATAAGCAGCAGAGGGAAAACATCAGTACAGGAAAAGCTTCCTGTAGAAAGCAAGATTTTATTTGGAACCTGAAGGAAGTCAAGGAAATGGAGGGATAGAGATGAGACAGAGAGGGTTTCAGGCATGGAGAGCAGCCAGTTTGAGGGCAGAGACTGTCTTTTGCCTCTTTTTGTATCCCAGCACTTAGCACTGTTTATTGGTTGCGTGAGTCTGGAGATGGAGTGTCCTATGTAAGGAATAGCAAGGAGGTCAATGTTTCTAGGTCCAAAAGTACTTGGGGTGGGAGAAGAAGATTAAAAAGTTGTAAGAAGATTGGAAAGATAGAAAGGGTACAGATTGTGAAAGGCTTTGAATGCTAAACAGAAGATTTTGGTTTTGATTTTATATTTGAATTGCAAACCCATGGGACTAGGTACAAGTAACTTTTCCATAGGCTTCATAGACAGAGAAACTCATTCATGAAGAGACAGGTACACTCAACTCTTAAGCAGGCCTTGATGGTGGGATCTGACTGGTATGTTACCAAGATCCATTCTCCTGAAATACCCCCTCCAACCTGGTGACACAATGCCTGAAAGTCTCTTATTTGAGAAAGGTACTTTCTTTTGAGTTAAGTAGGGTTTTTATGTTTATTGTTGTTCAGTCATTTTCAGTTGTGTTGGACTCTTTGTGACTACATTTAGGGTTTTCTTGGCAAAGGCAGTGGAGTAGTTTCCCATTTCCTTCTCCAGCTCATTTTCCAGACAAAGAAATGGAGGCAAATTGGGTTAAATGCCGAGGGTTACATAGCTGGGTTAGAACTCAGGTCTTCCTGACACCAGGCCTGAAATTCTATCCACTTCACCATCTATCTGCCCTGAGTTAAGTATTATCCCTGCCTATAATTTCTCTCTCTCTCTCTCTCTCTCTCTCTCTCTCTCTCTCTCTCTCTCTCTCTCTCTCTCTCTCTCTCTCTCTCTCTCTCTCTCTCTCTTTTTTTTGGATGAGACTTGTGATTTCATTGGTATATCAAACCCCCAAAGAGGAAATTGCCTTTACCGATGTGGATTAGTACTTGCTGCTCCTAGGCTCAGACTTGGAGCAAGGCTTCTTAACCTTGTTCGTGTCTTTGGCAATCTGGTGAAGCCTATGGATTCCTTTTCAGAATAATGGGTTTTTTTACTCATAACTGAAGGAAAAACTAACTTTCAGTTAGAAGTTAGTGAAAATAAAGATTTTTTTCCCTTAACCAAGTTCATGGACCCTCTGAAAGCTATGTGTAGACCCCTAGGGTAAGAACCTTAGAAAGTTACATGAGACTCTAGGAGGGTAAATGATTAAACAAACAGCCAACATCTGTTAGAGACAGGACTTGAACTCAGGTCTTTTCGACATAAAGGCAGCTCTCATCTACATCACATTGGCTTTCTCTGTAATTTTCTTTTAAAGTTCATTTATTCTGGGACTGCTAGATGGTGTAGTAGATAAAAGCTGGAGTCAAAAGGACCCAAATTCAGACCCAGCCTCAGACTCTTACTAGCAGTGTGACCCTGGGCAAGTCAATTAAACCCAATAGCCTCCGAAAAGAAGCTCACTTATTCCTAGAGTATGGGCTGTAATTTGAAGGTCAGCATGGATAAGTTCTGAGAAGCTTATCAACAGATTAAAAATATTTTTGCCCATGGCATTTCATGAAACCATTGACTAGAGATATGATCTAGGGTATATTGGTGGACTGGCTATTGGTACAGTGTCACTGCATTGAAAATGTGTGTGTGTAAGAAAGAAGCACTGTGTAGAGAAGGGGAGGGCAATGAATAAGTTTAGCTTGCATCACAATTTAGCTAATGTGGATCCTGCTCTGCAGAGCTGAACAAAAACATTGCTTTTTTTTCTTTTTAATAGTCTGCTGATGAAGTCTTTGGCAGGTTGTGTACCTTTCCTGTTTGTACAGATGTACAATGTGGGCAGGGACCTTGTTATTTTGTCATCCCTGCAATTCCCTCAGTACTTAGTACATGTTTGATAAATGAATGAATGAATGCATGCATGCATGAATGAATGAATGAATGCAGGTGAAAGCAAGGGCCCTGCTTCCCCAGTTACTCAGAAGACAAAGGAGGGAACATTTGTAAAATCTTTTCATCTTCATGGCTGTAAGACAGAAATAATATCCCAGACACAGTCTCATCCAATACAGGTCCAGATGTCAACAACACAGACAAGTTAGTGGAAATCAACAGCACAGAAACAACAACAGTGACCCCAGGAGGACCGACCACCTCAGAGAGAATCTTTGGGAGTACTCGACTCTATGAGAATTCAGCCGTCACCTACACTTCCTCGAAATCCAAAACATCTCTAGCTTCTGAGACCTTGGCACCAGCCGGAACTGCCTACAAAGCTGAGACTAAGATAGCCGAGTCTTTTTCCCCAGTGGAGACACTCATGATAACGGATGCCCTGGATAAAATGGAGACTACAACACTACTGGAGAGCACTAACCCCACCACTGCCTCTGTTACAGTCATCTCAGAATCAGGGACAGCCATAGACAAGACCCGCAGCCAGGCTAAAACTTTGACAATAGCCTCTTCTACTACAGAAGCAGAGGTAGACACAACGGAATCTCTTGCCTCAGCTGAAACTTGGCGTAGGATGAGCATCTTCTGCAAAGTAGTCTGGAAATCATTAATAGAGCCACCCCTGCTTCCTCTTCCACCCCCCACCAAAAGCATGGAAAACATAGACATCATCCCAAAGAACACCATGACTACTTACAGTCTGTGACAGACTACCCCTGGACTTCTCCTTTGAACAGTAGCATCCCAGAAAACTATGAAACCGGCATCAAAACTTCCATTTTCACTGAGGCCATGACCACAACTGACACTTCCACAGAATCAGAGATCTCAAACCCTTTTAGGACCATTATCCTTGAGGAGACCTCTGGAATAATGATACCACCAGGAAAAGAGACTGTCATTGTAGAAGAAATATTACCCTTTACACTCCTGGATGAGTTCACTGAGATAGTAGATACAGCCGGCAACACCTTAGAAAGAGAAGGGACCCCAATCAAGACCACAACCCTCCCTGGGACTTTGACTACAGCCAGTCCTATTACAGAAGCCACCATGCTGACAAGCAACCTCATTGATACCTTCCCTATAGCTGACAGCACCCAAGAAATAAAGACCACCACTGCTGTAGCCTTGTCCATGGCCTATACCAATACAGAAGCAGAGACTACTAGCCCTGAGATAGACACCTCTGCTGAGCCTTTAGATGTAGCTGGCAATAACTTACAGCCAAAGACCATAGGTGAAAAAACAACCTTAACTGGTGACATCACAGAAACAATTGGGACTAGAGCTAAGACCACCATTTTTTCTGGGTCCTCAATGACAATCGACAGCTCTACAGAAGAAGGGACTTCAGTCTTCTTAAAGACTGATTTCTTTTCTGAAACATCAGCTTCATCTTCCTCAGCTGAAGATGAGTTGAGCTCAGCTGTTGAGACCTTGACAACAACCAACACCATCACCATGGCAGTGTCAACCACAGCTGAAACTCCTAATGCAGCTGAGACCCTTGGTACCACAGGTCACACTGTAGAAACTACAGGCGAAATGGCAACAGACACCTTGAATACAATTTACATTCCCACCACGGAAGAAGCCACAGCTCCGACTGAGACAGCTGTCTTCCCTGAGGTCCCAAGTACAGTTATGATCTCCAAGTTCACTACCCCTGGTGAGTTTTCAGACAAAGTCTATACCACCACCGAAGGGACAACAGCCCCAGGTAAGACCTCTACGTCCTGAGACCTCTGCCACAGTTAGTACAAAATATCACATTCCCTTTGACTAATAGCTCTCTTCTCTCTATGTCCTCAACTGCACCCAACACCATCATAGGAATAAATTCCTCCGGAGACAAGACTTTAACCTCAGGCAAGACCCCAGCAATAGTCTCAACAATAGGAAAGCATACTGTCACTGCCCTGATGAACCAAAACACCAATGCTAATTCCCGTGAGTACTAATCCTAACTTAATAGAGGACTAATTAAGGTTCTGCAGTTAGCCCAAGGTTACTCTATGAGTCAGTAGAAAAACCAAGGTTTCTGAACCTTGAACTCAAGACTATGACAAAAGTTTACATAAAAGGCACAGTCCTTGGCCTCTAGAAGTCCGTGATTTAACTAGAGTTAATGCAGAAGAGGTTAGGATAGGTGACAGAAAGTGGTTCAAACTCCTGTAAAAGTCATGCTTTTGAAGACCCATGAAAAAGCCTTCCTAGGAACATGGTGAGGGCAATCCTGGGGTTGGTGGGTTGGAAAGGGCAAATATGGAGGGGTGTTTTGGAATCAAATCACCTCTGTAGAGCCCATAAAACATGCTACTGTAGATTACAAACAACCCTGAATAAAAACAAGAGTTTGAAGGGCTGTCTGCCACGTGGAAGAGGGTTAGATTTGTACTGCCAGGCCATAGAGGGTAGAACAATGCAGGGGCAATGGGTGGAGGATGGAGAGAGGTAGATTAAGACTTCATGTCAGGAAAAACTTCCTAACAATTAGAGGTATCCAGAAGTAGAAGTGACTTTCTTTGGCTACAGTCAATTGCCTATTCCTCAAGCAGAGTATGGATGGCCACTTGACGGGGATGTGTAGAGGGTATGTGGTTTAAGTTTGCAATAGACTGAGGCCTATTTAAGCCTTGAGATGCTATAATTCTTTTTTTTTTTTTTGGCTAGGCTATGGGGTTAAGTGACTTGCCTAAGGTCACACAGCTAATAAATGTTATGTGTCTGAGGTCGGATTTGAACTCAGGTCTTCCAGTACTCTATCCACTGCGCCACCTAGCTGCCCCAAGATGCTGCAATTCTCAGCAACGCCTCTGGCTAGTAGTCCTCTCACCTCTACTGAAGATTCATTCTGAGCCTCTTAGAAAAAGGGGGTGGGGGAGGGAAGAGAAAAGAAAAGAAGAGAAGAGAAAGAGACAGGGAGAGTAAGAAGGGGAGAGGAAAGAAGGGAATAAGGAAGACAGAAGAAAAAGGGAAAGAGGGAAGAAGGTAGAGAGAACAGAGAGAGAAAGAAGAAGGGAGGAGGGATGAGAGGAATAAGAAAAGAGAGGGAGAAAGAGAGAAGGAGAAAGGAGAGAGGGAATGGGAGGGAGAAGAAGAGAAGGGAAAGGTAAAGGAGAGAGAAGGAGAGGGGGAAAGAGGAAAGAGAGGAGAGGAGAGAGGAAAGGAAAGAGAGAGGAAGAAATGAAGAGAAATGAAAGAGAGAAAAAGAGAGAGAAGAGAAGGAAAGAAAGGAAGAGGAAGAGAAGGGAGAGAAAAAGGAGAAAGAGAAAAAGAGAGGAGAGAAATAGAGGGGAAGAGAGAAAAGAGAAAAAGAGAAGAGAGGGAAAGGGAGAGGGAGAGGGAGGAAGAGAATAAAGAAGAGATAAAGGAAGCAGAGAGACAGAAACAAAGAAATAGGTGAGAGAAAGAGGGAATAGAAAAGGTGGAAAGTAGGCAAAGGGAGAGATCCTATATTCTTTTTTTTTTTTTTGGTGAGGCAATTGGGGTTAAGTGACTTGCCTAGGGTCACACAGCTAGTGTTAAGTGTCTGAGGACAGATTTGAACTCAGGTCCTCCTGACTTGAGGGCTGGTGCTCTATCTACTGTACCACCTAGATGCCCCGAGATCTTATATTCTAAGCTAATTAAGTAGTTTTCTATTGTATGTTTTGGGGATTACTCAAGCATTCTTTGCAGGTTAGAATTTATAATCAGGACTTGACTATACTTTTCATTTTTCTATTGTCTGTAATTTACAGGTCACGATGGAGGCTTTCTCCTCCTTCGGCTGATTGTGTCCTCCTCCCTGGACCTCACTGATCATAAGGTGGCAAAGGAGCTCCTGCATAAGGTGACAGGGACATCCCCAGGCAGGTGGTGGGGGTAGGGGAGTAGAGACAGAGAGGCTCTTAGGGGCTTCGAGCTAAGACCTGGAAGGGACAAGAGAAGAAACTTTGAATGGCACCTGGGTCCTCAATGCAGGACAGAGAGCTGCAGTCAGAAACTCTTAGCTCTGGGAAGTAGAGCTTTTCCCCAGGCCTGAGCTTATCCTTGGAGGAAGTGGGGCCCTGGAAATGCTATGATTATGAGGAAGCCAAGGAGTCCCAGACTGTGAAATGGGAGACAGGTAGGTGGTTACATGTAAAAGAAGCACCTTAAACATATTGACCCCTAAGTATTTATTGACAGTAATATTTCTAGTACAGAGTCAGTTCCTGTGAATTCCACTGTAAACACACCTATACACACCTATATTAAACAACATATGAGTGGTCTAAAATAATATATACGTAATTCAATTCAGTTCAGCAAACGTTAAAAAAAACCACTTCAATTTTACTTTTTTTTCAGGTTTGTATTCTCTTCCTCCCACCCCCCCAGCCTCCAACATTGAGAAAGCAAGAAAAACTAAGCCTCTGTTAAAAACATGTATAGTCAACCAAAACAAATTCCCATTGGCAATGTAAAAAAATATTCCATTTGTGTTCTGAGTCCATCACCTCTTTCTCAGGAGGTGAGTTGCCTATTTAATCATGAGTCTTCTGGAATGGGGGTTGGTCATTGTGTTGATCAGAGTTCCCAAGTCTTCCAAGTTATTCATCTTGACAATATTTCAACAAACATTAATTTTTTATTTTTTAAAATAATTAATTTATTTTAGTTTTCAACATTCACTTCCATAAGATTTTGAGTTTTAAATTTTCTTCCCCTCCCAAGACAGCATGCAATCTGATATAGGCTCTACTTATACATTCATGTTAAGCATATTTGCACATTAGTCATGATGTGAAGAACAATTAGAACTAATGAGAGGAACCATGAGAATGAAGCAATAAAACAAAACAATAAAGGAAAAGGAGAGCAAATAGGATGCTCCATCTGCATTCAGACTCCATAGTTCTTTCTCTGGATGTGGATAGCATTTTCCAATGTGAGTCTTTTCAACAAAGCACTTTTTAAATTTATTAAGTGCTTGCTAGGCAGCTACCTAGCTGCCTGGCACAGTGGGTAGAGTTTTACACTCAACCGTGAATAAAAACAAGAATGTGAAGGGCTGTCTGCCATGTAGAAGAAGGTTAGATCTGTTCTGCCTGGCCCTACAGGGAAGAACAATGCAGGGGCAATGGGTGGAGAGTACAGAGAGGTAGATTAAGGCTTCATGTCAGGAAAAACTTCTTAACAATTAGAGGTATCCAGAAACAGAAGAGGCTCTCTCTGGCCACAGTCAGTTCCCCATTCTTCAGTGAAGTCAGGCAGACTTGACATTCACACGCCTCTGTGTGACCCTGGGCTAGTCATTTGACCTCTGTTTGCCTCAGTTTCTTCATTTGTAAAATGGAGATAATAATAGCACCTACCTCCCAAGGTTGATGTATAAATAAAATGAGAAAATATTGGTAAAGCCCCTTGTACATAGTACTTAATAAATGCTTGTTTCGACCTTTCTACTGATGTTCCAGGCTTTATGATAGAAAGACAAAACAGCAACTGTCCTCAAGGGACTTGGAGAACACAATATGAGCACAAAGAAATGCAAAATACGTGTAAAACAAAATAAAATAATTTCAAGAAATAGAGAACACTGACTCCTGGGAGGGATCAGGAAAGGCTTGGTAGTAAGTAATTTAAGAACTATAGTCTACAGGGAGCTAGGGGCTCTGAGTGGTGAGTGTAAGGAGGAAATGTATTGTCCTTTTGAGAAAGGTTATAGTTAAAGATCACTTGGGATAATCAGTCAATAATAATAACATAATCTCTTACATGTGCAGAGTATTATATAGTTTGCAAAGCACTTTAGGTATATGTCTCAAAAATAATAACAAGCATTATTAACCTCAGTACAGAGCTGGGGAAATTGAAGCCCTGAGAAGTGAAATGATTGGCTCATACTCATAAAATGAATGTAATGGCAGAGTCAGCACTAGGTGGCTCAGTGTATAGAGGATGGGACTTGGAGTCAGAAGGACCTGCGTTCAGATCCTACCTCAGGCACTTCCTAGATGTATAACCTTGAACAAGTCATTTAACCTTTGTCTGCCTCAGGTTTTAGAGGCAATTGGTGGTGTAGCGGATGGAGAGCTAGAGCTGGAGTCAGGAAGACCTGAATTCAAATCCAGCCTTCAGATACACTCGCTGCGTGACCCTGGGCAAGCCTTAACTTCTGTTTGCCTCAGTTTTCTTTACTATAAAAGGGGGATAATAAGAACATCTACCTCCCAGGGTTGCTGTGAGGATCAGATGAGATAATGTTTGTAAAGGATGCTTAACATAGTGCCTGTCACATAATAGATGCCATATAAATGCTTGCATTTATCATTCCCCTCCCCTCTCCCACTGAACCTTCTAGTACAGGGCTCTTTCCCACCATAACACATTTCCTCAAGGTGTGCTAAGAAGCTCCTGGGAGGAAATTTCATATCTGTTGGGTAGTTAGTCCTCAGGGGACCTTGGTTTGTTGTTGTTGTCTCTACGAGGTCCAATTTCCCATTCTGTGCTGTAGAGAGAGTATCCTCTTGCTTTGGTCCCAGTAAGCAATGCAATGGCCCAACTGGAACTGGGTACAAGAAGAAGGGAATAAACCAAAATTAAGGTCACCATGTCTCTCACCCCCATGGGACTCAAGGGGACTTTACAGGTGGTTTCCTAGGAACCAACACTGGGCAGCATTGGCTTAGTAGTCTGGAAAAAATTGCCATCAATTCAGACCATTGGGTGGGTCAAGCTCTCGGTAGCAAAACTTGAGACAAAGTTTCTTTTTTTTTCTTTTTTTCTTTTAATTTTAATTTTTTAAAGTTTTTTTCCATATGCTTTTGAGTTGAAAATTTTTCTCTCTTTTTCTCCCCCCCCACCTTCCCCAAGATGGCGCAAAATCTGACATAGGCTTTACATTTACATACCCGTTAAACATATTTTCACATTAGTGAAGTTGTAAGTAAAAATTAAAACCAATAGGAGGAACCATCATAAAGGTGAAACAAAACTCGACAGAAGGTAAAAATAAGTGAGAGCGATTCGACTTCCATAGTTCTTTCTTTGGATGTGGACTGCATTTTCCATCCCGAGGCCTCTGGAGATGCTTTAGATCCTCGTAATGCTGAGAAGGGTTCAGTTTAACATTCTTAGTCATTGCATAATGTGGCTGCTATTGTGTACAAAGTCCTCTTGGTTCTGCTCACTTCACTCGTCATCAGACCATATAAGTCTTTCCAGGTTTTTCTGAAGTCAGCCTGTTCGTCATTTCTTATAGCACAATAGTATTCCATTACATTCGTATACCACAACTTGCTCAGCCATTCCCCAATTGATGGGCATCCTCTCAATTTCCAATTCTTTGCCACCAGAAAAAGAGCTGCTATAAATATTTTTATACATGTAAGTCCTTCTCTCATTTGTATGATCTCTTTGGGATATAGCCCTAGAAGTGCTATTGCTCGATCAAAGGGTATGCACATTTTTGTAGCTCTTTGGGCATAGTTCCAAATTGTTCTCCAACATGGTTGGATCACTTCACAACTCCACCAACAATGTATTAGCGTTTCAATTTTCCCACATCCTCTCCAACATTTATCATTTTCCTGTTTTTGAGACAAGGTTTCAAGGGATTGATGTGATTCCCCATGATGTCATAAAGGGGAAGTTCAGAGGCAAATTTGATTGGCTCAGTCTCTAACTCAAAGCATTGGGAAGGTAGTACATAGTGGAAGGTACCTCTTCTCAAGGTGACTTCGTAGGTTGGATGGGTAAATAATTGATTTTTTATCCTCCGCAGCTTCATCAGGATCTGCAGGTACAAGTCCCCTACACCCAAATCTCTTTGATGAAGGTCACCAAGTATTGAAGAGTTTTTATTAGCAGCCTGGAGAGTGACTTCAGTAAAGAGAAGATAATGCTGCTAATAATCTACGTCTCCACAAGCAGGATTGCAGGCCACATTGCTGGGCAAAGGTGTTCGTGGAAGGTCCTAACAGAAGCCATCCTCTTTAACCCCCACCTCTGCATAGAACAGCACAGCTGTTGCCCCATACAGCTGGGGGACTTACCCTGGGGGTCCTGGGCAGAAGACCAAAGATACTTCCTTGAGCACATATATGAGCATTTTAATAAAGGGCTATTTTTCCCCCAGTCTGCATTCTGTTATGATTCTATTACTATGGTGACACTGGGTGTATTTGGCCCATATAGAGTTCTTTGAAATTAGGATTCAGGTACTTTGTAGTTCTGGGCATGTATAGCTTTATTCCCTCTCTCAAAGAGATCCTCTAGATTCGGTTCAATTTAATTCAACAAGCATTAAGCATCTACTGTGTGCAGAGTATTGTACTACTTGCTTGAGAAAATACAAAGCTTACCTGTCCTCATGAAATTTACGCTAAGTAAAAATTCTTATTCTCATATCCATTTCTTAATATATATGTATATGTATATATGTATGTGTGTGTGTGTATATGTATACACACACACACACACAAACACACATTTATTTATTTATTTTAAAGTTGGAATGGTGTTATCTATATAGTCTAGTAGAAAGAGCCCTGAATCAGAGTCTTTGGTGCCAGTCCTGGTTCTTGATGTGACCATGGACAAGTTTTTAACTTCTCTGCTTGCCAGTTTCCTCATTTGTAGGGTGAGACAATCAGATTTAAAGATAGGCTCATAGGAGCTTAGAACTGGGAGCCTGCATTTACATAGTGTTGTAAGGTTTGCAAAGTACCTTACATATGTGTAGACGGGTAGCTACAGCCTGGGAATGTGACCTATGATTTCACAGAGAATGTAAGCTACCTTGAGTCAACGTCAGCAGCAAAAGAAGCGCCAGCTATCCTATGGGAGAAACTGCACGTGACCCAGGGCCATCCCTGGCACCATACCTTCATTTGTTCTCTTTCTATATGATACCTGGCCTAGCCTGGGGTTGGTGCAAGGGGACCATCTTACTTTGTCCTGCTATTGTCCAGGATGATTGGCCTCTTGTGAGTAAAGCTCCCCAATTAACCCTAATAAAACCTATTAATAACAAAGCTGGCATGGGCCCTTTTTCTTCAGTATCTTGGTACTCTTTCAGAGGGTGTGCCACCCTACAATGGGCATAATTAGGGCAGAACAGATCTGCCCCCTTACAATCTGATTTAATCCTCACAACCAGCTGAGGCATGTTATTATCCCAAATCTGTAGGGTCAAAGAGGTTGTGATATCAGTATCACATAGGGTCACACAGCTAGTAGATGTCAGAGAATGGATTTGAACCATATGAAGAAGTAACCTTTAAGGTCCCTTCAAGTTTTAAATCATGATTCTATGATCTCTGTAAAATAGATAAGGTGAGTTCATTCATACCCTTTAGAATGAGGGGATGGGACTAAATGATCTCTGAGGTCCCTTCCAGGTATAAATTATACATACGTAAGTACATACATACATACATACATATACATGCACACACACACACACAGAGTATTTACTGAGCATTTACCAAGTATGAGATGTTATATAGTAGGCACTGTGAATAGAACACACACTCACACACATACATGTAAACACACACACAAAAACATGGTTACAAAGACATGGTTACTGTCTTCTTATATGTAAAGAGTATAACCAGAATAACTTAGTCAACTTAAAGTTAAAGCCTTCATATTCTGAAGATATTTCCCAATACAAAGTGTGAATACCCCACGAACACCACCAGTGTTTTGGATCTTGGCATTTGGGGTGATTGGAGTAATTCCATGGCTTGTGTGGATTGGAACCATACCCCTGAACTTGGTCTTGGAAAGGGAGCAGAAACAGGACTCAAAGGAGACATTAATTTCTGCATGGGCAGAGACTAGAACTGAGAGAGCAAGATTACGCACAGAGAGAATGAACTTGAGTCCATGGCAGGAACAGGGGACAGAGAGGGTATCAAACTTAGGGAATCTCTTGACTCTGGCACGTAGGAGGCCTGACACATAGTAGGCACATGATAAATGCTTATTGACTGACTGACCCCAGAGATAGCTGCTATTGAAAGGCATTGACAGAAGGGCCAAGAAGTTCCCAGAGAAGGGATTATGACCATCCTAGGAGAGGAAGGAATCACATGGCCTGAAACACAGCCATAGGAGGGGCAGTGGTGGAAGGTGGAGAAGGGCAGGAATTCCCAGATTCTGGCTTTTAGAGAGAAAACAACCATACAGGAGCTGGAGCCCAGGAGGAGTGAGGCATAGAACTATAATGTGGAGAAGCAAGCCTAGACCTTGTCCTCTATTAGTTCTGTGAATTAGAAAGGAGTGAGTGTCTAGAAAACTAGTTTCTTCCTTTTTCATTGGAGCTTCAACTGCAAGAGAGCATTATATGTCTAAAGGATAGTTAGTTCCTGCCCTCTGCGATTATCTTCCGTGTGTGTGTGTGTGTGTGTGTGTGTGTGTGTGTGTGCGTGCGTGTGTGTGTGTTATTTTACATATTTTCACTCCCATTAGAACATAAGTTTCTTGACAGGCAGAACATTTTTTTTCCCTTTCATCGAGTTCCCAGTGCTTAGCACAGTGCCTTTTGTACAAAGTAAGTGTTAATAAACCTTTTTGACTTGACTATATAAATTCTTGGGGAAGTGGGGTTCACTCTGATTCTCTATCAACCCCAATTGTTTTGGAAAAGCTTCAACCAGGGGGAGTACTATTTATCTGGAGGACTGGTTTAGATCCCTGGGTAGGGGGAGGTAGGGCCAATTGAAGAGGGAAGAAGAGTCATTTTGACTGTTTGAGGGTGTAAGTGTAAGTCCTCCACGTTTTGAATTATTTTTGGGGAGTCCAAGGCTTTCTGCTGCACCAAGAGAGTTATATACAACAGGGTAGAGAGTAAAAAAAGTCTCCAAGACCAGAACTCACCCTAAGCATAGCCAGGGTATTTAAGTGGGAGAGGCAACACAACCATTGCTGGTGCATTTGGGGACATCTCTAACAATACTGTAGATGCAGAATGTTCAAATGATAGGAGAAAGAGGAGGGATGGAATTTTGCTGTGGCAAGGTAGTATGGCTGTGGTAAGTTGGGGCCCTAGGTGTATTGTTTTCTTTGTGTCTGCGTGTCCTGCTGGTGTGCCTGTTCCTGGAGGGGAGTAAAGGAGTGTGTGTTCTGTATGTCTCTGTAAGAGGGCCTCGGGTACCTTCAGTCATGTTTGAGGACCAGGCATGGACAGCCTTAGGGAGTGTGATAAGCATCTGCTTTCAAGTTCAGTGGAAGCATCTTCTTTGTCCACTCTTGTCCTCTGAAGAATTGCATTTAATGGTACTATCTGTATTTGATCAAGTGACTTATTTATATAAAACTCACCTGGGATTGGGTGAAGAAGGCAATAGTTAAAGGAATGGTGTTTCATTAATCCAATTTAATTAATTCATTAAATTAATTCAAATTAATCCAATGTGAACATTTATAGGTTTAGACTGAGTTCTGAGCAATATTTCTGAGCAACAAACGCTGAAGACTGAAATACACAATGCTTAGTATTATGCTCAAGCACTATAACAAAATTAACATGATAAATATTTAAAAACATACATGGTAATTATTATGCTATTGGGAAATTAGGCATACATGTTAAACAGTTCATATAAATGACTATAATTAGTATCTTTTTTTTGTACAACCAAACTACATTTTAGTCTCTTCTCTCACTTTCTTTATTCTCTAGTATCTGTCATCAGTCTTGATTAGAACAATTCTCCCTAATACTTTGTGCAGCTCAATCTTCTCACACACACACACACACACACACACACACACACACACACACACACACACACACATAGAAGCATAAGCTCTGGACCTAACTGTTTAATTTCCTGAGTTCCCTACTTCCATAAGCCCTCTTGCCCACCTCATGCCAAGGATGAAGCCCTTTTTACTGCAATGTACTGCTCACCAGCCACTGAAGCACGTATTCCTCTGCTTCATACTATCTCCTTCTTGTCATAACCCTTGATCTAAGATGTACTACAAAACTGTGGATGACCTTCCCAAAAGTCAACAGCATGGTCATTACACTTAGAGTAGGGTTATGGGAAACCCAGGTCAGTCTGGGAGCAGTGACACTGGGGAAGGGAAAGGACATTTTCTTGGGTCCTATATTCTTAACATCTGAAAGACTTGGAGATAGGGAAAAATGGGACCTGTGCTCAGGCAGAAAAGGCTCCAGGTCCGAGGGCTGCAGAAGGAATAGTTCATTGATGATGAACTATACTTCTTTAAGTTCTAAAATATAGCCCTAAGACAATTGTGGTTAGGTTCATCCAGGGACATAAAGTGTTACTGGGGGCAAAGTGAACTGTGTGGGGGGAAGAGAGAGCTCTTGATGTTAGATTCTTTCCTATTTTGATAAGGTAAGAGGCTAAAGAGGAGAGGAGAACTTTGAATATCTGAAATGGGAAGTAGAGGTCAATAAAAAAGGAAGAAAATGAGAAGCCAGAGATGCAGAAGACAAACACCTAAGATTTCACATTTTTGTCCATCTGTTTGTCCTTTGACTCTACAGATCAATCTTTACCTTCAACTAGGTAGGAGCTATATTGAAGCTACTCAGGAGCATTTTACTCATTGACTAAAATAGATTCTCTACTTCCCATAACATTTGGCAGTGAAAAAAAAAACTTTGTTATAAAAGAGCTTTATTTCTAGAGTATTCCTTAATTGAGCTATTACTGTACAAGACATAGTCTCTGCCCTCCAGCAGTGGGTATCAAGCTGGGGAGAGAAGATATAGTTACATTTTAAAAAACAGTATTAAACGTTAGAGAAAAGTGCCAAATTAATTGTAGAGACAGTAAGTGCTATGGGAATTCAGGTATTACAATTCGGAAAGGTGGTCGTAACATTCTCCATGAAGAAGGTAAGATTTATGTTGGGTTTCAAAGGATGAATTTTAATAGGTGGTATGAAAAAGTGAGGCCATTGTATGGTGTGTGTGTGTGTGTGTGTGTGTGTGGTGTTTATTTGAGGGAAAGAAATCAGAAATAGGAAAGTACAATGTGTGTTTGGAGGACAATGAATAGACCCATTTGATTGAGCAGAGAGTTCATATAAAAGAGATAGATAAGGTGGTAAGTAATGCCTTGAGTTCCAATCCATGAACAAAGACGGAGTCAGCAGACTGTTTTGAGCAGAAGAGTGACATTATATATTGCAATGTTTTGGTAGATTGATAGTATGTTGCTGCCTGTTCACAACCATGTTGACTTTTTTCATAGCCTTTTATGTTACTCATGGTATTTCGTTGCATAATACCAACAAGGACTTGCATGCTATAAGAGATGAAAAAGCATCATCAAGGACATGTATGAGTAAGAAGGAAGTAGGATAGGCCCACTTCCAATGGATAGCCCAAGTGTTGAACTGCGTCCAAGAAATAAGAGAAGCAAAGGAAGGCCTCTACTACACTGGATGAATCCTCCATGGAGCATTTATGGAAATACTTGGATAAGAATCAGATTCTATTTAGTTTTTTTAATTATGGGCTTAAAAACAACCAAATAAAATGAGCATTTACACATATACTACAGAACAGAGGGGATTGTTCATGAAACTGTCTCTATTCTGTAGATTGCTTTCATATGACTTTCATATAACATATAACTTTCTTTTTCATCTTTTTTAAATTTAGGTGTTTTTTTTTAACATATGATTTTCAAAGCTGTCCTGCTTGTCAATGATTCCTTCTGTTCTCTTCTCATTTTGGGGGTGGGGAACCATATCCTTATCTCTTTGTCATCTCCCCCTTTCCTATTGCAAAAAAAGAGGAAAAACAAAACTTTTGTAACAAATATGCCTAGTCAAAGAGAACAAATTTTCAGTTGGTCATTTGGATAAGAGTCACACACAAACAACAATATAGGACCAATATAATCCACATACCTCTCTACCACCTCACCTTAGCCCCCAAAACTGGATTAGCTCAAATTTATCGTGTAACCATACTCCGTTCCTCTGACTAACATGATTTCACATTAACGTCATTGATATATTATAACTAACTCCCACCATAAAATTATGAAAACCTGCTGCAATATCATTTAGCCAGTCATCTATTTATAATGTGGAACTAACAGCCCACTGCAACATTGTTTTTCTGCCACTAATGAACATTAGGCAGTTATACTTCATTACTTTTCCTTCCCCTCATCTGCCTTAGCCATGACCTTCACCATTTCTTGGTCATATAACCACAATCTACCTCAACTTGTTCCTGGATCTGGGACTCACCAGCATCAAACATAATCAAATAATCTTTATGAAGTTCTCATCCATGACTGTTACTGGTTTGGACACTTGCAAAAAAGATGAATGGTCATGCTCCTTGAAATTTAAAGAGCTTTAAGATGAGTTAAAAGAATCACAGGGAATGGACTAGTGAAAACTCTGGAAACTGGAAACAGAATAGAAATAAGCATCTACATTTGTGTGTGTGTGTGTGTGTGTGTGTGTGTGTGTGTGTGTGTGTGTGTGTGTGAATCCTTTTATCAAACGAGTGATCCTGGGGAATGAGGGAAATCCAGGGATAGACCCTGGAACAGTTCAGCCAGGGATGACTTAAGTAGGTGCTTGTCTGGGCAAAAGTTCAGAAATCAAGAGATTTTTACCTCATTTATACTTATAACTGCAAAAATGTGCCATGACTTTAAAAGGTCATTAGTAGCAATAGCCTAAAACATTGTTATATTACTCCAGGAAAATCTTTCTGCATTTGTGTGTATATAATGAATTCTTTCTTTTGTTTATTAAATAGTGGCACAGACCACATAACAGTAAAGTTGGTAATACTTTAAAATTCATTTGGGCTCAGGTCTTGGCACTATATCAAGAGGAAAGTCTTGAAGTATTTGCCTTAAAATTTGGGGTTGGGGGTGTGTATGGTTAAATATCATAATTAAGTCATAGTAAGAATAATTGGTATCAATGCTTTGTCAAGAAGTGATCACTGAATCTTTGTTCAGAATGGTTGACAGATGGCACATTTGTACTTTCTTTTGCGTCCCTATTGCAAAGCAACAGCTGGTTACTCCTGAATGCCCTGTTTCTGCACTTAGCTTCTATATTCCAATGTGATCCTGGTCCTGGTCACAATCTCTTTCTTTATGCTCTATGTAACTCTGACTTTAAGTTACTGACTTTTATTGGTACCAATGAGGTTTGGTTTCTATCCTTATCTATATAAATCAGTCTTGTATGTATATATGCATATGTATATATATGTGTGTGTGTGTGTGTGTGTGTGTGTGTATACGTGTATATATATATATACATACACGTATACACACACACACACACACACATCTCCTGTATATGGCTAGTTACTGAATGCTCTTGTGTCTTTTAATATATATATTGATGTATATATAAATACATGTACATATGTTTATATACATATATTACACTGACACACATGTGTATAAATATAAATACCTATATATAATTACAAAAATTCTCTAGATATAGATTGATATAAATATAATGATATAATGATTCAGAAATATGACGACATCATGGTAGCAAAACACAAAATGGCGCCTTGACTTCTTGGACCTGGTTGTAGAACTCAAACCAATCTTTCCATCTCATTTCTCTATCTTGCTGCACTATGAAGTGCCAGTATCTAGGCTGCCCATTAAATATGTACTTGCTTCTTTCCTGCTTATTATTTTAAAATTGCTTTTAGTAAGCCTTTCATGAGAAAGGAAATAGACAGGGGTCCCAAAAGTCTTAGTGAGTTTTAAGCTTTAGTAGCTTAAAACTGCAACTGCACTGAGACTTTGGGGAGTGTGTGTGTGTGTGTGTGTGTGTGTAGAGAGAGAGAGAGAGAGGCAGAGAGATGTGGAGACAGGAAGATTGTTTGTTGGCAGTCCAGAATAAAGAGGGTGAAGACTACCACCCCTCACATTGACCTAAGGTTTTTGCATGTATCAGTTTTAGGTCAAATATAGAAGTAGCATTGAGGGCATGCAATTCAGGATTAGGGGAAACCCTTGGGGACCTGCCAATCTCTGTTGCAACAAATGGTGATTCCATCATGAGCACCTTTTCCCTTAAGTGAGACTACAAAAGGGGTGGTTGACAGGATACCTTTGGCTTGAAAAAGTTTTTTTTTTCTCAGTTGGACAATCCCAGAGACCTTGGGATCCAGGAAGCAGCTGTGTGACAGATGTAGTATGAATACCTGTGTATCCTTTCCTATGTGTTATTTTAAAAACACACCCAACATCTTTAGGGAGTCTCTGAGTGATATCTCTCTCTTCCTCCAACCCCTCTCCAAAAAAAATCCTGGTTGGCTGGACTGAAACAAACTCCACAGAGTCAGTAGAGGAAAAATCAGGTCAGGACTTAGAGTTGCTAAGTCTTCATTATAGAGACTGTGGGCTGGGAAGGGGCCATCAATACCCCTGCCCTCCCCCAAAGTGCCCCTTTAAGACATGTAGGTTGTACTTGTCTCCTCAGCGATGAAAAGGAAAGTCAGAAATGGCATCCTTAGTTTTTGAACCCATGAAATTCAAGAACAGTTTGACTTAAATAGATTTCATTTATTCAGAGGTAAATCTGAAGGAGTCTCATGTGCAAAATATCATCCAAGTGCATTGGCCCATTATCCCAAATGAGTCCTGTTGGGTATACACATATGGATGTGTCTTTTTGTGGCTTGTCTCCCAGTGTGTATATTGATATGGTGTGTTGTCCCAGTTTAATCTCTTGTTCCTCAAGCATCCTCCCTGAAAAATCCTGAAACATTTCCAATGACTGTCTTCCCAAAGCACCAGAGCATAGAGTTGTAAAGGTGAAGTTGGAGGGGGCATAGCCACAGCTGGCTTTCCTTTGCCCATAGGTTTTTCACTTCTCAGAATCACTGATGGTGTACCATCTCCCTGGGTTTCGCCAGTATCGAAGAATCAGCAAGGTTCCAACCCCCAACAGAAGCAAGGCACCCAGTGCTCCAAACAGGATCCCAAAGAAGGCACCCAGGCTTACGCCCAAATGCTCACAGCGTTCACCTGATGGGGAGTAGATGGAATAGGAACCACAGCTGGCAACAGAAAAGATGAAAAAGGGAGTGAGAAGTCATCTAGCATTTATTAAGCATATGCTATGTTTCAGGCACCATGCTAAGTGCTAGGGAATCAAAGAAAGGCTAATGGGGGAGGGGTGGGGAAAGGAAAGGCTGGTGGAAATAAACATTTGCATAATCCCTACTATATGCCAGCACTTTACAAATTGTATCTCATTTAATAACAGTAACAGCTAACATTTCTATAAGCACCCACTATGTGCCAGGCATTTTACAAATAGTATCCCACTGGGAGATAGGTGCTATTTTTATTATCCCCTGTTGACAGATGAGAAAACTGAGGCAAACAGAGGTTGAGTGACTTGCCCATGGTCACACAGCTGATAAGTGTCTCAGACCAGACAACTCAGGTCTTCCTGACCCCAGGCGCAGCACTCTATCCATTTCATTACCTACCTGACAATAACCTTGCAAGGTAGGTACACTTATCCCCATTTTACAGATGGGGAACTGAGGCAAACAGGGTTAAGTGAGTCGCCCAGGGTCACATAGCTATTAAGTGTCTGAGGTAGAATTTGAATTCAGGTCTTCCTGACTGTAGGCCTAGCACTCTATCCACTGTGCCACCTAGCTGCCCCGGTGAGACACTGTGAAAACAATTATGTACAATCAAGAAATATATAGGATAAACTGGAGATAATCAGCAAAAGGAAGACTCTAGTTTCATATATATGATGAGAATTTTTCTTTTTTGTGGTTTTTTGGTTGTTGTTCAATTGGGAGGGGGCAGTGGAAGGAATAGATTATAAATACATGTACAAATTTATTAGAAAAAAAGAGAAAAGGGGAATAAGAAGGAACCTTTCTGACCTCTTCCTCATCACTTGCTAAGGCTGAAAAGGTTCCAGAGGAAGGAGGATATTCCTTGATAAGCTGATTTCATCTCTCAGGAAGAGAGGTCAGAGTCAGGGCCATGATGAGGACAGGACCAGCACAGCCATAGCATACATGTCCCAGTTGAATTTATTTCAGCCCAACAAACAATTAAGCTCCTATTAGGCTCAAGGCCTAAGAGGTAGGTAGGGTGATACCATAAAAAGCGGTTCAGAATTTGGAATCAGGAACACTTGGAATAAAAGCTTATCTCTTATACTTAGGATCACAGATTTAAAGCTAGAAAGGACCTGAGAGGCCATCTACTCCAACCCCCCACTTTTATAGATGAGGAAACTGAGGCTGAGAGAAAGTGAGTGATTTGCCCAGGGTCACACAGCTTGCTAGCAGATATTAGAGGCAGGATCAGATCCTAGGTCTTCCTGACTCCAAGTGCAGAGCTATATCCACTTTCCTTGGGCACTATTCTAAGACTATAAATTAGAAATAGTGAAGGGAATCTGAACACCTGGAATTTTCATGCTAGAGGAAATCATTGGTCCTTGACAAATCAGGTGCAAGACCCTGAGGCTATAAAAAGGAGGGGTGGCTTTGGGCTTTTAAAATATGGCAAGACTTTACCTTGCATGCTATATAACTAATATAAAATGTTTCACAGTATTACAAATAACATTTCATTTGATCCTCTAGATCTCTAGAACAGACAGCCAGGATGGAGAGAGGGGGCTAACTATTAATGATGACCAATATAGTCCTGAAACATTCTTAGAGACACTTAAACTACTCATTCATTAGTGTCCCCTGGATCCTTTTCTCCAAATTCCCTCGGCTTTATTCCTTAACCCTAACTTCCACCTGCTTTTCTAGGAGGGGGAAAAAAGCATTTCTGGGCAAGGGTTAGGAGTAGCACAGTACAAGGACTCTCTACTTTAAATCGGGAGAGATTTGACTCTGAATCATCAGGAGAGACCAAGAATCATTCCTAGGAATATCTCTGGGCACCATCTGGAGAAGGCTCAAAAATAAGTTAAATAAAATTTTTGGCCGCTAAAGTGACTTTCCTAAAGCACAGGTCTAATCATGTCATTCTCATACCCCTCCTTCTCTTCCCACCCCAATAAGCTCTAATGACTCCCTATCATCTCCAGGATCAAATACAAAATCCTCTGAGTTCAAAGCCCCTCATAACCTAGCCCTTCCTATATTTCTGGTTTTCTTATCCCTTTCTCCCCAACACATACTCTTTGATCCAGTGACACTGTTGGCTTCCTGGCTGTTCCACTAACAAGACTTTAAATCTCAATTAAAATTCCTCCTTCTCTAGGAAGCTCTCCCTATCCCCTCTAAATTCAGTGCCTTCCCTCTATTATCTCCTATTTATCCCGTAGACAGCTTGTTTTGTATATATTTGTTTACACTGTCTCTCCTCCATTAGACTGTAAGTTCCTTGAGGGCAGGAAGTATCTTTTGCCTCTTTTTGTACCCCCAGTGCTTTGCATAGTGCCTGGCACATAGCAGGTGCTAAAATGTGGACTGATTGATTGATTATAGAATACTCAGTTTGGCATTTAAAGCCCTTCATAGTCCAGCCACCTTCTACCTTTCCAGTTTTCCTCTACCTTACTCTACTTCACAAAGTTTGCAATCCAGTGATGCTGGATTGACTTTGTGCTATTCCTTGCTGTTCTTCGAAGTTCCTTGTGCTCCATCTTCCACATCCAGACGTTTTCATTGGCTGTCCTCCACACCAGGATGCCCTCCCTCCTCATCTCTGCCTATCTTCCCTAAAGTCCCAGCTAAAACCCCACCTTCTACATGAAGCCAGGGATCTCAAACACAATTTGCTCCCCATTCACAAGACAAGTGTGATATCCCTCACCAATCTCCCCTTATTTTTGTAGTAAAGAACACCATCCTCATTGTCTTGACTGCTAGGTGGCACAGTGGATACAGTGCCAGGCTTGGAGTCAGGAAGACTCTTTTCCTGAGTTCAAATCTGGCCTCAGACACTTAGTAGCTGTATGACCCTAGGTAAGTCACTTAATCCTGTTTGCCTCAGTTTGCTCATCTGTAAAATGAACTAGAGAAGGAAATGGCAAAGCACTTCAATATCTCTGCCAAGAAAACCCCAAATGGGGTCATGAAGAGTCAGACATGACTGAAAATGACTAAACAATCCTCGTTTCCATATTCTTTGGTATTCCCTAAAGTCCTGAGGTGCTTATACCCAAGTTTGGGGGAACATATTTCAACCACCATCCTGAACTACCCCTTCCCTCCCCTCCCATCCTGTATGGCTGGCCCCTTCTCACCTGCATTTTGGCCCACTAGGCAGGTGTTGACACAGGCCTCCATGTTTACAGTAGCCCTCAGAACAGGGAGACACACAGGAGAAGCCAGTTTTGTCATTGTAAACAAGGTGGTAACCAGGGTAAGTGTCATTGCAGCTGAAGTATTTCTTCAGGTCATTCACTTCAACTATCAGAGGGAACAGAAAGTCAGGGCTGAAAGAACATGTTTTCTTATCTACTTCTGAAACCAAAGTACACTGGAAGAGGCTAGAGAAGGAGGCCAGAGATACTTGAATCTTCCCATGACCCAAATGCCCAAAGAAAATGGTAGCTGTTGTTACAGTTAGGATTGCCACTATCAAATTCTTCGGGCAATTATAGAGAATGGGGGTGGAAATTCTTCCTCTCTCCCTGGAAGACTTTCTCATTTGGAGCATAAAACCTTAAAAGGTGATCTAATCTAAACCTCTCATTTTGCAGACCCTAGGGCCCCCAAAGAAGAAATATATGACCATGGCTTAACAACAAGATGGTGACAGAGATGGACCCAGAACCTAGATCTTCTGACTCTCAGTCCAATGTTCTTTCTATTAGACTAAATTCTTTCTATTATTTGACTTTTACCCAAAATTAACATTTTAACTACAGTGGAAAAACCTTATTGACTTTCCATTTGATTTTATGTGGCTCTCAATTGTGTCCGTAGTTGCCAATTTAGTATGGCAGTAATAATCATTTGTATCCATAGACACCAAATGTGGAGTTCACTCCAAAAGAGACTACCTGTGTGTCACGAACTGTTTCTTGCATGTGGGGAACATAGGGTAAGCCTTGGCTAATATCACCTCAACAACCATTATTCCACAATAAGGTCTAATACTTTTTAACCAAAAGGCTGTAATGTTACTCAGCCAATCACTTGGTTATAATATTTATAACACCATTGTCATAAAATTAGCTGGTCCTTATGACATTTCATGTAACGATGTTTTCCTGAGGAGTCAAGTAACAACATGGGCAAGATTATCTCTGTAGTACCTTTTATCCTTTGTCAACATTTTTAAAAGTGGATGAGAGGAATGTTTCATATTTCTCTCAATTGCTCCCTCCAAAAAACCCTAAATTAAGTTGTTTTTCACTTGTATGTGGACATTGATTTTCACCTTGAGGGTCAGTGGCCCTCTTTAGAATAAAGGTTCCCATCAGCTGCTTCAGAACATTAGTTCAAAACCTTTTTTGTGTTATGGACCCCTTTGGCAGTCTGGTGAAAGATGTGGACTCCTTGGAATAATGCTTTTTTAAAAAAAAATCATAATTGAAAGAAATGTTACATTTCAATTAGAATTAATGATAATAAAAATGTAATTTTTTTCCAATCTAAGTTTATAGACTTCCTCCCTCTCTCCCCCCAAATCCCTACTTTACATAATGGGAAGGGGGTAGTAGTGTTTCTCAGAATGCTGGAGAAAAAACAATTTAAAGGTACTAATAGTTTTTCCCTATCGTTCCAGGAAAACCTTTCTAACAGGCTGAACTAGCCACAAGCTAAATGAGTGACCCCCTCAGGAGGTAGTGAGTTCCACAGCACTGGATGTCTGCAAAGTTTGGATAACTGCTGTTGGGTATGTCACAGTGGAGATTCTTGTCCCGGTGTGTGGGGGACTAAGAGGAAGGACCTCTGACATCCCTGCCAAAGATGAGATTCAGTGATTCTGAGAAAAGACAACTCTTCAAAGGAAGTCATGAATGTCTGAAAGATGCCCATAGATTCTTAGTAATCTTGGTAATCCAGCAAATCCATCTTCTAGATCTGGCAATTTGCTCTTGTGGAAACATACTTTAAAATAGCTTTTTTAGTTTTTCCAGAAGTATTAAGAAATAATATTTTTTTCTCTAAAGCCCTTTCTATTCTGGGAAAAGCCCTCAGGAAGGAGAGTGATAGGTGGAAGATGAAAAGACCTTTCTTAGGGAAATAAATTTAAAGTTAATAACAACTTCTCCATTCTGAGCTAGATTAGTAGTGTCAAACTCACATAGAAATGGGGCTCCCAATCCCCACATAAGGATCTTATGGACCATATGTTGACTTGGGATTAAAATTTACCGTTATCTACATTTTATTGCATTTCTGTTTTGTTAAACATTTCCCAGTTACCTTTTAATCTGGTTCTGCTGTACTCCAGGAGTTCTGCCTGCTACATACTGCAAGTGTTTGACACCTCTGGTCTATATAATATCTTGTCCTCCTGGCCCCGGGGACCCACCTAAGGCAAGTGCCCCTTTCCATTAAAAAGTAAGCACTTTTTCCAAACAGGTGTCTGGGAGGAGACCCATTGATTCTTTGAGGGGAGTGATTTGGTAGGAATGGGATGGAATGTTAACCCCTACCATATTTTTTCCTTGTTCAAGATTCCTGTAAATGTTACTTAAAATTGTCTTGGAGCAGAGTCATGTCAGAAGGCACGGGAAACTATGACAGTTTGAATACTTTCTCTCTCTCTCTCTCCCCTTCTCTCCTCTCTCCTCTGTCTCCACTTTTCTCTCTCAGCTAGCAATATTTTGGATATTGATAAATTGAATAAAACTGTTTCCCGCAGACTGGTACCTAAATGCAGAATACATTATTAATATTAATATTATTTTCTTCCATACCCTCCCTCCTTCTCTCCCCTCCCTCTACAGTGCAGAATGACTCACGTAATTTTACACTGATGATATCTTTCTCTGTAACAGGGAAAAAGGACACATTTTTCCGTGGATTCAAAATCCCTGAGAGTGCATCCTGTTTCCAGAGGTGCTTGCGGACTGCTTCCACCAGCCTATTGTTCAGGAAATCAATCACGGAGCCCTCAGGGAAGTACTGGAACTCTGCAGTCACTTTCCACTTCTGAACCGGACCATTGGTATTGCTGTGAACCAAGGACACCAAATTGCTCTTGGGGGGTGGGGTCAGAAGCTATGGGATGGTGGCTGGCAGAAGGATGGATAGATAATAAGATCATAGCTCTAGAGCTGGAAGGGACTTTAGAGATCATTCTAGTTTAACCCCCTTATTTTACAGATGCAGAAAAGAAAGGAATTGACTTGCTCAAGGTCACATGGATAGTAAGTGTCAGAGCCAGAATTTGAATCCAGGTTCTCTTACTGCAAATCTAAATCTTTTTCCACAATATCATACTATTTTCTAAGACCCAAGGCTACCCCTAGGGAGTAGCAAAGAGTGAAGTCTAGATCAAGGAAAAGGGGTAGGAGGAGGGAAGCACTAAAACCCTTAGGTATGGGCAGAGGGATATGAAATTTCCACCTACATTTTTGTAACCTGGCTGTTCTTCAGAAAAGCCCGACCTTCTAGGAATTCCAGCTTATAAGTGACCTGAGATGGGAGCAGACAGAGGGTAGGCATCAACCAGAGAAACAATTCCCTCCCACTTCCCCTCTGCCCTTAGGTTTTCCTTCCCTTTGCACTCTCCTTCCCCCTCCCCCTGCCTATCCGCTCCTCCAAACCCATACATACACACATGTTATATTACAGGGAGAAACTGTACTACCGGCCTAGCTGTTCCCCTGATTCTAGGCCAATGGCCAATTGTAGGAAAGATTTAGAGCTGGAAAAGACCTTAGAGATCATTTAGTCTAAAACCACCCCTTTTTTGTTGCTGTTGTTCAGTTGTTTCAGTCACCTCTGACTCTTCGTGACCCCATTGGGGTTTTCTTGGCAAAGATACTGTAATGGTTTGCCATTTCCTTCTTCCAGCTCATTTTACAGATGAGAAACTGAGGCAAACAGGATTAAGTGACTTGCCCAAGGTCACATAGCTAGTAAATGTCTGAGGCCAGATTTGAACTCAGGAAGACGAATCTCCCTAACAAAACAGAAGTTCAGGCAGACGAAGCGATTTGTCAAAAGTTGTAGAGGAGAAAGTACTCCAAATTCTAAGCTCTTTCCGCTGCCTCACTGTAGATCATAGGATTTTAGAGTTCAGAAGGATCTCGGGCATCATAGTATCATCATTCTGGAACTGGAAGGGACTTCCCTCAGTAGTCTAACACTATAATTCTACCGATAAAGAAAAGCGAGGCCCACAGAGTCTAAGCGACTTGCCCAAGATCACACAGTTAGTTAGTAGAGCTGACATTTGAACTCAAGTCCTCAAACTTTTTGAATAAATAATGGTTTTCATGGAGCCACTAATTTCCCATGGCTTTGCACATAGTAGGCACTAAATAAATTTTTCTTGAACTGAAATTACCTTCACAAAGAGGACATTGGATAAAGTGAAACAGCCCTCCCCCTCCTCCAACATCATCCGGTACAAATTGAGAGTCGGGGAGAAATCTCTCTGAGATGCTTCATTCACTCAAAGAAGCCCTTGGCTCTCTCTGACTCAGTCTGATGACAGTTCAGTGTATTAAGAAAGCGAGGGTTACTGGCATTTGGAAAAGACCTTATTGGAGTGAGACTGAGCTAAAGGTCACATTCTAGTAATGGCCGCGCATTGCTTAAAACAAATCAAAGATTAGTTGGGACGAGCCAATTATAAAGTGATTTACATCCTAAAAGTCTGTTGGAATAGAATTGACCAGTGTAGCATGGTTTCTGGTGGTCAAGAATCAAACATTTTAAATGGGCCAGTGTTCTTTTAGAATTTCAATCATCTTAGGCTGTGAAAATAAGCAGAATAAATACTGTTTTGTATTGAGGTACCTATCTTTAAATGAAATGAAGCAACTTTAGAAAAAAGAACCCAATTTACATTAAATTACATAATTTTAAAATCTCTTCTGATCTTTGTTAATGTATAGACATAGACTTTTGACAATGGTGTGTTAAAACTCTTTCCTTTTCCCATGCCTGGAATTCTTTACTTCCCCATCTCTGTGTCTTGGCTTCCCTGGCTTCCTTAAAGCTCCAGTTAAAATCCCATCTTCCACAAAAACCCTTTCCTGATCCCCCTTCATTCCAGTGTCTTACCTCTGTTGATTATTTTCATTTTATCCTCTCTATATCTTGTTTGTGCAGACTGATGCTGAATGCAGAATTCCAAAGAATAGGAAGGAGAGATAAGAAAGTTTACTTAAGTGAGCAATGCAAAGAAATAGAAGAAAACAACAGAATGGCAAGGCCAAGAAAATCAGCCATCAAGGGAATGTTCCATGCAAAAATGGACACGATAACAGACAAAAATGGTAGAGACTTAGCAGAAGCAGACGAGATTAAGAAGAGGTGGCAGGAATACACAGAACTACTCAAGTAAGATCTTAGCATCACTGATAATCATGATGGTGTGGTTACTGATCTAGAGCCAGACATCCTGGAGAATGAAGTCAAGTGGGCCTTAGGGAGCATTGCTAACAATAAGGCTAGTGGAGGTGACAGAATTCCAGCTGAGCTATTAAAAATCTTCAAAGATGATGCTGTTAAAGTGTTGCACTCAATATGCCAGCAAATTTGGAAAACTTAACAGTGGCCACTGGACTGGAAAAGATAAGTTTATACTCCAATCCTAAAGAAGGGCAATGCCAAGGAATGTTCAAATTACTGAACAATTGTGCTCATTTCACACATTAGCAAAGTTATGCTTAAGATTCCACAAGCTAGGCTTCAGCAGTATGTGAACTGAGAATTACCAGAAGACCAGACTGGTTTTCAAAAAGGCAGAGGAACTCGAGACCAAACTGCCAACATTTTCTAGATTATGGAGAAAGCACGGGAGTTCTACAAAAATATCTACTTCTGCTTCATTGACTACACTAAAGCCTTTAACTGTGTGGATCATAGCAAAATGTGACAAGCATTCAAAGAGATGGGAGCACCAGATCCTCTTACTTGTCTCTTGAGGAACCCAGATACGGGTCAAGAAGCAACAGTTATGACTGAACACAGAACAGCTCATTGGTTTAAGATTGGAAAAGGAGTACAACAAGACTATATGTTATCATCTTATTTATTTAACTTACATGCAGAGTACATCATGTGAAATGCCAGGCTGGATGAACCAAAAGCTGGAATTAAGATTTCCAGGAGAAATATCAACAATCTCAGATATGCAGATGATAGAAGCCTCTTGATGAGGGTGAAAGAGGAGAGCGTACAAGCTGGCTTGAAGCTTAACATGAAAAAACACTAAGATCTTGGCAACCGGTCCTGTTATTTCCCAGCAAATAGAGCGAGAAGAAATGGAAGCAGTGTAAGATTTTATACCCTCGGGCTCAAAGATCATTGTAGTTAGCATCTGCAGCCATGAAATTAAAAGATGCTTGCCCCCTGGATGAAAAGCTACGGCAGATCTGGACAGCATATTAAAAAGCAGAGACATCATCTTGCTAACAAAGGTCCGTATAGTCAAAGCTATGGTTTTTCCAGTAGCAAAGTATGGCTGTGAGAGTTGGAGTATAAGGAAAGCTGAGCACTGCAGAATCTATACTTTCAAACTGTGGTTCTAGAGAAGACTTTTGAGAGTCCCTTGTACAGCAAGTAGATCAAATCAGTCAATACTTGAAGAAATTAATTCAGGTTGTTCCCTGGAAGGTCAGATACTGAAGCTGAAGTTGAAATACATCGGCCACATGATGAGAAAATGGGACTCATTGGAAAAGACCCCAGTGTTGGGGAAGATTGAAGGCAAAAGGAAAAGGGGATGGCAGAGGATGAGCTGGATAGATAGTGTCTTGGAAACAACGAACATGACCTTGGACAGACTTTGAGAGATAGTGGGGGAAAGAAGGACCTGGCAAGCTATGGTCCATGGGGTCATGAAAAGTCGGACATGACTGAATAACAACAACAAATAGTTATAAGGTATTCAACATTGGTAATTTTGGAAGAACGCTTTTGACATGTACGGATTCAAGGAAATCTGGTTATAAAACAAATGAACTTGCTCTTTGATAAGTGCCTTATAAGATAATAAAAATATTATTGAATCCATGTGATTTATTTCTTCTGGATTTATCATTATTCTAAACCAATGCTGTCTAACTCACATATAGAAATGGGGCCAGTGGTGTCTGCAGGCTGTATTTGACACCTCTGTTCTCAATAATTGGTGTTTAAAATATTCATTAAGGTTGAAGTTGTCTCAGCCAGCCATTTCCTTGATTGGTTGCTTTTTAATTACTACTCCTGCTTTGCCACATGCCAAAGGCTATGACATTCTCCTTGGCCATTCACTCTATTCTAGACACCAGGTGTTCTTAACCATTTTTGTGTAATGGGTCTTTTTTTGGTAGCCTAGTGAAACCTTATGGACGCCTTCTTAGAATAATGTTTTTAAATTAATAGGATTATAAAGGAAATGAATTATACTAAAATAAAGTTATCAAAATATTTTAAAAAACAAGTTTACCAATCCAAGTCAAGAAACCCTGCTTTATACCATTCCACCTCCTGTTTCAACTTCCTTTCTAGATGTCTGACTTCCGTGATTCCATGGATTCCCCACTTCTTCCCATCCTTCTCCTGCTTCTTTCTCTTAAGTTCAGGAGCTGTCATTTAAAGAGCCCCAAGAACCCTTTAAGGAGGAAGGTCAACAGGCCCTAGCTTTTTAGCATAGGATTTTAGAACTGACAGAACATTTAGGGATCATCTAATGCAACCCCTTTGTTTTACAAAAGAGGAAACTGAGGCTCAGAGGTGGGATTTGACTTGTGTAATAAACAGTTACAGAACTGGGATTTGAACTCATCTTTTCCTGTATCAAATCTAGTGTTCTTTGGCCTGTTTTAAACTTCATCCTTCTAACCTGGGAGCTTTAGCTCCATCACTGGGTTTCCCCAATTCATTTCTGTAGCCCCTGGACTCAGGCCCTCCTGACTCCAGGGCCAGTGCTCTATCCACTAGGCCACTTGTTGCCCCAAGAGATGTGGGGTTGTGACTTGCCTAGGGGCACACAGCTTGTAAGGTCAAGTGTCTGAGGCTGGATTTGAACTCAGGTCTTCTGGACTCTGGGGCCAGTGCTTTCTCTACTGTGCCACCTAGTTGCCCTAAGAGATGTGTTTTCCAAATGTACTTTCCACCCACTCCATCCCTGGGCACATAGTACTAACCGTGGCATTGACGTCTTCTGGGGTAGCCATTTCACTTTCACTGAGGAAGAGCTGGATGATTCTCAGAGGAACATCTGGAGACAAGAGAAAGAACTTCTAATAACCCTGCCCCATTCAATAAACTCCAGCAGCTCCCTCATAACCAAAACCTCTCATAACCTGCCCCCCCCAGTCTTCTTACACCTTACATCTCACTACACACTCTGTGATTCAGTTGCATTGACCTCTTTGCTGTTCCTTGACCAAGATACTGCCATCTCCCAATGCCAGGCACCATCCCAACTCTGGGTTATCTCCCCTACCTGGAAGACTCTCCCTCCTCATCTCTACCTCCTGGCTTCCCTGGCTTCCTTCAAGTCCCAGATAAAGTCCCAACTTTTTTTTTTTGGCTAGGCAATGGGTTAAGTGACTTGCCCAGGGTCATACAGCTAGTAAGTGTTATGTGTCTGAGGTCTGATTTGAACTCAGGTCCTCCTGAATCCAGGGCCGATGCTTTATCCACTGGGCCACCTAGCTGCCCCAATAAAGTCCCAACTTCTACAGGAAGCCTTTCCCAACCCTTCTTAAATCTAGTGCCTTCCCTCTGTTAATTATTTCTGATTTATGCATATTGTCTCCCCCATAGATTGTGTGGTTCTTGAGCACAGGGGCTGTCTTCTGTTTTTCTTTGTATCACCAGCACTGAGTACAGTGCCTTATACATAATTTAATAAATGTTTATTGACTGAGTAATGCAGAATTTCCCAAAAAGTTCACTACCAAAGTTTCGTACTACAGAAGGAAGAATTAGAACCAGAGGGGGTGGATGACTTGTCCAAAGTCACCAAGAAGGTCACTGGTGAAACTTAAAGTGACCAATTCTCTCAACTCCCATCCAAGAACTCATTGCACTAGACAAAAGTCTCTCACCTCTAATCTGAGAGAGATCCTATAGTCTCCTGTACCTTGTATCATTCTCCATCAATAAAACAAAATGAATGAAAATGTGGTTTAGCTCATAAAACCCACTAACCCAAACAGTTATTCAGATCTCTACAGTGCTGGGCTCTCTTTATGAGAATCACAGACAATTTTTGAATCATAGTACATTAAAGTACAAAAGCACCTTAGAGGTCATCTAATTCATCACCACCCCTGACTCCCCACCCTCTTATATATACAAATAAGCAGTTGGCCCAGGGTCACAGCTAGTGTCAAATGTTTGATCTGAGGCCGCATTTGAACTCAGATCCTCCTGACTTCAGGGCCGGTGCTCTATCCACTGCACCCCCCAGCTGCCCCTCCACCCTCTCATATTTGACAGATGTGTCAAATAACGCCTAGAAAAGTGAAAATGACTTGGCCAACATCACACTTATCTTTTAGCTGGCAGAAGAATCCCTGACTCTAAAATCTAGTGCTCTTACCATTATACCACACTGCCTTTCTTAAAGGACCAGAGGATGTGAGAACAGGGGAAAGGCCTAGAAAGCAGAGAAGGCCAACTCTTTCTGTTTTTTTTTTTTTAATGACAGTTATAATTAGACATTTTGGCATCTAGGGCAAGCAGCACCAAATGGACCCTCAAGTCAATTTTGCAATTCATTTTGTGAAAATAATGAGTAATTAAGACAAATTCAGTTGACTGGGATGGTGAAGTAGTTATTATAGTGGCTTGTAGATCATCAGTGTTATTAACAATATGTCCATATGGTAATTCCCTATTTAATTATTTGTGCTAACTAGATGTTACATTCAGTTCCACTGATGTTGAAGGAGTTTAGGGCTGTCAACATATAAATGTAACCCCTGTTAAAACTGCTTAATCTGTTAAAAATCATTATTTCAAATTTTTTTTGCAACTGCTAAATTTCAGTGCCCTGGGGAGAGCCCTGATTGCCCTATCCTAGTTGTAGCTCTGGACCCTGTCCATTAGTTTACTTCTAATAAAAAAATTTGGAGCCTGAAGTCTCAATTTCCATGACCTTCCTCCAAAGCTTCCCCAAAATCTAGAGTTTAAGAACCATGATACTAGAATAATCACAATTCCTTCCTACATCTGAGGGCCATTGTGGGGAGGGTAGTATTATAGGTGCTGCAAGGACCTGGTCATACCTGTAAGCATGGTTGGTGTAAAGGAGTTCCCAGCTATGTAGCATTGATCATCAACAAAAGCTGGGGGGCAAAGGCAGGTGAATTGGCAGGTGGAGGAGACAAAGCACTTTCCATCATTGTAGCAATGATCGCGGGGACACTCTAAAGTCTCACAGCCTGCCAAAGGAAAAGGAGAATCATCAGATCCCTGGACACCAGGAAAAGAAGTGACGGTGGAGATCAGATAACTCATGTTTAGGTAGCATCTTAAAGACTGAAAAGTGCGTTGGCTTCACTGCCAGCAAGCGCGTCTGGTAAAGACAGGAACGTGATGATGTGGGTAGAGAGGACTGACCTTGCCCGTATTCCTGTCTTTACTAGGCATATTTTTCATCCTACTGCTCTCTATTCCTCAGGGAAGTTCCCCATTTCCCCTACCCCTCATTCCCAACGGTGTGTTCCACATTAGACCCGTGTTTTTCTCCTTGCTTTTGCCCAGTCCTCCTCCCATTTATACAGTGGCAGAGGGTAGCCTGTCATACCCCTTAACACCAGAAAAGGACCTTGGAGATTGAGGAGGGAAGAGAAGGTGGCTAGTTTTCTATCCACACATTCCTTCTCATCTCTACTTCCTCCTGACCCCCTCCCCAGTTATCTTCCTGACTTTCTTTGGGACCCTCAACACGTCTGCGGAATTTAGGGGAAACTGGACTGGGTTTGGAGATCATCGTCTCAGACTCACTGAATTTCAGCCTTCAGGCTCATCATGGCTCAGGTGCTGGGGACAAAACACAGAGCTCTGTTCTCCCCAGAGCCTCCCTGTCTACTTCATGGCTTCCAGATGGCGTCCCTCTTTATTAAGTACAGCGGTGGGGAACCTGTGGCCTCGAGGCTGCATGGGGCTCTCTAGGTCCTCAAATGCAGCCCTTTGACAGAATCCTTTAGGTCCTCAAGTGCGGCCAGTTGGATTCCATCAATTGCTACATGCAACTCCGAGGTCACAGGCTCTCCACCCCTGATAGTCTTTCTTCAGTCCCAGGTTCAGGTTCTCCCTAATCCCCTGTCTACACTTTCTTCCCAAACTCATGGCATATATCTCCCAACTTCTCCCTCTCCTGCTTGAGGGCTACCTCCTAAGTTCCTCTTCCCAAACCTCCCCAAAACTTCCTCCCCTCCACCTCTTCTTCATTACTTCCACTTCTTTTCCCATTAAGCATCATAGTTGTAGGGCAGTAACACAGATACAGAGCTAGGAAGGGTCTCAGAAGTCAGCTAGTCCAATCCCTCTATTTTACAGATATGGAAACTGAGGTCCAGGGAGGTTAACTTATTTACCCAAGGTCATACAGGTCATAAGTGGCAGAGGTAAGATGTGAACCCAGGCCCTTTGATTCTAATTCCAGAGACAGTCAATCTCATTCCCACATTCTAACCCCCTTTCCCTTAACCTCTGGATCTAATACTCACTTGCACAATGTCTCCCATCTCCTGTCATGTTCTTAGGGCAGGAGTCACACCCCTTTATTGGATCACAGGGGACACCAGGGTAACAGAGATCAACACAGCGGTCAAGCCGGCGTTCACAGAAAAAGCCAAAGGTTTCCTGGTTACATTTACAAGCCGCCACCTAGAACAGGGATTTTGTCAGTGAATTGCCAGATGTCAGGACATCATCCATCTCGCCGCATGTTTCCACAGCATCCTTCTCTCCCCACGCTCCACAGCCAGCACCCTCCTAACACCCTCCTGATGTCCCGTGGGGTGGAAATCACCTGAAGGGACGAGTTGTATAGCCTGCTGCTGTCACTGTAGTTACACTGGTTCTCATTTGAGCAGTTGCAGAGCACAGTCTCGGGCTGTAGAACAGAAGACAAGCCTTCTGCATTCCTCACCAGGAGCTCAAGGTTAAAAGGGTCAAAGGATTGTGGAGTCCACAGCAACGTTCCATTTCCTGCCCCAAAGCAAAAAGAGATCACGGTGAGCTGGAGTAGGCCAGGGAACCAAGACCATCCGTCCCATTTGCTGACACATCCCCAGAGCAGCTTTTATGGGATCTGGCCACTTGACTTTGGATTCTGTTATTTTCCACCTTCTTTGCCTCAGACTCGCCCACGTCTGGCCGTGCCTTGCTGAGCTCCTAGGGGGTGTGGTAAGACCCTCAAACAAAGCTGGCTTCTCTAGCTTCATCTCCAAGCTGACAAACTCCATTCCCTTCCTCTTCTTCCCAGCCTGGGTGACATTGCCCAGTGGACACTCCTTCCATGTTCAAATAAGAAGCCACAACATTGCAGATTCGGTGGCTTCTTCCTGGAAGAGAGACCTAAGGGGCACCACTCATAAGGCAACTCAGAACATTTCCCCAGGGCCATGCTGATTAGCATAATATCCTCAACAGCCTGTGTTCTCCTCACAGAGAGGAGAGGGGATGGACATAAGGTGCAGCAACATGCATTTTTGAACGTGGCTTTTTTGTGGACTCATTTTGCTTGATTACATCTATTGGTGACAAAACATTATTTTCCCTTTAAAAAAACCCCACTTTTGTCCCCACTGCCTTCACTTCTTATCTTGGGTCCTTCTTTCAGGCTCTTTTAGATTGGGTTTCCTATTCTACAACTTCATATTCATTCTCACTCTCTCCACTATATATTTATGTGTGTGTATGTATGTGTATATACATATATATGTGTGTGCATATGCATATATAACCATACCTCTAGAATCAATATCCATATATTTTACACACACACACACACACACACACACACACACACACAAAACTATTCTATTCATAAGGATTTTACAAAGTCCTGGCAAAAAAAAAAAGTCATAGCCTTTTTCTTGAGGGGAGGGGAGACAGCAGAGAAGACAAACAGGGTAAAGTGACTTGCCCAGAGTCACGCAGCTAGTGTATATGTGAGGTCACATTTAAACTCAGGTACTTCTAGATTCTAGGGCTCTATCCACTACACCACCTAGCTGCCCCTAAAAGGCATACCCTTTTTATAAAGGAGGGTTGAAAAGAGCTGGGATCCTGTTAAGTTAACTGATTACTTAGCATTTGATACAAAATAACTTTTGTACCATGGTTTATAGTTTTGTACAACAGCTTATAATTTAAAGGCTAAGGAAGGGAAAGAGAAGTCAGGAAGAAAAAAGTCCAAAAAATAGTTATCAGTATACTGATAGAATGCACATGAGTCTAGTTGTAATCTTTCCAATGTCTAAAAGAATGCCACACTAAAAAAAAATATAAAAAATTAAAAGAATGTCACACCGAGGTTAAAAGGATTCGAGAAAGAATTCTTTCTTGTGCAGAGAGAAGAAGAAAAAAGAGACAGAGAGTTGATCCAAGTCCAGGTATGTGTTCTATGGCTTTTCCTGTAATTAACAGAAAATATTCACATATTGTGTTCTGTTTTTTTTTTCCTTAGGACAATGAGTTTTTGAAGAAAACTGCAAGTCAAATACTTTTACTATAAACTATTGGAAGCTAGCTATGAACTGCTGGGGGGTGGGGTGGACAAAAGGAAGACCACAACTAAGAAAAGAAAAAAAAATTTCTCTCTGAAATAAAATGAGGAAAGCCAGAAACCTAAGCTAAATGGTTATTGTTAACAGTTAAAGTTTGTGAGGAAGGCATTAAATTATACTTTGGCATTTTAATTTCTTTAAATCTTTCTCTAAGTTGTCTCCTTTAACTATATAGACAAATATTATCAACTAATTATTAATTGACTTACTATACTTTTTAACCTTTTATTTGGTATTTTATTTTTTCCCAGTTGCATTAAAAACAGTTTTTAAAAAAATTTTTCTTTTTTGCTAGGCAATGGGATTAAGTGACTTGCCCAGGGTCACACAGCTAGTAAGTGTTATATGTCTGAGGCCAGATTTGAACTCAGGTCCTCCTGACTTCAGGGCCAGTGCTCTATCCATTGCGCCATCTAGCTGCCCCTTAAAAATAGTTTTTAACATTCATTCCAAATTCTCTCCCTTCCTCCCTCCTCATTCCCTCTCATTGAGAAGGCAAGCAATTTGATATAGTTTGTACATGTGTCGTCATGCATAAACATTGCCATAATAGTCATGTTGTGAAAGGATTTACTTTGGAGTTTTAAAGTAGCTATTTTTTTTTTAGGAAAACCATAATTGATTTGATTGCTAAATGCTCTGACTCATTTCTGTATGTCCCTGGGGATATCTGAACAAATTGACCATATAGTCATAATTGTCCATGTATCATCATCTGCCTGGTTGAGAGCTACCTGAATTGCAGGCAGAATGCCTGTAAAGAAATAACTCCAGGAGATCTGGCATTGCAGACCCAAGACCCTAAAATGATCACAGACTTTACATAGGCTATAGTGAAGCAGATCCATTCAATGGTCTGGCTCTGACCTTCCTTTCCAAAAAGAGTGAGGGAAGTCAGCTTTCATTACCTGTGAAGATGATGTCAGGAGAGTTTTGACTGAGGTGAAAGATGGCTCCTGGGTCATTGCTTCGATATATCAATCTCTGGGTCTTCCCCATATAGGCACGGATCAAGGTCTCACCATAAATGTGGGGTGGGAACTTGTCTGAAACACAAACAAAGAGGACTGAACTCCCAAAATATTGCTCTGCCATCATCCTCTATCTCTCCTCCTTCTTTCAGGTGTACTGGGCTTGTCTCAGACAATTCTTGGTGTCATGACCCATTTCAGGATGCAAAAGTGTATGGCATGCCCTTAGAAGATGAACTATGGGGCAGCTAGGTGGCGAAGTGGATTGAGCTCTGGCCTTGGAGTCAGAAAGACCTGAGTTCAAATCTAGTTTCAGACACTTGACACTTACTAGTTGTGTGACTCTGAGCAAGTCACTGAACCCCAATTGCCTCACCAAAAAATAAAAAAAAAAGATGAATTATGGCTATTCCACCTGGCCAAAACTTCATCCCCTTTGGCTTCCTTTCCTGTTCTTTCTCATTAATTAAGGTCTGTTACAAGTTTTCACCTGTAGAAATGACAATACCGGTCACTGTCCAAAGTGAATGAACAGATGCTGTCTCTGTTCTCCCAAGAGCTTAAACCCTATTATGACAACATTAACATGGATGATCAAGAAGAATAGCACACAGGCAGGTGAGAAGTCTAGGTGGCACCATGAGAAGAACTCTGGACTTGGAGTCAGGAAGACCTGAATTCAAATTCAGCTTCAGATACTTACTAGTTGTATGACCCTGGGCAAGTCATGTGGTGGATATAGGGCCCTGAGCTTGGAGTCAGGGAGATCTGAGTTCAAATTTGGCTTTGATGGGGTGCTTGTGTGCCTATGCTTGAACCCCAGTTTCTCCCTGGCCTCAGAAACACTATCCCTGGCAGTTTTCCCCCAGCTCAAGGACACCGTCCCTAGCAATTACTCATGAGTGGGCCTCAGCAAAACACTTATCTCTCTCCCTGGTGACACAAAACTGGGTGAAAGAGTGCTGGGCCGCCCCCAGCCCCAAGATCATGTCTTTGGAGGCCTCCCAATTCCTTAGGAAACTCCTGTCTTGTGAGAAAACTTTTCCTTGTTGCTAATCAGGACAGAGAGAGAGAGGGGTGTCTTGTCTGGTCCATGGAGTTTTTGTCCCTGGCTGGCCCAGGGACTCTTCCTCCCGACAGATTCCCATGATACTCTGACATCTCCCTCTCTATCTGGTATACTCCCTACACTTTCCCATCCATAGCTCCCAAAGACACCTAGACCTTTAGATACCTAATTAGTATCCCTGGCATTCTTTTTCCAAGCCCTTTTCCATATAAACCCCAACTCCATCCTCAGTCTCTTGCAGGTTCCTTAAGAATCCTTGCCTGCTGAAAAGCATAACAATAAATCTCTGCCAACTTGACTCAAAGAATGTTTAAGTCTGTGAATTCATTCCAGATGACCTCGTCCTGTACTGCAGTCTTTGGGGGGTCTCAACCTCTCAGACCACAACAGCTTCCGATATTTACTAGCTGTGTGACCCTGGGCAACTCAAATAATAATATTAATAACTAACATTTATATAGTGCTTACTATGTAGGAGGCACTTTGCTAAGTGATTTCTTCATTGGTAAAATGAGGATGGGACAGCTAGGTGGTGGAGTATAGAGGGCTAGGCCTGAAGTAGGGAAGACTCTTCTTCCTGAGTTCAAGTCTAGCCTCAGACACTTACTAGCTGTGTGACCCTGGGCAGGTTATTTAACCTTGTTTGCCTTGGTTTCCTCATTGGTAAAATTAACTGAAGAAGAAAATGGCAAATCACTCCAGCATTGTTGCCAAGAAATCCCCAAATGGTCTCATGAAGAGCAGGCCATGACTGAAAAATGACTGAAAAATGAGGGTAATAATAGCCTCTTTCCCAGCATTGTGCCTGGCATATAGTAGGTACTTAATAAATGCTTATTATCCTTCTCTCTACAACTGAGACATAGCAAGGAGCATCCCTTGGCCCAGACCTGAAAAGACATTATTGACTAGCCTATCCCCATCATTTTGCAGATAAGGAAACTGAGAGGGGTAGTGATTTGCCCAAAGTTAGTGGCAGAGCCAAGATTCAAACTTGGGTCTTTTGAATATAAATATACTGGTTTTTCTGCTGCACCATAACTGCACTGACCCAAAACCTCTGCAAATCTGTCCTGTGACTTGGTAGCGTTTTTCTAGTTTTTCTCTGATATAAGAGGATAATAAGGTGGGGAAGGCAATAAATACGGTCCAGGGGCAGGACAAGAGGCAGATCACTGATGCTGTCTAGGACTTTCTTCATAATCTGGCTCTCATATACTTTTTAAATTTTATTGTTATTTTCCTTTATACACTTTCTGGTCCAGGCAAAGTGTCCTCTTACCTGTTCCTTACAGCCAGTCCATCTATATGATTTCTGAACCTTTTTTTGTGTGTGTGTGTATACATATATATGTATATATACATAAATACACATATATGTGTGTATATGTGTGTACATGTATATGTGTATGTCTATGTGGGTATATATGTGTACGAATGTATATATATATGTGTGCACATGCATATATATGTGTATGTGTATGTGTATGTGTGTATATATACTTGTGTACGTATACATGCGCATACATGTATATGTATATGATATACATATATGTGTATATATATATATGTATACATGTATCCATGTCTATATCTAAATCTTTATCCCTCCCTATGTCTGGAAAGAAGTCCCTGCTCATCTCTGTCTCTCTGAATCCCTTGCTTTCTCCCAAATACAGTTCAGGGGCCTCTTCCTACATGAGACCTTTCTTTACTCTTTCAGCATTGTCTTCTTGTGGAAATTAGTTTGCATATGCTGTGTACTTATGTACAAGTGCACACTGCACCCACAAAGTAGAATGTAAGCTCCTTGAGGACAGGAACTTTTGATTTTTGTCTTTGAATCCCCAGCCCTAGCACAGCTCCTGGCTTGTAAAACAAATGTCTATTATATTGAATTGAATTGTATTTTTCCCTATGTCCTCTCCATGAGGGATAACATGACTAGTGACATAATTCACTAGAGTCAAATAAAATCTGTTTAGTCATTTTCCATCATGTCTGACTTTTTAAAAATTAATTTATTTTGATTTATCAACAATCACATCAGTAGGATTTTGAGTTTTAAATTTTTCTCCTCCTCCTTCCCCACCTCCTTCCGGTGAGAAATTTGATACAGGCTATACACATACTTTCCTATTAAACATATTTTCACATTAGATGTCTGACTTTTCAAAACCCCTTTTGGGGTTTTCTTGGCAAAGATATTGGAGCATTTTATCATTTCCTTCTCCAGATCATTTATCAGATAAGGAAACTGAGACAAACAGGGTTAAGTGACTTGCCCAGGGTCACACAGCTAATAAGTGTCTGAGGCTGGTTTTGAACTCAGGAAGATGAGTCTTCCTGACTCCAGCCCTAACACTCTATCCCCTGGACCACCTTTTGATGTTGTTCAGTCATTTCAGTTTTGTCCAACTCTTTGTGAGCCCATTTTGTTGGTAGAGATACTGCAGTGAAACCACTGCCTAGTGGGCCTTTTCTAGCTCATTTTACAGATGAGGAAACTGAGGCAAACAGGGGTAAATGACTTGCCCAGGGTCACACAGCTAATAAGTGTCTGAGGCCAGATTTGAACTCAGGGAGATGAGTCTTGCTGACTCCAGAGTTGGAGTTGCACCACCTAGCTGCTCTTTCTTACAAGAAGCAAGAATTAACTCTTTCTCGCTCATTCTTTTTGGAGAAAGGACTGAGAGAATCCTGCTTATACTGTGTGTAGTGATGGGCCTGGACAGGTTTGCTCTGAGGGCCTGACTGTATCATGTTTGTGTCATTTGCACAGGCACAGTTAAATCTGGACTCATCTGTACCATCTGGGTATCAAGCACTATAAAACAAAGGCCCTGTAGTGAGAGGGCATCTCAGATTGTGAGCAAGATCTGAGGTCCTATTCATTAATAGGGGAATAGCTCCCTTTAGTAAATTGGCTTGGAGCTCTGCCTCAGTTTCTTTTATTGTAGATTGGGCATTTTGGACCTCACACAGGACAAAGGTCAATTGGGTGGCTCTACCGCATGGTTATACTTAACCTGGGGGACTTGTTAGTTGGGATTTCAGTCTAGACCAGCTGGTTGATATCATAGTGAAAAGAACACTGGGCCTGGAGTCAGGAAGATCTGAGTTCACCAGCTGTGCGACCCTAGGTCAAATACCCAGCCTCAATTTCCTCAACTGTAAAATGGGGATGAAAATAACACCTGCCTCCCAGGGTTGTTGTGAGGATCAAATGGGATAGTATTTGCAAAAGGCGCTTAGCACAGTGCTTGGCACCATAGTGGGTGCTATACAAATGCTTCCTTCTTCCTCTGCCATAATATTGGGCTAATGATAATCAGGGAGGCAGGCCAGGGGTGAGCTGTGACAGTAGCAAGCAGCAGCTGCTACCAGTAGCACCAATAAGGGTATTAGCCTCTCTTATTCCAAGGGCTTCCTTAGAGTAGGCTGCAAATGAAGCTATCCTAGACTCTTCTCTGAGGCTGTCTAAACTAGTCCTGTGACTATCGACCTGAGTATGCTGGCAGGTGAGAGTGAAAGAACCAGGTGTCATGGCGTAGCAGTGTGATTCTAGAGATTCTGGCTGTGTGGCAGCTAGATGGCACTCAGTCTGGAGTCAGGAAGACTCATCTTCCTGAGTTCAAATCTGACCTCGGATACTTACTAGCTGTGTGACCCTGGGCAAGTCATTTACCCCTGTTGGCCTCAGGTTCCTCATCTGTCAAATGAGCTGGAGAGGGAAATGACAAACCACTCCAGTATCTTTGCCAAGAAAACTCCAAATGGGGTCACAAAGAGTCACACATGACTGAACAACTAAAACTACATTATATGTAACCTAATAATAGCTAGTATTTATATAATGCCTACTATGTGCTAAGTACTCTAAAAACATCATCTCATTTGATCCTCACAACAACTCTGTAGGATAGGTGCTATTACTATTCCCATTTCACAAGTGAGGAAACTGAGGCAAACAGGGGTTAAATGACTTGCCCAAGGTCACACAGCTACTAAGTGTCTGAAACTGGATTTGAACTCAGGAATTCCTGACTGTAGGTTTAGTGTTCTATCTACCGTGCCTCTACCTGTTTCTAAACCTTGGGGAAAGTTTCCTGCATTAGGATGTACTATAGGTTGCCTGAAGTCTTAAAGACAAAGGATACCAAAAGGTTATGCAATGATGCTATGTCACAGGGTCCCTGATCTTCTTTTCCTCTTCCGCTTATGTGCCTGATTCAGAGGTCACAAAATCCTGACACTTAACAACTGACCCTAACATTTACATAGCAATTAAATGTTTGCCAAGAGTTTACACAGATTATCTCTTTTGAGCCTTGCTATGACCCATATGACTTGCCCAGGGTGATCCAGCTGATGTCAGAATTTGAACTCGGCCTCTTGACTGTAAATTTAGTCCTGCATCCACTACACCACCCCACCTCTCATTTGGAGTTGGAGTCCTAAGACAGGAAGGAAAACCTCCAGGCCATAACAACCACGTATCACTTACTGAGGGTGCCATTCATGCTCTGGAAATTTCTAGCGACGGTGCTGGTGGCCTTCCCAATACTGAGATTCCCTGTGGCCAGGGTATCATAAAGACATTGTTCACTGTTGTTACACAGGGAAGCCCATATATACATATAGGGGGCCTTGTTTTTCAATTCAGAGAGAAAGATGGGAGTGAAGTTGCTGCTCAGATTATCATGTCTGTCATCAAAGAGGCTCTTTCCACTGACATTCCCTGAAATACATAAGACAACCCAGGGTGGTGAGCAGTGATGGTATATAGGATATGTTGCCCTCATCTTCTTTCTACCATGCCCATAGTCTCCTGTCACTGTTTACACTGTTGGGGGAAAGTGTGGCTTCTGCAACTATAAGGTCAGAGGCCATTCTTTCTGTACCAGAATTTGTTCAGCTGCTCCTCAATTGACAGGTACCCCTCTTGGTTTTTAGGTCTTTGCTATAACAAAAAGGGCTGCTATAAATATTTTGCACATATGGGTTCTTTCCCTTATTCTTTGATTTCTGAGGAGATATATATATGTATATATATATGTATGTATATATACATACATACATATATGTATGTATATATATATATATGTATGTATATATATACATATCTAGTAGTGATATTGTTGGGTCAAAAGGTATGCACCATTTAGTGACTTTTTGAATATAGCTCCAAATTGCTTTCCAAAATAGACTAATTTATAGTGATACAAATAGTGCACTGGTATCCTGTCCTCCTGTAGCCCCTCCAATATCTGTCATTTTTACCAATCTAATGAGTGTGAGGTAGAAACTTAAGAGTTGTTTTAATTTGCATCTCCCTTATCATTAGTGATCTAAAGCATTTTTCTCATAGTTATTGTTTGTTTGCCCCTTTTTTTTTTGGAGGGGGGGAGAACTGAATGTTCATAACCTTTGACAATTTATCTGTTGGGGAATGGCTCTTGTTCTTATAAATTTGAGTTAATCCTCCCCTATATCTAGGATATCATATTATTAAAAAAAGTTTTCTATAAAGATTTCTTCCCAGTTAATGGTTTTTCTATTAATTTTAACTATATTGATTTTGTACAAATGGTTTTCAATTACATGTAATCAAAATTGCTCATTTTATCTCCTCTGATACTCCATATCTTTTGTTTGATCAAGAATTCTTCCCTTATCCATAGCTGTGAAAACTATCTCTTTGTTAGGGTTCATTCTTCCATTAGGCAAAGGCCTTTTTACTTCTGCCTCCCACTCTCTCATGCTTAGAAATGTAGTCTAGAAGTAGAGAAAGAAAGAGATTTTAATACCAGGCCTTCCTGAGAGCAAATGTGATATAGCAATATCACTAAGATCGTCATAGTTTTCTTTAGATGAACTTTGGGGTACATCCCTCCCCCCAATACAGAGACAGGAAGTCTATCTCCAATAGGATTGGGGCTCCGGTGTCTATCCATCTCCCTTATCCTGGCCCCAGCACCAAGGTCTAGGACTTCCTTGAGAATTGAGAACCCCAGGACTCACAGGTCATTCCATAGTGATAAAACTCCTCGTCAGAGCTGTTCCAGGGAATGAAGGAACCATTGGGCATCTTGAAGTCATCAAAGATATTGTTATTCCAGACCCCTGGGGAAGAAAGAAGATAGTTATTATGTATATGGCATTACGTATATTTCTCAAGAAGAATTTAGCAGTGCCTTCTTAATGGGTGGGGTAGGAGCTGGAGGGGAGGAGAGAATTTCAAACTCAAAATTAAAAAAAGTTAAAAAAATAAAGAATTAATCAGGTCATATTCATTATGGAAGAAAAAATTTCATAAAGGATGAATGGACTAAGGGAACTTGAGAAATGGAATTTCTTTGGAAATTATTAAAACAAAAAAATTACAGATAGTTAGCATTGGACAGGACCTTAGAGTTCATCCAATACAACCTCTCCTTTTATTGATGGGAAAAATAAGATGTAAAGAAGTTAAATAACTTGTCCCAAATTACAAAGTTAATAGCAAAATTGGTATGAAAGTTCAGCTATCCTGAGGTCCATCCCTGTACTTTTTTTAAGGCCTTCCTAATTAGAATTCAAGAGAACCTTGCCTGCTTATAGTGTTTTCAACACCCTTCACTTGTTTCTGTTTGAAGGAGAAAGGATCACAGGAAGATAGATTTGGAACTGGAAGACTTGAACCTTAGAACCACGGAATCATAGATGTAGCATTGGAAGGAATCTTAGAGATCCCCCTCATTTTACAGATGAGGAAGCTGAGGCCCAGAAAGGTTCTAAGTGGCAGGGCCAGGATTCAAACTTAGATACTTATCCAGTACTATGCAACCTCCCTTGGGAAGTCATAGAGAGACAGGTAGATAAATAGAGAGACAAGGGACAGAGATTGAGCCACAGAGACAGAGAGATAGGTACTGAGACGGACAGAAACAGAGAGATAAGCAGAGACACAGGGACAGAAAGAAAGACAGAGATAAAGAGTGATAAAGAAATATATAGGGAAAGACAGTGAGAGATTATGGGAGAAAAGGAGAGAGAGAAGAAAGAGACTAAGAGAGAGGGGGAGAGAGAAAAGGGGAGGGAGGGAGATACAGGGGAGAGAGATAGAGAGAGAGGGAATGAGAAAGAGAAATAGAAGAAGAGTGGAGAAAGGGAGAAAGGAAGGGGAAGAGAGAGGGAGAGAGAGATAGAGAGAAGAGAGGGGAAAGAAGAAAAGAGAGGAGAAGAGAGAAAGGGAGGGGAAGAAAGAGGGAGAGAGAGAGACAGAGTAAGAAACAGAGACAGGAGCGACAGAGAGAGACAGAGAGGGAGAGAGCAGAAACAGAGGGAGACAGAGACAGAGAGACAGAAAGAGTACATATCCAATTTTTGTAGGGTATAAGCTGAGGCACAGCTTCCTTCCTCAATCTTATGTGAGAGAGTCAAAACTAGAGCAAGAATCCTTATCTCCAGATTTCAGTCTAGGCACTATTTGGGCAACTGGAAGGACTGAGAAAGTGTAAGGAAGGAAGAAATTAAGCACCTTAAATAAGGACCATGGCTTAGCAGGAGTCATAGAGCTCCTTAAGAAAACAGCTCCACAATGTGTGGAGACTGGGGATTAACTCCACTGATAGCACCAGCAACACCAGGGTCAATGACTTTCTTCCTGAACCTTGTCTTGAAACCCACAGAATCACTGAACACTCTCAAAGTCATATATCCCTTCCAAGTCATCAAGTTTAGAGAGCTACTATGATGAGAATTCTATCGAGCATAGCAACTCCTGCTTTCCTCCAGCTCTATGATTTCAGTTCTTTACCCAACATAAGAGACTGTATCCCTTTCCCCTTACCCAGAAGGCCCTCAGTGTGGTTTTGATACTCTTCTGGCAGGCTGGTAACAGCCTGCAGAATGTTGGTCAGTGCCTGCACAGAGACTACCACGGTCCCATCGAAGCTGGCAGATATCAGAGAGCCGTTTTGAATCAACAAAATTCCAGAGGAATTGTATATCTTCATATCTAGGATATTGGGAGACAAGCAAAGAAGAAGTCAGCTGAGTCCAGAAACAATAAGACTCATGAAGAACCATAGGGAAACCTGAAGACAGACCTGGAGGACATCTCAAGGGTCTGTAACAAAGGAGAATTTATTATAGCAACTCTATCCCTAACTAACATATAGTTCACATCGAGTGTCTGCACTATCTTTTTCCTCCTAGGTGAGTTTGTGTGTATTCTCAAAGGACATGATAAATGGAGAGTGATTTATAACACTCCTTTCTAGCACATTGAGACAGGCAGAATACTTGAGCTTTGGAGGCAGGTTCCTTCTTTCCTTCCTTTCTCCTTCCTTCTTTCTTTCTTTCCTTCCCTTTTTCCTCTCCCTCCTTTCTTTCCTTTTTTCTTCCCTCTCTTCCTTCCTTCCTTCCTTCCTTCCTTCCTTCCTTCCTTCCTTCCTTCCTTTCTTCCTTCCTTGCTTCTTTCGTGTCATCAGTCAACCTGCTTGTCCTGCCTCAGAGAAGGAGAGGTGATCCTTGCCTTACCTTCTGAAAAGTTGCTATGGGCAGTAAAAGTCACATTCTGTTTATTGAGTTGAACTTGGATGGTATCATTCGGTTCAAGAAACCAGTGAACCTGAAAGGAAATTGAAAGTGTTAAAAGTCCTGACCAATTACAGCCATACATTACAGCCCATATGAAGATGAGATGTGAAATTCAGAGAAGGACTGGGCAGCTAGATGGTGCAATAGGTAAGGGTGCTGGCATTGGAGTCAGGAAGACCCTAGTTCCTATCTTGCCTCAGATACTTACTTACTAGCTATGTGACCCTGGACAAATTATTTGACCTTTTTCAGCCTCAGTTTTCTCACCTGTAAAAGGGGATAAAAATAGCAACTCCTTCACAGTGTTGCTGTGGGGATCAAATGAGATAATACGTATATATGCATGTATGTGTGTGTGTGTGTGTGTGTGTGTGTGTGTGTGTGTATATATATAGTGTTTTTCAAATCCTTTTTCTTAAATTTTATTAATTTATTTTGATTTATCAACAATCACTTCCATATGCTTTTGAGTTGAAAATTTTTCTCCCCTTCCTCTCCCCCACCCTCCCCAAGATGCGACACAATCTGATATAGACTTTACATTTGCATACCCATTAAACATATTTTCACATTAGTGAAGTTGTAAGTAAAAATTAAAACCAATAGGAGGAACCATCAGAAAGATGAAACAAAACTCAACAGAAGGTAAAAATAAGTGAGAGCGATTTGACTTCCATAGTTCTTTCTTTGGATGTGGACAGCCTTTTCCATCCCAAGGCCTCTGGAGATGTCTTAGATCCATGTAATGCTGAGAAAGGTTCAGTTTAACAATCTTAGTCATTGCATAACATGGCTGTTATTGTGTGCAAAGTCCTCTTGGTTCTGCTCACTTCACTCAGCATCAGACCATATAAGTCTTTCCAGGTTTTTCTGAAGTCAGCCTGTTCATCATTTCTTATAGCACAATAGTATTCCATTACATTCATATACCACAACTTGCTCAGCCATTCCCCAATTGATGGGCATCCTCTCAATTTCCAATTCTTTGCCACCACAAAAAGAGCTGCTATGAATATTTTTGTACATGTGGGTCCTTTTCCCATTTGTTTGATCTCTTTGGGATATAGCCCTAGAAGCGCTATTGCTGGATCAAAGGGTATGCACATTTTTGTAGCCCTTTGGGCATAGTTCCAAATTGTTCTCCAAAATGGTTGGATCATTTCACAACTCCACCAACAATGTATTAGTGTTCCAATTTTCCCACATCTTCTCCAACATTTATCATTTTCCTGTTTTGTCATGTTGGCCAATCTGATAGGTGTGATGTGGTACCTCAGAGTTGTTTTGATTTGCATTTCTCTAATCAATAACGATTTAGAGCATTTTTTCATATGACTATAGATGGCTTTAATTTCTTCATCTGAGAACTGTCTGTTCATATCCTTTGACCATTTATCAATTGGGGAATGGCTTGTGTTCTTATAAATTTGTCTTAATTCTCTATATATTTTAGAAATGAGGCCTTTATCAGAGAGACTGGTTGTAAAAATTCTTTCCCAATTTTCTACCTTCCTTCTAATCTTAGTTGCATTGGCTTTGTTTGTGCAAAAACTTTTCAATTTAATGTAATCAAAATTATCCATTTTGCTTTTCATAATGTTCTCTATCTCCTGTTTGGTCATGAATTCTTCTGTTCTCCATAGATCTGATAGGTAAACTATTCCTTGTTCTCCCAGTTTACTTATGGTATCAGCCTTTATATCTAAGTCATGAACCCATTTTGACTTTATTTTGGTATATGGTGTGAGATTTGGGTCTATGCCTAGTTTCTGCCATACTCTTTTCCAGTTTTCCCAGCAGTTTTTTTCAAAGAGTGGGTTCTTATCCCAGAAGCTGGGGTCTTTGGGTTTATCAAATAATAGATTACTATAGTCATTGACTACTGTGTCTTGCATATTTAACCTATTCCACTGATCCACCTCCCTATTTCTTAGCCAGTACCAGTTTTGATGATTGCTGCTTTATAATACAATTTAAGATCTGGAATTGCTAGGCCACCTTCCCCTGCATTTCTTTTCATTAGTTCCTTTGATATTCTGGACCTTTTGTTTTTCCAAATGAATCTTGTTATTATTTTTTCTAACTCTATAAAATAATTTCTTGGTAGTTTGATTGGTATGGCACTGAATAAGTAAATTAGCTTAGGTAAGATTGTCATTTTTATTATATCAGCTCGGCCTACCCATGAGCAACTGATGTCTTTCCAATTATTTAGATCTGATTTTATTTGTGTGAAAAGTGTTTTGTAATTGTGTTGTGTTTTGCAAATCTTAAAGTGCTATATAAATGCTATCTATATATCTCATATAATTTTATTTCCCAAGATCACACTTGGAGCCCAATCCACAAAAGGAGTCCAGCTGTCCTAATGCTGGGCATTCTCCCCCTTTCCCTCCTCCCTTTTCCCTTTTTCCCTTCCTTCTCCATTGCCTTTTCCTCTCTACTGAGCTATTGTCTTTCGAGAGAGGTCCTTGTGGGCTAGAGGAACCTAAGAGAGTTATCTGCGGGGAGATGGAAAGTTCAGTCTCACGCACTGTGTTGTTTATGAGGTTGGACTGGTAGTGAGCAGCAAAGGCAACAAATTTGGTTGCTTGGGCTGACTCCATCTTGGCTGTCCGTCCATGCAGCAGGAAGGAGGAGTTTCCATCTCCGGCCTGAACCAGCTGAAAGTCTCCCAATCCATTGAAGGTGTAGCTGGCACCATCCAGGGTGGTGATATGGGGATCTCCAAACATCCAGGCTGGAAAAGTTGGGGGGACCACATTGGCATGACAATGCCAAGGCCTGGGCAGTAGCCAGGGGTAGAGAGCCTGTCCGTGGTCCCCTCCCCTGCCCTGACTTCAAGTGGTTTCATTGCATCAAGGATATCCCTTAGTTCCAACCCCTTTGGCCAGAGCCCAGCAGCCTTACCAGGTCGAGGGGGCCTATACCCTATACAGCTGACGGGAGGCCTCTTCTGCTGGTACAGGTAACACAAGAATGGCTTGTCATTCCACCGGCAGCACCAGTTTTGAGCCTCCTCTTCTTGCTCTGTTGAGAACAACATCTTGCTCAGAGGGGAAATGAATTTGGAGAATCCAGGAGAGAAGACCAGTGTGAGCTTAGGTAAGTTCATGGCACTCTCTCTGGGCACCACTTCCTGCCTATAGGCCCTAAGCATGGGTAAAAAAGGAATACTTGATATGATTTGAGGGGGTCATAGGATTTGGAGCTGGAAGAAACCTTAAGTCTAGTCCAAGACTAGATCATCTAGTGAAGAAAGTGGGGCCAAGAATGACTACTTAAAGTCACATAAAAAATAAATGACCAAGCCAGGGTTCAAATCCAGTTAATTTGAATCTGGGTGTTCTTTTCATTATGTTAAGCTCCCTTACTCAATCAACTCTAGGGATTTCCTATTGCCTTGAGGATAAAATATATACTTCCTTCTTTAGCTTTTAAGCCCTATACCACCTAGCTCCAATCTATCTTTATGGGTTCATTGAGCATCACTCCCTCCCACATTCTGCAATTCAGACAAACTGGCCTACTTCTTAAACATTACCCTCCATCCATCTTCCATCTCCTTCCCTTTGCATTGGTCATCCCCCATATGTGGAATGTGCTCCCTTTTTACCTTCACTTCATGGCTTCCTTTAAGATGCAGCTCAAGTACCATCTTCTGAATGACACTCCCAACTACTAGTGTCTTTCCCTCCAAACTACCTTGTATCTAACTACTCTCTCTCTTTATGTATTTATATATATATGTATATATATATATATATATATATATATATATATGTGTGTGTGTGTGTGTGTGTGTGTGTGTATGTATATGTGTGTGTGTGTGTATACAAGATAAAGAAAAAAATATATATATATTTTTCTTTATCTGGTACATATTTTTTATGTACTTGTAACTGAGGCAAACAAGGTTAAGTGACCTGCCCAGGGTCATTCAGCTAGGAAGTTTGAGGCTGGATTTGAACTGATTGAGATGAGTCTTCCTGACTCCAAGCCCAACACCCTGTCCACTGTGCCACCTAGCTGCACTTTCAAATAGTAGAAAGTACTACACAACTACAGCCTGTAGATACTATATCCCCCAAAGTCCTCCTCTGTCTCATCCTTGAGGCATGGAATGACAGAGTGCCTTCTGAGGCTATGCCGGGAAATACAAGCTCTTTCAAGTCCCAACATACTGAAAATGTTTGGAGTTGGTCCTGCTCATGGACTCTTGTCCAAGAATCCATTTAGCTACATTCAGTGACGCTCATTAGCAAATTAGTCTCAGGGTGATGTGGTTTTTCAGTCAAGTAACTACTGGAGATCATCTACTTAATTGTAGAAGGATTGTTATCTGCATTAGTGGAAGGAAGAACACACGTCAGTGAATTTACAAGCCCTTGGTAGATCAGAGCAGTATAATTTGTATAATTTAGCCAAGGCTGACTGGGTAGGTAGGTGGCATAGGGGATAGAGTGCCCAGCCTGGAGTGAGGAAGACTCATTTCCTCGAGTTCAAATCCAGCCTCAGACACTTCTAGTTATGTGACCTTGGATAAGTCACTTAACCCTGCTTGCCTCAGTTTCCTCATCTGTAAAATGAGCTGTAGAAGGAAATAGCAAATCACTCTAGTATCTTTGCCAAGAAAACCCCTCAGGAAGAGTCCAACATGACTGAAATGACTGAACAACAAAAAAGTCAAGCCTGGAGCATTTGCATGCTATTCTCCACTGGTGGGGAGAAAAAGGACTCCACTGACTTGGCTGTGTCTGTGTGAGGGCTGCAGTGGGCCAGACAGCTTTAGAGAAGAGAGATATTTTTCTGCCTTTTGGGAGGAGAAGATGTAGGTTGCTTTAGATTAGTCAAACTCAACCTGAAATGGAGCCACTAAACTGTATATAACGTTCCTTGTGGCAGCATATTAACTTAGAAAACCATATATCATCATCATCCTATTCTATTGTATTTTTATTTATTTTGCTAAACATTTCCGAATTATATTTTAAACTGATAATAGAGTTATCAGGAGAGTTGTAGACCAGTGTTTGATAGCTTTCTTCTAGACCCTTTTCACAAAGAACTTTGGAGAGAGAGTAGACTTTAGCAAGCAGCAGTCATATTGCCTGAGGAGCTGGCTTTCCCCTAAAAGCCTGCCTTCCAAAGTCTATTCTCTCCCTGAAATCCCTGAGGTGAGTCTAGAATAGGGCGCGTCCTCTCTAAAAGCAGGAAGGAAAGAGATTATTGAATCTTTTATGTCCAAAGCTCTTGTGACAACTTTGCCCTTCACTGCAGGCATATAGCCTGAAGTTTCTCTCTCCACCCATGAGAAGAGTCATATACAAATGATCTGAGCTCAGCTGGAATCATGAAATAATGGTTTTTTTTATTAATTTATTTTGATTTATCAATAGTCACTTCCATAAACTTTTGAGTTTTAAGTTTTTCTCCCTCTCCCCCTTTCCCTCCTTCCCCGAGAGAGCTCACAATCTGATATAGGCTACACATATGCATCGAATTATGTTTTTATAGGTGCTTAGGGGTACTTGCATTCCTTGTGAAAGACAGAGCAAGGGGCAGCTAGGTGGTGCAGTGAATAGAGCACTGGCCCTAAAGTCAGGAGGACCTGAGTTCAAATCCAGCCTCAGACACATAATACTTCCTAGCTGTGTGACTCTGGCAAGTCACTTAACCTCAATTGCCTCACTTAAAAAAAAAAAGAGAGAGAGCAAAATTTCATAGCGTAGCAAGAGGCAAGATTGCTGACCCCTGACTTGGAAGGTTGAGCACATGCTTGGAAGACATATTGGTTTCAGGAGAAAACATGCATGGCAGTACAAAGTTATATCGGCAGCTGTTTTTCAGCTGTGTCTGACTTTTTGGGACCCCTTTTGGAGTTTTCTTGACAAAGATACTAGAGTGGTTTGCCATTTCCTTCTCCATATATAGATAGCAACACTGATGGGCCAACAGAAAGAACTGGCCTTAGGGTGATGGCCAGGCCAATAACGTTTGGAGGTAAGAAATTCTGAAACAAACTTTAAACTTTAGAAATTTTCTTTATAATCTATAGAGCCTTGACTTCCAGGGATATGGCTCATTTGCTTTCATCCTACTTGTAGCTTGTAAACAGGCAGATACAGTGCACCTTAACTAGGCCCCTACCCCTTTCTAGGCCATGTACAGAACACACAGACTACCAGATTGACCTCAAGGTGAGAACTTTCAAGGGCAAATTCACTGAGGATAGAAGAAGAGAGGGACAGAAGCTGGTGTCCTTGGGCTTGGAGTTCCCCTTACAACTGTGGGAGGATTTTGCCTAGGGATGGAGTGGGGTGAGTTATTGCCACCTCAAACACTAGGAAGAGGACTCATTATCTGGGAAGCATTGCCCCTGAGATAGTGCAGAAGTGGCTCTGGTACTAGGGGAGCCAGGCAAAAAATACATACTTGGGAACCTAAAAACTATTATAGGATTATGGACCTAGACCTATAAAGGGATTTTAGAGGCTATGAAGTCCAAATCCCTTCATTTTACAGATGAGGAAACTGAGGCCCAGGAAAGTGAAATGACTTGCCCAAGGTCATATAGGTAGTTAGTGTCAGAGGTAGGATTTGAACACAGAACTTCTAATTCCAGAGTCAGAGCTTGTTCCACTGTATTCAGTAGTAATCTTTAAAATAAAAAAAATTTCAAAATACATCAACCATTACAACTTTAAAACAATTCTAGAGGTACTCATTTTAGAGGAATCAGGGTATAGGAGCAACAGAGCTAGATATGGAGTTAGGAAGACCCAGGTTCAAATTCTGCTTCAGATACTTAACAGTCACGTGACCTTTTGGAGAGGATCCCAGAGGCCAGCTAGTCCAATCCACTAATTTTAAAGACAAGGAAATGAAAAGCCTGCGCAGATCAGGAAACCTCCCCAAAGGTCACATTGCTCCATCTCCTGTGCTTCCTCTTCTAAGCCTCAGTTTCCTCAACTTTCTAGCCACATGACTTTGTTATTTTATCTCAGGTTCCTCATTTGCAAAATGGAATTTTAAAAATTATATCTACCTTACAATGTGATTATGAATACCAAATGAGGTGTTTGTAAAGAACTTTAAATGTTATATACACACCAGCTGTTACTATTTTTTCCCTTTTAATACTTTTTGTATATGTTTAAAAAAAATTGGTTATCACAAAGCAAATTGGTTTTCATGTTCTATCTATTTTAAAATGACCCATTCAATTGTTGAATGTATAGATTAATCAATCAATCAACAAGCATTTATTAAGTGCCCGGGGATCTTATATTCTAAAATATGAGATTATCAGTGGACAGCTGACCCAGTGACGGACTAGGTTCCAACCTATGACCCTAAATGGTGACTCTAATTTTCCCCTCTGAAGGGCTGGTCGGGGTCTGAACTCTGAGGGCAGTTGACTCTCTAGACTGGGAAAACACTTCCTTCCTTCCCTCCTTCCCCCTTCCCCCTTCCTTCCCTCCTTCCCCCTTCCCCCTTCCTTTCCCTTCCTTCCCTCCTTCCCTTCCTTCCTCCTTCCTTCCTTCCTTCCTTCCTTCCTTCCTTCCTTCCTTCCTTCCTTCCTTCCTTCCTTCCTTCTTTCCTTCCTTCCTTCCTTCCTTCCTTCCTTCCTTCCTTCCTTCCTTCCTTCCTTCCTTCCCTTCCTCCCTCCTTCCTTCCTCCCTCCTTCCTTTCCTTTCCTTTCCTTTCCTTTCCTTTCCTTTCCTTTCCTTTCCTTTCCTTTCCTTTCCTTTCCTTTCCTTCCTTTCCTTTCCTTTCCTTCCTCTCCTCTCCTCTCCTCTCCTCTCCTCTCCTCTCCTCTCCTCTCCTCTCCTCTCCTCTCCTCTCTCTCCTCTCCTCTCCTCTTCCTCTCCTCTCCTCTCCTCTCCTCTCCTCTCCTCTCCTCTCCTCTCTTCCTTCCTTCCTTCTTCCTTCCTTCCTTCCTTCCTCCCTTCCTTCCTCCTTCCTCTCTTCTCCTCCCTTCCCCCTCCCTCCCTTCCTTCCTTCTTTCCTTCCTCCTTCCTTCCTTCCCTTCCTTCCTTCTTCCTTCCTTCCTTCCTTCCTTCCTTCCTTCCTTCCTTCTTTCCTTCCTTCCTTCTTCTTTCTTTCTTTCTTTCTTTCTTTCTTTCTTTTCTTTCTTTCTTTCTTTTCTTTCTTTCTTTCTTTCTTTCTTTCTTTCTTTCTTTCTTTCTTTCTTTCTTTCCTAGTTCTGAGCTGATGACAGGCAAGGATGAAAGAGCGAAGGGCTAGAAAGCTCTATATTTAAAGGACAGGAATAGAACCTTCCTAGGAAGAGCGGAGGTTTATGAAGTGGAGGTGGGGTTGGGAAAGGTCTGGTCAGACCAGAGAAGGCGCACTCACCAAGGTCCCAAGGGTTGCGGACACTCCAGCCATCACGAAGCTCTCCCCAGTTACCATACACACAGCAGATGCTCCCTCGCCAGGAAGAAAAGCTGCAGAGCTGCCTTCTGTTGGTCCAGCCTGCAACAAGCCCCAGCCCTGCTCAAACCCCAGCTCTGGGTGGTTTTGGTGAGGGTGACAGTTGGGTGGCAAACGTAATTCCCAAACCTGGGATCCTACTTCCTACTTCCCTGGGGAATTGGGAATGGGGGAGAGGTTGGGGGACTTGGAAAGTGAGAGAGTATGGAAGCAATTAAATCATTTTACTTCAATTGAAAACACTAAGAAATAAATATTCCTCAAATCTAAAGTCCTTTTCCAGACTTTCCCCTTTAGGAGAGTGTATAAAAGGTCAAGAACAAAAGCCAAGGTCTTAGAAAAATGGGTTAAGAACGGTAAACAAAATTAGAACAAGAAATCCCTTATTTCCAGTTAAGATCACTGTCTTCTCCATTTCCTACAGGGTTAAGAGTTATGACCCACTAAAAGTATCACCCTCTTTCCCTCACTCTGGAGTGGTTAGGGTAGATCACTATAGAACCCACTATAGAATTGATCACCACTATAGAATTTGACCCCACTATGGAGGGGTGTGGTCAAAGAAAAGAATCGGGCAGTCTTTGGAGAAGATTAAATGATTATTGTTCCATTATGGAACAGAAGGCTCATCACAAACTATATTTTATCATATTATGACTATTTTTCTGATTCAAGATTCCTATAAATGTTACTTCAAATTGTGTGGGAGTGGGGTAAGGAGATCATGTCAGTTTGGGTATTTCTCTACACTAGAAATGCTCAGATTTAGAATAGTGTGGAAGCAAATCATTTCTTCCAGACTTGTGTCTAAAAGCCAGAGGGCAGTATTAATATTTTTTCTTCGATAATAGTTTAGTTTGAATTCCTTGGGAGGAACTGGGGATCTAGGGCAGGGCAAAGAAGCTGTTGCAAGAAGGACTGGGGAAAGGAGAAAGAAGGGAAGAATGACGGTTGGAGAGGAGGGAGAGAGAGTAGGGAGATGGAACTGCAGGATAAAGAGTTCAGGAGGAGATGGGGAGAGGGTATCACCTGTTCTAATTGGTTGAAATCTTAGGTCCCATAGGCCCTGCTGCCAGGAGCAAGGACAAAACAGGTTCCAGTTCCATCCTCTCATTGGGTTCTGCTTCAGCCACTGCAGACACTTCAAGCGGTAGTTTGGTCGGATTTCCCACTCTCTTTGTAACTTGTATATCTGAAAACCCCTGTAGCCTGGGGTGGAAGGTAGGGAACGAGACAGAGGGGAGGTTTAGACCAGGTCACAGCCATTGTTTGGTTTCTTTGGGGTTTTTAGGGACAATTGATAATTTAAAAATATGCCCCATTCCCCATACTAGTCTTTTGCCTTGTTTTCCTTCACTGCACAGCTTGGGATCTTCTCATAGGATCAAAAAGATTATAGATTTAGAAGTGGAAGGGATTTCAGAGGTCATTTAGTCCAATTCTTTTATTTTAGATATGAGATAACTCAGGCCCCAGTAGCTTAAATGACTTGTCCAAGCTCACAAAGATAGTAAGTGACTCAACACATCCTTTTTGGGAATCCCTCCAAGAATGTCAGAAATAAGCATGAAGAAGATTATGTCAAGGAGGCTTTACTTACCCCAGCATATCCATCCAGACAGGGATAAAAACTTAGAAGCTACCAAGAAAAGAGCCCAGTAGGTCAGGGCAGGAATGAGGCTGTGGGTTACCGGGTCAGGAAGTCTGTTGTGAATCTTCTGCATTAGGAATTTGATGTGTCCCTAAATTCCCTAGAGCTGAGACCAGTCATTTCCCAGCTGGTACAACTGGGTGCTTGAACTATAAGCCAAGATCTTAGAGAAATTTGGAGTCCAGATGCCAAAGATCTTTACCTCCAAATACAGGACAATACGGATTCAGGACACAAGGGAAATCGACTGTGCCCTTGCCCCATCTCTTCCCTGCCCCCCAATTCCATGCCCTCACAGAGTCCAGCTTACAGTGTTTTACATTTGTAAGTGCTCTAGGCTCCCCGAAGGATGTTCTTCTAGGAAAAATTATCTTCTAGAGGTAACCATGACACCATGCAGTCCAAGTCCTGATCGATTTGAAGGTTGGGGGATCAGGGTGGGCAAAGGATATGGGAAAAGAGGCTAGCGAACTTGGAAAATACATGCCCTACTACAGAGTTCCAACTAGGCTGGGATGATCAGAACTTTGTTCTATGACACCAAAGTTCAGAGGGTATAAAATATACTTCTTCAACAGCACAGAAACAACTGAGCTTAGTAACTGGTTAGCAAAATTATTAGTTAAAATAAGCTACCAGATAGCACACTACATTTGTTAACAATACCTCTCTGTGAGCCACATAGTAACCAATTTCTCCTCCTGCTCAACTGAATTTGTCTCAATTCTAATATTATTTTCATATCATGAACTACAAAATTGATTTAAGCTCTGAAATTTCTTGATATTTGGTTTGGGGACCAAAATTGCTAGCTACATATATGCTCTGTATCTATTCTTTTTTTGGAAGGTATGTGAATAAAATGAAGGTAATTCTGTTACCTGTTTCAGAACCTTTGACCTGATCTGGACGATATTTCTCCTCTGGGGGCCTTGAGGTCAGGGGATCATTGAAGAAAAATCCATCTCCACTGGGAGCAAAGGAAAGAACCTGAGATTGCAGTGCCTGCTAATGTTAGGGGCTATACTGTGTGTTCCCTGGACAGAGCCCTACGCTAGGCACTGTGAGGAGTCTGATCCATAACCCTAGTACTTACATAGGGAATATAGAAATTCATTCAGTCAGGAGCCCAGGGAAGAAAGACAGCAGAAAAAAATGAGACTGAGCCTGATTGTGTCTTTCCCAGAAAGGGACTGAGAAGGGACCTTAGAAGGCAAATCAGGGGAGGGCAGGAGGAACTCAGCACTCTACTGTTTTGGATACAAATTACCTCACTGAGACATCTTGTCAGGCCTCCCTCTTTCATTCTCCCTCCCAATAGGAAAAAAAAGTATATAAAAAAATAAAGGGCATTTGCCTTCTTGCCCATTTACTTTGCATATATTTTACATTTATTTATCTGTATATATGTTGTATCCCATAGTAGAATGTACGCTCCTTGAGGGGAAGGGCTGCTTTTATTTTTGTCTCTGTGTCCCCAGTGCCTAGCACATAGTAGATGCCTAATAAACGTTTGCTGAATTGAATTTGAGTCAATATGAGTAAGAGGCATCTATGTTATGTGGGGGATGGAGGGTAGGGTAAGGAAGTCATGAATATCTACATATTTGAAACAATGTTCTATGTCCTTTCTTAGAATCAAGTATGACAAACTGAAGTGACAGCCACCTTCCCCATGCTACCTGGAGAAGCCTATGAGAACATCAGCTGCTGAGGATGGGGGCACAGCCCACCTCATTCCACCATTCTGGTAAAGGATCAGGGCGAAAGAGCAGCTCCCATCAGTTGTGAGGATGGCCTGGAAGGTGTTGTCCTAGAAGTTTGGGGTAAACATATAGACACTCAGTGGGTAGTCAACTTTCTCTATATTGCACAGACGTTGTGTTAAATATCACCCTTCCCTCTGCCCCCTAACATACCTAGTATTTTAGGCCAAGCAGTGATGAGAAATACACACACACACACACACACACACACACACACATACACACACAGACATATATACATATACATATATACATACATACATACATACATATATGTATATGTATTTGTCATCAACTCATTTGGGTCTTTAGAGAAATTTTCATCCATGGCTGTCTCAAAGCACTTTATAAACTAGAAATTGCCTTCTTTATAACTCATTTCCAGGAGGTGAGAAAAATTATTCTATATTACAGTTTAAAGTTAGAAAAGATGGTTTACAGGATATAATTAAAGGGATTTAAGTTTATTATTAGGAATAAGAGAAAGTTAAAGGAGAGCTTGATCAGCCTCCTCAGATATATTGTACATAAAATGGTGATCTACTATTCTTTGGTTTAAAAGAAGATAAAAGAAATTGCAGTAGTGAGGATGAGATATTTCTTAAAGTACCTCACAGATACATCTTGGTATTCACAGCTCTTAGCTTGTGCCTGATACAAGACTATTTTGCAATAAATATTGGAATGAATGACTGAACTTAGGCTAGGTACTGCAAAGAATTTCCTGTCTGTAAGGCCTATGACTCCCCGGAGTATGTTACTAAGTAGTTTTGGTTGAATCTCTTTCTCTGGAAAATTTTTAAGAACACATTATATTAAGCTTTCTTACTTGAGGAGAGTTTTGGGAGACCTCTCTCCCCTAAAGGTTCTTGAATGCTTCTTTTCAGATCGCTATACAGGGAGCTTTCTGAGTCTTTCTGCTTACCCCAGATATTCTTTGGGCTGGGTATGGAGGAGCTTTAACCCATGTGATCTTCAGGGTCCATCTGGCCTCATACTGGATCCCAGTAGATTTTAGAATCTGAGACTCCACTTCTTTCAGGAATCTGTTTTTTTCCCCATAGAATGTATTGTATTCCTAGGAAGGAGAGAGGAAAATATAAGGACCTACCCAGAATCCCCTTCTGTTGCCCACCCCTCCTTCTTCTAGGTTTCTCCTTTAATCCCTATTCCTTTACCTCCCTCTACCATGCCCAAATAATTTCATATCATTTTTCATCAACTTGAGTCTTGTTTTTTTTTGTCTCGTTATTAAATATCTCTCAATATTTTCTAAGTCTTTACCCCTTCCCTTGAACCCGTCCTGAAATTTATGCTGGCGCAAGTGGGGATCAGGTATCTGCTTTTTTCTCTAAGTAATTCCTCTAAGAGTATCAGATGATACTTTCACAGAGGGCATCTTAAGGGACTTCACCCCCTCTCTGTGAGCAAAACAGGCCAAGAATTATTCTCTTTCTTTTACAAATGAGAAATTGAGGCATAAAGAGACTAAGTGATATCTCCCAGGATTTCCTAATCTATAGAAGGAGAGTAGATGAGGTGACCCCTATGTTAGACCCTCCCAGCTCTAACATTCTATGATTCAGAAGTAATAACAGTTATATAGTGTTTACTAAATGCCAGCCACTGTACTAAGCACTTTACAATTATTATCTCATTTGGTCTTCACAGCAACCCTACAAAGTAGGTATGGTTATTATCCTCCTTTTACAGAGGAGGAAACTGAGGCAAAGTTTAAGTGATTTGTCCAGGGTTATGCAACTAGTTAGTGTATGAGTCTGGATTTGGACTCAGCTCTCTCTGACTCCAGGCCTGGGGCTCTATCCTCTGTGCCAAGCTGAAGTTTTTTTGGCCTCTAACCAAGTGTTCTTTGCACTAGGGCTTTCAAACCTCTGGCTTCCTTTCCCTAGGCCTGGATTTCCACCTTAGAAGTGGATCATCTATTCTGAATGCAGGATCAGTTAGAAGCCTGGCCACCAGGAGGAAGCTGGGACTCATGGGGAGGTCGTTGTTTGTCTTTCATTCTGGAAGAGGACCATGACATCAGGAAGGTGATGCCATGACTTGCAAATGAATTGGATTTAAGTGAGGCAGAACTGTGCCAAGTCACAGGGAAGTAAAAACAGATGGACAGGACTGAGGCTCAAAGAGGACTCCTAGCAGTAAAGATCTAGCTGGAAGGCTTTCCTCTCTCAGTCTCTCTAATTAAATCCTATCCATTCTCAGCATTTGCATCTCCAGGGCCTATCCCAGTGCCTGGCACTTACTTACTGACTGATCTTTCAGAGTCCAGCTCATATGCTGACTTCTGCATGAAGCCTTCTCTTGCCAGTCCAGCTAGAAACACCTTCTCCTGCCTTTGGTTTTCAATAGCACTTCTGTTCGATCCATATAGTACTTAGCACATTCTGCCTTGTCACGTATCTAAGTCACCTTTGTATCACCTCTAACTTCTCTTTTGCTGCAGTAAAGCTTTTTAAAATTAAATAATTTAAATTTAAATTAATCAGAGTTAATTCAATTTAACAAGCATTTATATTTATTTAAATTGGTCATGTGAGAAGGCAGCTTAATGGGCACTGTAGTCTACTAAAGAGAAAAGCAACTATGAAAAGAGGTACAGAGCCATGGTGAAGAGATTGAATATGATGCCTTTTCTTTAGATTTCTTTTTGGCAGAAAAGGGAGAGGATGAGGCATGAAAGGCAGGAATTTCTGAACAGGCTCACAGCAGGGTCATGCTGGGGGTGGGGTTGTGTTCTGAGAGAAAGTAGACTTAAGTGAAACAGAGAGAAATGAAAGTTATCAAATGGCAACAGGTAAGAATGTGAGAAAGGCCAATGTAAATTCTATGAATCAAACCATTTTAAATCATTTTTATACAAAGTTTTGAGTTCTAAATTCTATCCTTCCTTTCCTCCCCCCATGATAAGCAATCAAATACAGATTATACATGCACAATTATGTAAAACATTTCCATATTAGTCATTTTGTACAAGAAGAGATGAATAAAAATAAAAAAATATGGAAGAAAGTGAAAAATAGCATGCTTCAGTCTGTATTCAAACAATATCAGTTCTTTCTCTGGAGGCAGATAGCATGCTTCATCATTAGTCCCTCAGGATAGTTTTGAATCATTGTATTTCTGAGAATAGCTAAGTCATTCACAATTCTCCATAGAAAAATGTTGCTGTTACTGTGTATAACGTTCTCCTGATTCTGTTCACTTCGCTATGCATCACTTAATGTGTTTTCAAGTTTTCCTGAAATCATCCTGCTTGCCTTTTCTTATAGCACAATAATATTCTATTACACACAGCTTGTTTAGGTATCCCCCAGTTGATGGGCATCCCCTCAATTTTCATTTCTTAGCCACCACAAAAAGAGCTGCTATAAATTTTTTTTTGTACAAATAGGTCCTTTCCCCCTTTTCTGGTTGTCTTTGGAATATAAACCTAGCAGTAGTATTGCTGGATCAAGGATATGCAGTTTTATAGGCCTTCAGTTATAGTTCCAAATTGCTCTCCAAAATTGTTGGATTCATTCACAACTCCACTAACAGTGCATTAGTATCCCAATTTTCACACATCCCATCCGACATCCACATTTTCCATTTTTTGTCTTATTAGCCAATTTGATAGGTGTGAAGTGATATCTCACAGAGTTGTTTTAATTTGTGTTTCTCTAATCAATAGTGATTTAGAGCATTTTTCATATGACTACAGATAGCTTTGGTTTCTTTGTCTGAAACTGCCTGTTCATATCCTTTGACTATTTATCAATCATATTTTTATAAATTTGACTCATTTCTCTATACATTTGAGAAAGAGTCAATTCTCACAGGCCTAAGACTGGGGAACTTATTGGCAAATAGATGAGGACTATTAAGTCACAGTGAAGATGCTGACTGGTATTTGTAAGAGTTTTTTCACCACAGAGTTCCTTCTATCAGTAAAAACTGAGGTCCAGGCCCTTTCCCTATCCCATTGGCAAAACTACGTCAGAGTTCTTTCAATGGACTCGGGCAGATTTATACAACACTTGTTTAAGATAGTGGGGTCCTTTCTAGGAGTCAGAGCTGGAAAGGGTTACCTAGTTGAACTCACTCTAGGTCAGATGTAGGGAACCTTTGGCGGAGGCTGGAAGTCCTCAAGTGCGGCCCTTTGACTGAATCCACACTTCACAGAATCACCTTTGTGGTTCCAGTCAAAGGCCCCACAGGGCCACATGTGCCTCGAGGCCAGAAAGTTCCCCACTCCTGCTCTAGGGGAACTGGAAAATATATGCTTAAGGGTTAACCTAAAGTTATCAAATCTTAAAACCGGGGCAGCTAGGTGGCACAGTGGATAGAGCACCGGCCTTGAAGTCGGCCTCAGACACCTAACACTTACTAGCTGTGTGACCCTGGGCAAGTCACTTAACCCCATTGCCTAGCCAAAAAAAAAATCCTATAATCCTCTGATGTCCCAATTTAAATAGTTTCAGTGACAATTTTGAAATCCCTAAGATTTACAAAGATGCTGCTAATGTGATAACCAGCCCTCCCCTAAAATATGGGGGGGCTGAATCAGCACTGAAATATGTGGTTCTGATTCAAATCCCTCCATAAATCTCAGTGCTCTCTACCTCAGTTTAAAAAGTTTAACCACGGCAAAGGAGTAAACTCCTTAAGAGTTCCCTGAAGGTTGGCAGGTATGTTCTTTGTATCTAGCCTTACAGCCTCAACAAAACACTGAGCACCAAGTGGAAGTTCACAACATGTATGTAAGATACTTAAATGCTTGAAGATAGCATGAAGCATGAGGCCTGAGACATCTAGCACACTAGAAAAGAAGCTACTTTGAAAATAAGACATCCAAAATAAGTTCTATGCGGAACCTCTGAAAAAAGGCAAATAATATTAGGGAAAACTACTATTTTTCTTCCTAAGCTTCCCACAATGCACATGTATCTTAGAAAAAAAAAACAACTTTGGGCACTGCTAATTTCCCAAGCAACATGTTGTAGAGCAGCTGGGTTAAAGAACTTTTTTTTTTTTACTATTTGTTTAAAAAAGTGTGAACCAGAGGAAAAGATGCAAGCTAAGGAGTACTTATATTAAAGAATCTTTACTTTCAAATGACCATCCTTATACTAAATGTAACAGGGTATTTTTAGGCACCTGAGTTCTGTCAGTTGGTTCTGTTCCATCAAGGTTAACTCAAAAGATCCTAAATAGCTGTTCACTCACCCCCATCCAGGTGGAGCTATTTTAAGGTTACCCGTTTACTTACTTCCCGAGGTTTCCTTAATGTTTACAATAATTATGCCCTTTAGAAAGCTACATAGAACTGCATATTCTTTTAAACTTTTTTTCTTTAATGAATTTTCTTCTGCACTAAGACCCACTAGGAAAGCAGAGTAGCATTGCCCCGTAGAATTGAGTAATTTAACTCCTTTCTTCTCTCCTTGAATTTAGTTAGCTTCCTTCTTTCTTTAAGGAATTTTCTCCTGCACTAAGACCACTGAGAAAAGTAGTGTGGCATTCTCCAGCTTACCAACAAAATGCCTAGAAAAAGTTGTACTCATTATATGAGTTAGTAAGAAATAAGAGATAAGACTATTATTAAATCTCTGGATGAGCTTTCAACATGTATGTAGCCAGATTCTCTAGTCTCCAACAATGTTGATATGCTATACCGAACACTATACAGAAGTAATTTGAAGTGTCCACACAAGAATATAATTACAACATGGCTAAAACTTCACATTGTACAGTAGGGTAACTGAACCTCCAACTTATGAAATATGGGCTTGCTTTTTTTTTTCTTTCTTTCTTCCTCCTTTTCTTCCTTCCTTCCTTTCCTTTCTTTCTTTCCTTTCTTTCTCTCCTTTCTTTCTCTTTCTTTTCCCTAATTGTATAATGACTTTGGTCTTTCTTACTTCATCCTTTCCTTCCTTCCTTTTCTTTCTCTCCTTCGTTCTCTTTCCCCTAATTATAAAATGAGTTTGGTTTCACGGGGTTTGGGCTGAATTTGATACACCAAGTCCAACAGGAATTCCACAGTCGCCTCCTTGTTCTTCTGGTACTGGTCTTGGATTAAGTTTAATTTCTCCTGGGTTTCTTCCTCTAATTCGACGCTGTCCATGCTATGGCTCCCAAGTGTCTCAAGTTCCTTGGCCTTAAATTCCTCTTCCCTCTTCAGTCGGTACTTTTCCACCTCATTCTGAGCTTCTTCCTTGGCCCGCTTCAGTCTCTCAAGCTTTCGCCTGCGGGCTTCGGCAATCTTTTCTGAAGCGCGCTTTTCTGCCTGCAGAAGCTGCTGGAGCCCTGCGACTTGCTGGCCATGGCGAGCCCCTCCGGAGCCCAGACTGCTGGGACTCAACCCCTTCCCTCCTTCCGACCACTCTTCTTCCCCGTAGGTCCGCGGACCCATCCCACATCCCGGCTGCAGAGGTGGACTACGCCATCAAGCATTTATTAAACACCTATTATGTGCTAAGGCCTGGAGCCACCAAGGCAAAAAGTCCGTGCTCCCCGGAGAGCTTGCATTTTATCAGGAGAGACCATGGGCGTACACGTCAAAAAAAAAAAATACAAAATGTATACAGAGTATCGGGCAAGGCAAATTTCGGGAGACTTGTGAGGAGCGGAAGAGTTGAGGAAATGGGCTCGTGGAAGACCCGTAGTGACTGAGCTGATCTTTGAAGGAAATTAGAGATTCTAAGAAGTAAAAATGAGAAGAGAGTACAATCTAGGCAATAGGAGGCGGTGAGGGGAGGGAAGAATGGCATGTATGAGAAACAGGAAGAAGGCCAACTTGAATGAAAGAGGAGTAAAGTAAATAAGGCCCAACAGATGGGTTTGATGGCAATAACATCTATCACCTACCCTGTAGGTTGTGAGGCTCGAATGAGATTTCATTTGTACCGAGCTTTGCAAACCTTACAGCACCATGTAAAGGATAGCTATTATTGTTAGCTATTATTTCAATGCTAAAGACAGGAGTTTACAGTTGACCCTACAGGCGATAGGGAGGGAGCCCCTGGATGTTACTGATCTGAGAAGCCATAGCGATATGGCCAAACCTGAGCTTTGGCAGACGTGTGGAGGGTGGATAAGGGACAGACTTGAGGGAGGAAGGCCAATTAAGAGACTATTTCAATATTCCAGGTCAGCGGTGATGGAGAATTAGGGTGGTGTCTGTATGTGAAGAGAAGGGGATGAGTATGAGACATGCCATGCAGTCTTGGCAATGAATTGGATATGACTGAGAATGAAGTCAAGGATGACTCCTAACATTGCAAAGCACTGTGACTGAAAGAATGGCGGTAACCTCAAGAGAAATAGATTATTTAGGAAGAGGAGGGAGTTTTGGGAAAAGATAATGAGTTCTGTTTCAGACAAGTTGATTTTAGAAATGTCTACAGCATAACCCATTCAAAAAGTCTAATGAGGAGTTGGTGATGTGGGACAACAAGGGATTGGACCGCAGGAGAATGACTAGTCTGGGGGTGGGGAACCTGTGGCCTTGAGGCCACATAGGACCTTCTAGATCCTTAAGTGCAGCCTTTTGAATGAATCTAAATTTTATGGAAGATTCTGCAAAATTTGGATTCAATCAAAAGGCAGCACTTTAAGGATCTAGAAGGCCACACGTGGCCTCAAGACCGAAGGTTCCCCACCCTTAGACTAGAACGTTTTGTAGGAGGGGACTCAAGCTGAAACAATTCCTTAAGGTGGAGAACATGGGGGACACGCTTTTAGAAGGCAAGTATTGTACTTCATTCATTTCAGCCCTATATCCTTTTCATTCTCTAGCACAATGTCTTGCACATAGCAGATGCTCAATAAATATTTTTGACTGAATGAATAGCAATAGAACCAATAATCCAGTCCAGGATCAGAAGAATACTTTTTGACATGATCCAAGTTTATTAAAGCAAGGTTCTTGAAACAACTTATTTTTGATGTGTGATTTCATTGATATAGGGAACTCTGGAGAGGAAACACCCTAAGTTGGCATCTGCTCACAATGCATCTTAGAGAATTTCCTGGGTCACAGCAGGGTCTAATGATTTACCTAAAATCACACAGCTAGTGGGCATCAGAGGTAGAACAGCTCTTTGTCCACTTTACCTTACTGATCCTCTTGTCTGGGTGTCCTTGATCCTGATTCTTAGCCATTCTTTTCCTCCCCTGCTTTCCACTCCTCCCACTCAATTCTAGACACCCTTAGTACCATTTGAACCAAACCAGTCATACCCACCTGGTAATATATTTCTCCTCGACCACTGGAAAAATCAGCATCATCCCAAAATGCAGCCACTGTGGCCAAATGGTAGTTGGCTGTAAAGCCCCCGGGAGGTGGGTTCGGGTAGGAGAAAATGTCGAATTCTGAGGGTGGGAAGATGATCTGGCCATTGTCTGTAAACTGAAGGTAGTCATGTTAGCATTCAGGCTCTTAGCAGAAGAGAGGGAGGGAACCAGGAGCTTAGTTTAGCTGAATGTGCAGATGGGGCAGTAGCTGGCATCATAGAGATGGCACAGTATCTTGGTATATATCATCCATCCCCTTACCTTCAGGTTAGTCTTTTGAATCATCCCTGCTTCACTAGGCAAATTTATTACAAGGATTTTATTTTACTTTTCTTTTTCCATTGGGCAGAGGAAGGTGGAAAGAGAAGGGGAAATAGGGATAGGGCAAAAACGAAAGAAAAAAAGAAAAACAAGAGGGTCACTGAGACATCTTTTATTAAATATAGAGAAGAGAGCAGAAGGAAGGACAAAAGAAGGTCCGACAAGGAAGACAGTTTGACCTTATTATATATATAAAAAGAAAAGCAGCCTATACATAGAAGAGACCTGTGTTTTCATATACCCCATCTACTAAGCATTTGATGAATTCAGGATAAAAATTTTATTTTTAAAAATCATCCCACGTAACTCATTCATCATCCCATATATAGTCAAAAACTACCTAAGAATATGGCACAGTCTAGGGACCCTTTCTCAGCATAACATTTTTAAATAATTGAAGGAAATACTTAATTTCTGTTAGAGGTTAGTGAAATAAAGATAGATTTTCCCTCCATCCCCAATAATGGAATTCCTGAAGTCTATCCATGGACCCCTTGGGGGTCCAGGTTAAGAACTCTGGGACCAAAAGAACCCTCTAAGTTGTTGATTAACTGAAACAAATACCAAAGAGTAGCTTGGAGCTAGAGTTGAAGTTCCTGAATCAGCAGGTCCCAGAGCTAAGAGGCACAGGAGAGAGGCTAAGCCACTAATTGGCTAGGCCAGGAGAAGCTCTTCAATGTGACATACATAGAGGAAATCCCGGAGCCTGGAACCAAAGGGGAATCCAATCTGAGGCCTGAAGACTCCTACAGTGAAGTCCACTCTCATACTGACATATCTTTGGTCCTGTTCATAGGGGAAGAGTGGAATACCTGAAAATGGAAGTAGAAGAGAAATGAGATACCTTTGTAAGGGAAGTCTAACTCTAGCTAAAAGGATTCATCTTCCAAAGCAAATCAACCTGGTCAGTCCCTACATAAAACCAAGGGTTTAGGCTCAGCACTGATGCTGTCTTCCCCTCTTTTGGGCTCCTATTGCTCCTGCTTCCAGAATCATTGCATAGTGGAGGAGTGTGGGAGAAAATTTCCAATTGTAATTTCTCAGCTCCTATGTAAAAGAGTGGACTTATGGGATAATTTTTTTTCAGGCAATTGGGGTTAAGTGGCTTGCCCAGGGTCACACAGCTAGTAAGAGTCAAGTGTTTGGTCTGAGGCCAAATTTGAACTCAGGTCCTCCTGATTTGGGGCCGGTGCTCTATCCACTGTGCCGCAAGGCTGTCCCCTTTATGGGATAATTATTGTCACCCTTGCCTAACTCAGTGGTGACAGGACAGCACCCAGACTCCCCAGGACCCAGAGGTAATATGGATAGACAATATGGAGGCAGGAAATTCTGGGTCTGAGTCCTCCCTTTAACCATGATCATGGGCAAGTCATTTAACCTCTGCGAATTCCTCACACATAAAATGGGGATCATAATATCAGTGGGCCCTACCTCAAAGAGCTCCTGAGGTCAAAAGAGATAAAATAGAAAATATTTGGCACATTTTTAAGCACTATATAGTTATTTACACATAATAGTAATAGTAGTTGTTATTATTAAGCAATAGAGGTGAGGAGAGGCTAAAAAAACTAGTCCCAGGAGACTTAGATCATCAGTAGTAGAACTAAGTAAGAGACATGAGTATTAATAACCAATGATTTGGGGAGATCCAGAACTCCCCCATTTTTCAAAAGTCCTGATTTGAAAACTTCAGTCTCTTGAAGGACATTATTGATAATACGATTGGACTAACCTTCTTAACAATTTTGTTCAGACCCCACCCAGGTGGGGAAGCCATTGTGCTCTCCTCAGGTTTGAGTGAGGATAAATTCTTTGAATAGATTGCCCAAGGTTGGGGTTAACTTAGAAGTAAATGACATAATCAAAGTTCATTTGAATCAGTTCATCCCCTTATTGTAATATTCACTATCTCATTAATTGTTAACCAATCAGAGTGCCACCCTTGGGAACACCCTTTTTCTAATGGGCGTATTATAAGCCATGAGCTCACAGCCATGATTATCTTTGGTCTAAAAGAGAGATGGCCAAATGACCATTCTTTTGTTAAAGTGCTGGCATCATTAATAAAATGAGAGACATAAAAAGTTATGTCTCTCAAACTGTAAAATGCCATAACAGGGACATAGATTTCCTGGTTCCCAGGCTTGCCTCTTGATTAGATAGAACTGCATAATACCTTTTCCCAACAAACACTTTAAGCTCCAGCCAGACATGGATATAGAGCAGCCCTTACCTGTAAAGGGACTGGTTGTGGATGTTCTTGGTTGGGTGATGGTAGATATTTCTGGAGTGGAAGCTAGCAGGGCAGGAAGGGTAGTTTGAAGTGATGTTGTGGCTGTACTCTTTTCACTGTGGGTCCATGGTAGATTTGATGGAGAGGTTGTCATTTCTAGGTTTAGGAGAGGGAGTGTTCTCCATCAGCCACAGAAAGAGAAGGGTGGAAAATTGTCTCACCGTGAGACACCAAGGACTTCTAGGGATTATAGTAGTTCCACCCAGCCACCCCATAACTATTTCCAGACTGGCTCCACAGCCATTGTTCAGGAGAGCAAGCCTTGTGAAGGAGGGCTCTGCCAAATGTCTCAGCAGCAGCCATGGGTGAGGAAGACCTAGAAAAGACAGCTCTCACCATCCAAGTCCTTGGCACCATCAAATGGTTCAACATCAGAAATACATATGCTTCCATTAGTGGAAATGACACTGAAGAAGATGGTTTGTTGCCATACCCTAAGAACAACTGGGCTTTTCCATCTGACTTAAAAACTCTTCTTTGTGTTATTTCCCCCATTGGAATATAAGGTCCTTGAGAACAAAGAGTGCTTTGGTTTTCTATGTATACACCTGGCACTTAGCACTAGGCCTTGCAGACAGTGAGTGCTTAATAAATGCTTTTTTGTTCAATTTTTCATTCATTCACTCACTTGTTTGTTGCTTCTGTCAGCTTCTAAAAAGTGATTCCTGGAGGTCATATGGTACACCCTTTAACCCCATAAGCCCATAAACCACCATCTGCAGATACAGATCATTGTCTTCTTAAATATTCCTAGGAAGGGCATTCCAAAAGCTTCCTTCACCCTCCTTAGCTCTAAATGCCTGACTCTCACTGTCCTTAGCCTACCTCATTCCAATGAACTAATCTGTCATTCTTTCTATCTCTATCTCTCTGTGTCTCTCTGACTCTGTCTCTCTCTCTCATAGGCTCATAGATTTGGAGCAGGAAAGGACCTTAAAGGTGAATGAGTCCATTGTTTCCTCATTTTAAAGATGAGGAAACAGAGGCTAAGAGAGATTAAGTGAATTCATCATGGTTAATAAGTGTCTGAAGCAGGATTTGAACTTAGGTCTACATGGTACCAAGTCTAACAGTCTGTCCCCTGTGCTGCCTTGTTGCCTCAAAATCGGGGGGCTTCCTCAGGTTGCAGTGACTCAAAAGTGGACATCGCAAAAAAAAAAAAAAGACAACAGAGGTCCCACTGACCTGAAGCCAGGGAGGCTGTAGCATTCTCAGAAGTCATCCAGATGGTTGTGCTAGACCGGAGAGTGCTAGGTTTGGATGTGATCCCAACAGGCAGAGTAGTGATATGACTTGGGAATGGAAGTGTCTGGTTTGCATTGACAGCGGCTCCAGAGGTCAAGGTAAGGGAGAACTGTGTGGAGGTGACTGAATCAGTGATGGTACTTGCAGAGCTAGGAGGGCTGGTGTAACTGGATGGCAATCCTGGAGTGGCAGCAGTAATCTCTGGGAATGCAGAGCTCCTGGGTGGCTGTGAAGAAGGTGCTGGACTCTCCCCAGTGGTAGGTCCTGAGGTCAATGCTGCTGTCTTCGTTGATGGTTGGGACAAGGATGATGCTGATGCAACAAGAGTAGTGTGAGGTGTGCTGCGTGGGGGGCCTGCAGAACTCACAAAGGGTACTAGCAGAGTGGTGGACCCAGAATGGGCTGTGGGAGTGGTTGTGTGCACAGGTACCTGGCTCTCAGTGGTGGGCACAGATGTGCTACTAACTGGATCATGATCCAAGGGAGGGACTGTTACAGGAAGGATTGTCTCATTGAGGGTTGTATTTGTGCTTCCCGCCTGGGAAAGGGTGCTTCTTTCTGTGGTTGTGAAGGTAGTCTGCACAGGAAAAGCTCCTGCTGTCACAGTTGTGGAGCTAAGACTGAAAGGGGAAGAAGCAACAGTCGTGACGACAACTGAAGTAGATGGTTCTGGAGAAGTACTCCCTGAAGTGGAGGAAACAGACGAAAGGGTGCTAGGAAGAGTGGAATCAGTGATCCCAGACTGAGATCTCTGTGTTGTGATCGCTGGAGCAGGGGTGGTGAATACAGCTGCGGTCGGAGCGTAGGAGCTGTGAGAGGAGGTTGATGGTGCTGGTGTTGGTGTCGGTATTGTTCCCTGAGTTTCTGTGGTTTGGAAGGTGGCTGGCTGTTGACTACTGGCTATCTGAGAAGTGGTGTTCCCTGTCAATGGATTGGAAACAGCAGTAGCAGTTTGTGTTGTCGATCCAGGAGTGGTGACAAGGCTCATGGGAGCAGGTGATGTTTGCACAGCAGGTGACTCTGTAGCGATACTGCCTGTAGTAGAGAAAACGGTTGCAGTTCCTGTTGAAACTGTGCTCCGTAAGAGGTATACTGTTGTGATACCTGGAGCAGAGGTTGTGGATTCAACTATTACCAGAGTAGAGGAGATGGCAGAGGAGGCTGTTGGTGTTGTCCCCTCAGATTCTGTGTTCTGAGAGGTGGCAGGCTGTTGAGAAGGGTTTGTGGATTCTGCTGTTGTCAGAGTGGTAGAGCTGGCAGAGGAGGTTGTTGATTTTGGTGTGGGTGTTGTCCCCTGAGATTCTGTGCTGTGAGAGGTGGCTGGCTGTTGATAAGGGGTTGTGGATTCAGCTGCAGTCAGAGTAGTAGAACTGGCAGAGGAGGCTACCGGTGCTGTTCCCTGAGATTGTGTGGTCTGGGAGGTGGCTGGCTGTTGAGAAAGGGTTGTGGATTCAGCTGTTGTCAGAGTGGTAGAACTGGTAGAGGAGGCTATGGGTAGTGTCCCTTGAGATTCTGTGCTCTGAGAGGTGGCTGGCTCCTGAGTAGGTGTTATGGATTCAGCGGTAGTCAGAGTGGTAGAGCTGGGAGAGGAGGCTGTTGATGTTGGTGTGGGTGTTGTCCCCTGAGATTCTGTGCTCTGAGAGGTGGCCGGCTGTTGAGAAGGGGTTGTGGATTCAGCTGCAGTCAGAGTGGTAGAACTGGCAGAGGAGGCTGTGGGTGTTTTCCCCTGAGATTGTGTGGTCTGGGAGGTGGCTGGCTGTTGAGAAGGGGTTGTAGATTCAGCTGTTGTCAGAGTGGTAGAGCTGGCAGAGGAGGCTGTTGGCATTGTCCCCTGAGATTCTGTGCTGTGAGAGGCGGCAGGCTCGTGAGCAGGGGTTGTGGATTCAGCTGTTGTCAGAGTGGTAGACCCGGCAGAGGAGGCTATGGATGTTGTCCCCTGAGATTGTGTGGTGTGGGAGGTGGCTGGCTGTTGGCTAGGGATTGTGGATTCAGCTGTAGTCAGAGTGGTAGACCCGGCAGAGGAGGCTATGGATGTTGTCCCCTGAGATTGTGTGGTCTGGGAGGTGGCTGGCTGTTGAGAAGGGGTTGTGGATTCAGGTGTTGTGAGGGTGGTAGAACTGGCAGAGGAGGCTGTTGGCATTGTCCCCTGAGATTCTGTGCTGTGAGAGGCGGCAGGCTGTTGAGCAGGGGTTGTGGATTCAGCTGTTGTCGGAGTGGTAGAACTGGCAGAGGAGGCTGTTGGCATTGTCCCCTGAGATTCTGTGCTGTGAGAGGCGGCAGGCTGTTGAGCAGGGGTTGTGGATTCAGCTGTTGTCGGAGTGGTAGAACTGGCAGAGGAGGTTGTGGGTGTTGTCCCCTGAGATTCTGTAGTCTCAGAGGTGGCTGCTTGTTGAGAAGGGGTTGTAGATTCAGCTGTTGTCAGAGTGGTAGAACTGGTAGAGGAGGCTATGGGTATTGTCCCTTGAGATTTTGTGCTCTGAGAGGTGGCTGGCTCTTGAGTAGGTGTTATGGATTCAGCTGTAGTCAGAGTGGTAGAGCTGGGAGAGGAGGCTGTTGATGTTGGTGTGGGTGTTGTCCCCTGAGATTGTGTAGTGTGGGAGGTGGCTGGCTGTTGAGAAGAGGTTGTGGATTCAGGTGTTGTGAGCGTGGTAGAACTGGTAGAGGAGGCTGTTGGCATTGTCCCCTGAGATTCTGTGCTGTGAGAGGCGGCAGGCTGTTGAGCAGGGGTTGTGGATTCAGCTGTTGTCAAAGTGGTAGAGCTGGGAGAGGAGGCTGTTGTACCCTGAGATTCTGTGGTCTGGGAGGTAGCTGGCTGTTGAGAAGGGATTGTGGATTCAGCTGTTGTCAGAGTGGTAGAGCTGGCAGAGGAGGCTGTTGATGTTGCAATGAGTGTTGTCCCCTGAGATTTTGTGGTCTGCGAGGTGGCTGGCTGTTGAGTAGGATTTGTGGATTCAGCTGTAGTGAGAGTGGTAGAGCTAGCAGACGACGTTGTTGATGTTGGTGTGGGTGTTGTCCTCTGAGATTGTGTGGTCTGGGAGGTGGCTGGCTGTTGAGAAGGGGTTGTGGATTCAGGTGTTGTGAGGGTGGTAGAACTGGCAGAAGAGGCTGTTGATATTGTCCCCTGAGATTGTGTGCTCTGAGAGGCAGCAGGTTGTTGAGAAGGGGTTGTGGATTCAGCTGTTGTCGGAGTGGTAAAGGTGGCAGAGGAGGCTGTTGATGTTGCAATGAGTGTTGTCTCCTGAGATTCTGTGGTGTCGGAGGTGACTGGCTGTTGGGTAGGGGTTGTGGATTCTGCTGTTGTCAGAGTGGTAGAGCTGGGAGAGGAGGCTGTTGATGTTGGTGTGGGTGTTGTCCCCTGAGATTCTGTTCTCTGAGAGGTGGCTGGCTGTTGAGAAGGGGTTGTAGATTCAGCTGTTGTCAGAGTGGTAGAGCTGGCAGAGGAGGCTGTTGATGTTGCAATGAGTGTTGTCTCCTGTGATTCTGTGGTGTCGGAGGTGACTGGCTGTTGGGTAGAGGTTGTGGATTCTGCTGTTGTCAGAGTGGTAGAGCTGGCAGAGGAGGCTATGGATGTTGTCCCCTGAGATTGTGTGGTGTGGGAGGTGGCTGGCTGTTGACTAGGGATTGTGGATTCAGCTGTGGTCAGAGTGGTAGAGCTAGCAGAGGACTTTGTTGATGTTGGTGTGGGTGTTGTCCCCTGAGATTCTGTGCTGTGAGAGGTGGCAGGCTGTTGAGAAGGGGCTGTGGATTTAGCTGTTGTTAGAGTGGCAGAACTGGCAGAGGAGGCTGTTGATGTTGCAATGAGTGTTGTCCCCTGAGATTGTGTGGTGTGGGAGGTGGCTGGCTGTTGACTGGGGATTGTGGATTCAGCTGTAGTCAGAGTTGTTGAACTGGCAGAGGAGGCTACCAGTGCTGTTCCCTGAGATTGTGTGGTCTGGGAGGTGGCTGGCTGTTGAGAAAGGGTTGTGGATTCAGCTGTTGTCAGAGTGGTAGAACTGGTAGAGGAGGCTATGGGTATTGTCCCTTGAGATTCTGTGCTCTGAGAGGTGGCTGGCTCCTGAGTAGGTGTTATGGATTCAGCGGTAGTCAGAGTGGTAGAGCTGGGAGAGGAGGCTGTTGATGTTGGTGTGGGTGTTGTCCCCTGAGATTCTGTGCTCTGAGAGGTGGCCGGCTGTTGAGAAGGGGTTGTGGATTCAGCTGTTGTCGGAGTGGTAGAACTGGCAGAGGAGGTTGTGGGTGTTGTCCCCTGAGATTCTGTAGTCTCAGAGGCGGCAGGCTGTTGAGCAGGGGTTGTGGATTCAGCTGTTGTCGGAGTGGTAGAACTGGCAGAGGAGGTTGTGGGTGTTGTCCCCTGAGATTCTGTAGTCTCAGAGGTGGCTGCTTGTTGAGAAGGGGTTGTAGATTCAGCTGTTGTCAGAGTGGTAGAACTGGTAGAGGAGGCTACCGTTGCTGTTCCCTGAGATTGTGTGGTCTGGGAGGTGGCTGGCTGTTGAGAAAGGGTTGTGGATTCAGCTGTTGTCAGAGTGGTAGAACTGGTAGAGGAGGCTATGGGTATTGTCCCTTGAGATTCTGTGCTCTGAGAGGTGGCTGGCTCCTGAGTAGGTGTTATGGATTCAGCGGTAGTCAGAGTGGTAGAGGTGGGAGAGGAGGCTGTTGATGTTGGTGTGGGTGTTGTCCCCTGAGATTCTGTAGTCTCAGAGGTGGTTGGCTGTTGAGAAGGGGTTGTAGATTCAGCTGTTGTCAGAGTGGTAGAGCTGGCAGAGGAGGCTGTTGATGTTGCAATGAGTGTTGTCCCCTGAGATTGTGTAGTGTGGGAGGTGGCTGGCTGTTGAGAAGAGGTTGTGGATTCAGGTGTTGTGAGGGTGGTAGAACTGGCAGAGGAGGCTGTTGGCATTGTCCCCTGAGATTCTGTGCTGTGAGAGGCGGCAGGCTGTTGAGCAGGGGTTGTGGATTCAGCTGTTGTCGGAGTGGTAGAACTGGCAGAGGAGGTTGTGGGTGTTGTCCCCTGAGATTCTGTAGTCTCAGAGGTGGCTGGCTGTTGAGAAGGGGTTGTAGATTCAGCTGTTGTCAGAGTGGTAGAGCTGGCAGAGGAGGCTATGGGTATTGTTCCTTGAGATTTTGTGCTCTGAGAGGTGGCTGGCTCTTGAGTAGGATTTGTGGATTCAGCTGTAGTCAGAGTGGTAGAGCTGGGAGAGGAGGCTGTTGATGTTGGTGTGGGTGTTGTCCCCTGAGATTCTGTCCTCTGAGAGGTGGCTGGCTGTTGAGAAGGGGTTGTAGATTCAGCTGTTGTCAGAGTGGTAGAGCTGGCAGAGGAGGCTGTTGATGTTGCAATGAGTGTTGTCCCCTGAGATTGTGTGGTGTGGGAGGTGGCTGGCTGTTGACTAGGGATTGTGGATTCAGCTGTAGTCAGAGTTGTTGAACTGGCAGAGGAGGCTACCGTTGCTGTTCCCTGAGATTGTGTGGTCTGGGAGGTGGCTGGCTGTTGAGAAAGGGTTGTGGATTCAGCTGTTGTCAGAGTGGTAGAACTGGTAGAGGAGGCTATGGGTATTGTCCCTTGAGATTCTGTGCTCTGAGAGGTGGCTGGCTCCTGAGTAGGTGTTATGGATTCAGCGGTAGTCAGAGTGGTAGAGGTGGGAGAGGAGGCTGTTGATGTTGGTGTGGGTGTTGTCCCCTGAGATTCTGTAGTCTCAGAGGTGGTTGGCTGTTGAGAAGGGGTTGTAGATTCAGCTGTTGTCAGAGTGGTAGAGCTGGCAGAGGAGGCTGTTGATGTTGCAATGAGTGTTGTCCCCTGAGATTGTGTAGTGTGGGAGGTGGCTGGCTGTTGAGAAGAGGTTGTGGATTCAGGTGTTGTGAGGGTGGTAGAACTGGCAGAGGAGGCTGTTGGCATTGTCCCCTGAGATTCTGTGCTGTGAGAGGCGGGCTGGCTGTTGAGCAGGGTTGTGGATTCAGCTGTTGTCGGAGTGGTAGAACTGGCAGAGGAGGTTGTGGGTGTTGTCCCCTGAGATTCTGTAGTCTCCGAGGTGGCTGGCTGTTGAGAAGGGGTTGTAGATTCAGCTGTTGTCAGAGTGGTAGAGCTGGCAGAGGAGGCTGTTGATGTTGCAATGAGTGTTGTCCCTGAGATTGTGTAGTGTGGGAGGTGGCTGGCTGTTGAGAAGAGGTTGTGGATTCAGGTGTTGTGAGGGTGGTAGAACTGGCAGAGGAGGCTGTTGGCATTGTCCCCTGAGATTCTGTGCTGTGAGAGGTGGCTGGCTGTTGAGCAGGGGTTGTGGATTCAGCTGTTGTCAGAGTGGTAAAGCTGGGAGAGGAGGCTGTTGTACCCTGAGATTCTGTGGTCTGGGAGGTAGCTGACTGTTGAGAAGGGGTTGTAGATTCAGCTGTTGTCAGAGTGGTAGAGCTGGCAGAGGAGGCTGTTGATGTTGCAATGAGTGTTGTCTCCTGAGATTCTGTGGTGTGGGAGGTGACTGGCTGTTGGGTAGGGATTGTGGATTCAGCTGTAGTCAGAGTGGTAGAGCTGGGAGAGGAGGCTGTTGATGTTGGTGTGGGTGTTGTCCCTGAGATTCTGTCCTCTGAGAGGTGGCTGGCTGTTGAGAACAGGTTGTAGATTCAGCTGTTGTCAGAGTGGTAGAGCTGGCAGAGGAGGCTGTTGATGTTGCAATGAGTGTTGTCCCCTGAGATTGTGTAGTGTGGGAGGTGGCTGGTTGTTGAGAAGAGGTTGTGGATTCAGGTGTTGTGAGGGTGGTAGAACTGGCAGAGGAGGTTGTGGGTGTTGTCCCCTGAGATTCTGTGCTGTGAGAGGCGGCAGGCTGTTGAGCAGGGGTTGTGGATTCAGCTGTTGTCGGAGTGGTAGAACTGGCAGAGGAGGTTGTGGGTGTTGTCCCCTGAGATTCTGTAGTCTCAGAGGTGGCTGCTTGTTGAGAAGGGGTTGTAGATTCAGCTGTTGTCAGAGTGGTAGAGCTGGCAGAGGAGGCTGTTGATGTTGCAATGAGTGTTGTCCCCTGAGATTGTGTAGTGTGGGAGGTGGCTGGCTGTTGAGAAGAGGTTGTGGATTCAGGTGTTGTGAGCGTGGTAGAACTGGTAGAGGAGGCTGTTGGCATTGTCCCCTGAGATTCTGTGCTGTGAGAGGCGGCAGGCTGTTGAGCAGGGGTTGTGGATTCAGCTGTTGTCAGAGTGGTAGAGCTGGGAGAGGAGGCTGTTGTACCCTGAGATTCTGTGTCTGGGAGGTAGCTGGCTGTTGAAGGGATTGTGGATTCAGCTGTTGTCAGAGTGGTAGAGCTGGCAGAGGAGGCTGTTGATGTTGCAATGAGTGTTGTCCCCTGAGATTTTGTGGTCTGCGAGGTGGCTGGCTGTTGAGTAGGATTTGTGGATTCAGCTGTAGTCAGAGTGGTAGAGCTAGCAGACGACGTTGTTGATGTTGGTGTGGTGTTGTCCTCTGAGATTGTGTGGTCTGGGAGGTGGCTGGCTGTTTGAGAAGGGTTGTGGATTCAGGTGTTGGAGGGTGGTAGAACTGGCAGAAGAGGCTGTTGATATTGTCCCCTGAGATTGTGTGCTCTGAGAGGCAGCAGGTTGTGAGAAGGGGTTGTGGATTCAGCGTTGTCGGAGTGGTAAAAGTGGCAGAGGAGGCTGTTGATGTTGCAATGAGTGTTGTCTCCTGAGATTCTGTGGTGTCGGAGGTGACTGGCTGTTGGGTAGGGGTTGTGGATTCTGCTGTTGTCAGAGTGGTAGAGCTGGGAGAGGAGGCTGTTGATGTTGGTGTGGGTGTTGTCCCCTGAGATTCTGTTCTCTGAGAGGTGGCTGGCTGTTGAGAAGGGGTTGTAGATTCAGCTGTTGTCAGAGTGGTAGAGCTGGCAGAGGAGGCTGTTGATGTTGCAATGAGTGTTGTCTCCTGTGATTCTGTGGTGTCGGAGGTGACTGGCTGTTGGGTAGAGGTTGTGGATTCTGCTGTTGTCAGAGTGGTAGAGCTGGCAGAGGAGGCTATGGATGTTGTCCCCTGAGATTGTGTGGTGTGGGAGGTGGCTGGCTGTTGACTAGGGATTGTGGATTCAGCTGTGGTCAGAGTGGTAGAGCTAGCAGAGGACTTTGTTGATGTTGGTGTGGGTGTTGTCCCCTGAGATTCTGTGCTGTGAGAGGTGGCAGGCTGTTGAGAAGGGGCTGTGGATTTAGCTGTTGTTAGAGTGGCAGAACTGGCAGAGGAGGCTGTTGATGTTGCAATAAGTGTTGTCCCCTGAGATTGTGTGGTGTGGGAGGTGGCTGGCTGTTGACTGGGGATTGTGGATTCAGCTGTAGTCAGAGTTGTTGAACTGGCAGAGGAGGCTACCAGTGCTGTTCCCTGAGATTGTGTGGTCTGGGAGGTGGCTGGCTGTTGAGAAAGGGTTGTGGATTCAGCTGTTGTCAGAGTGGTAGAGCTGGCAGAGGAGGCTATGGGTATTGTTCCTTGAGATTTTGTGCTCTGAGAGGTGGCTGGCTCTTGAGTAGGATTTGTGGATTCAGCTGTAGTCAGAGTGGTAGAGCTGGGAGAGGAGGCTGTTGATGTTGGTGTGGGTGTTGTCCCCTGAGATTCTGTCCTCTGAGAGGTGGCTGGCTGTTGAGAAGGGGTTGTAGATTCAGCTGTTGTCAGAGTGGTAGAGCTGGCAGAGGAGGCTGTTGATGTTGCAATGAGTGTTGTCCCCTGAGATTGTGTGGGGTGGGAGGTGGCTGGCTGTTGACTAGGGATTGTGGATTCAGCTGTAGTCAGAGTTGTTGAACTGGCAGAGGAGGCTACCGTTGCTGTTCCCTGAGATTGTGTGGTCTGGGAGGTGGCTGGCTGTTGAGAAAGGGTTGTGGATTCAGCTGTTGTCAGAGTGGTAGAACTGGTAGAGGAGGCTATGGGTATTGTCCCTTGAGATTCTGTGCTCTGAGAGGTGGCTGGCTCCTGAGTAGGTGTTATGGATTCAGCTGCAGTCAGAGTGGTAGAGGTGGGAGAGGAGGCTGTTGATGTTGGTGTGGGTGTTGTCCCCTGAGATTCTGTAGTCTCAGAGGTGGTTGGCTGTTGAGAAGGGGTTGTAGATTCAGCTGTTGTCAGAGTGGTAGAGCTGGCAGAGGAAGCTGTTGATGTTGCAATGAGTGTTGTCCCCTGAGATTGTGTAGTGTGGGAGGTGGCTGGCTGTTGAGAAGAGGTTGTGGATTCAGGTGTTGTGAGGGTGGTAGAACTGGCAGAGGAGGCTGTTGGCATTGTCCCCTGAGATTCTGTGCTGTGAGAGGCGGCTGGCTGTTGAGCAGGGGTTGTGGATTCAGCTGTTGTCGGAGTGGTAGAACTGGCAGAGGAGGTTGTGGGTGTTGTCCCCTGAGATTCTGTAGTCTCAGAGGTGGCTGGCTGTTGAGAAGGGTTGTAGATTCAGCTGTTGTCAGAGTGGTAGAGCTGGCAGAGGAGGCTGTTGATGTTGCAATGAGTGTTGTCCCTGAGATTGTGTAGTGTGGGAGGTGGCTGGCTGTTGAGAAGAGGTTGTGGATTCAGGTGTTGTGAGGGTGGTAGAACTGGCAGAGGAGGCTGTTGGCATTGTCCCCTGAGATTCTGTGCTGTGAGAGGCGGCAGGCTGTTGAGCAGGGGTTGTGGATTCAGCTGTTGTCAAAGTGGTAGAGCTGGGAGAGGAGGCTGTTGTACCCTGAGATTCTGTGGTCTGGGAGGTAGCTGGCTGTTGAGAAGGGGTTGTAGATTCAGCTGTTGTCAGAGTGGTAGAGCTGGCAGAGGAGGCTGTTGATGTTGCAATGAGTGTTGTCCCTGAGATTGTGTAGTGTGGGAGGTGGCTGGCCGTTGAGAAGAGGTTGTGGATTCAGGTGTTGTGAGCGTGGTAGAACTGGTAGAGGAGGCTGTTGGCATTGTCCCCTGAGATTCTGTGCTGTGAGAGGCGGCAGGCTGTTGAGCAGGGGTTGTGGATTCAGCTGTTGTCAAAGTGGTTGAGCTGGGAGAGGAGGCTGTTGTACCCTGAGATTCTGTGGTCTGGGAGGTAGCTGGCTGTTGAGAAGAGGTTGTGGATTCAGGTGTTGTGAGGGTGGTAGAACTGGCAGAGGAGGCTGTTGGCATTGTCCCCTGAGATTCTGTGCTGTGAGAGGCGGCAGGCTGTTGAGCAGGGGTTGTGGATTCAGCTGTTGTCAGAGTGGTAAAGCTGGGAGAGGAGACTGTTGATGTTGCAATGAGTGTTGTCCCCTGAGATTTTGTGGTCTGCGAGGTGGCTGGCTGTTGAGTAGGATTTGTGGATTCAGCTGTAGTGAGAGTGGTAGAGCTAGCAGACGACGTTGTTGATGTTGGTGTGGGTGTTGTCCTCTGAGATTGTGTGGTCTGGGAGGTGGCTGGCTGTTGAGAAGGGGTTGTGGATTCAGGTGTTGTGAGGGTGGTAGAACTGGCAGAGAGGCTGTTGATATTGTCCCTGAGATTGTGTGCTCTGAGAGGCAGCAGGTTGTTGAAGAAGGGGTTGTGGATTCAGCTGTTGTCGGAGTGGTAAAAGTGGCAGAGGAGGCTGTTGATGTTGCAATGAGTGTTGTCTCCTGAGATTCTGTGGTGTCGGAGGTGACTGGCTGTTGGGTAGGGGTTGTGGATTCTGCTGTTGTCAGAGTGGTAGAGCTGGGAGAGGAGGCTGTTGATGTTGGTGTGGGTGTTGTCCCCTGAGATTCTGTTCTCTGAGAGGTGGCTGGCTGTTGAGAAGGGGTTGTAGATTCAGCTGTTGTCAGAGTGGTAGAGCTGGCAGAGGAGGCTGTTGATGTTGCATGAGTGTTGTCTCCTGTGATTCTGTGGTGTCGGAGGTGACTGGCTGTTGGGTAGAGGTTGTGGATTCTGCTGTTGTCAGAGTGGTAGAGCTGGCAGAGGAGGCTATGGATGTTGTCCCCTGAGATTGTGTGGTGTGGGAGGTGGCTGGCTGTTGACTAGGGATTGTGGATTCAGCTGTGGTCAGAGTGGTAGAGCTAGCAGAGGACTTTGTTGATGTTGGTGGGTGTTGTCCTCTGAGATTCTGTGCTGTGAGAGGTGGCAGGCTGTTGAGAAGGGGCTGTGGGATTTAGCTGTTGTTAGAGTGGCAGAACTGGCAGAGGAGGCTGTTGATGTTGCAATAAGTGTTGTCCCTGAGATTGTGTGGTGTGGGAGGTGGCTGGCTGTTGACTGGGGATTGTGGATTCAGCTGTAGTCAGAGTTGTTGAACTGGCAGAGGAGGCTACCAGTGCTGTTCCCTGAGATTGTGTGGTCTGGGAGGTGGCTGGCTGTTGAGAAGGGTTGTGGATTCAGCTGTTGTCAGAGTGTAGAGCTGGCAGAGGAGGCTATGGGTATTGTTCCTTAGATTTTGTGCTCTGAGAGGTGGCTGGTCTTGAGTAGGATTTGTGGATTCAGCTGTAGTCAGAGTGGTAGAGCTGGGAGAGGAGGCTGTTGATGTTGGTGTGGGTGTTGTCCCTGAGATTCTGTCCTCTGAGAGGTGGCTGGCTGTTGAGAAGGGGTTGTAGATTCAGCTGTTGTCAGAGTGGTAGAGCTGGCAGAGGAGGCTGTTGATGTTGCAATGAGTGTTGTCCCCTGAGATTGTGTGGGGTGGGAGGTGGCTGGCTGTTGACTAGGGATTGTGGATTCAGCTGTAGTCAGAGTTGTTGAACTGGCAGAGGAGGCTACCGTTGCTGTTCCCTGAGATTGTGTGGTCTGGGAGGGTGCTGCTGTTGAGAAAGGGTTGTGGATTCAGCTGTTGTCAGAGTGGTAGAACTGGTAGAGGAGGCTATGGTATTGTCCCTTGAGATTCTGTGCTCTGAGAGGTGGCTGGCTCCTGAGTAGGTGTTATGGATTCAGCGGTAGTCAGAGTGGTAGAGGTGGGAGAGGAGGCTGTTGATGTTGGTGTGGGTGTTGTCCCCTGAGATTCTGTAGTCTCAGAGGTGGTTGGCTGTTGAGAAGGGTTGTAGATTCAGCTGTTGTCAGAGTGGTAGAGCTGGCAGAGGAAGCTGTTGATGTTGCAATGAGTGTTGTCCCCTGAGATTGTGTAGTGTGGGAGGTGGCTGGCTGTTGAGAAGAGGTTGTGGATTCAGGTGTTGTGAGGGGGGTAGAACTGGCAGAGGAGGCTGTTGGCATTGTCCCCTGAGATTCTGTGCTGTGGAGGCGGCTGGCTGTTGAGCAGGGGTTGTGGATTCAGCTGTTGTCGGAGTGGTAGAACTGGCAGAGGAGGTTGTGGGTGTTGTCCCCTGAGATTCTGTAGTCTCAGAGGTGGCTGGCTGTTGAGAAGGGGTTGTGGATTCAGCTGTTGTCAAAGTGGTAGAGCTGGAGAGGAGGCTGTTGTACCCTGAGATTCTGTGGTCTGGAGGTAGCTGGCTGTTGAGAAGGGGTTGTAGATTCAGCTGTTGTCAGAGTGGTAGAGCTGGCAGAGGAGGCTGTTGATGTTGCAGTGAGTGTTGTCCCCTGAGATTGTGTAGTGTGGGAGGTGGCTGGCCGTTGAGAAGAGGTTGTGGATTCAGGTGTTGTGAGCGTGGTAGAACTGGTAGAGGAGGCTGTTGGCATGTCCCCTGAGATTCTGTGCTGTGAGAGGCGGCAGGCTGTTGAGCAGGGTTGTGGATTCAGCTGTTGTCAAGTGGTAGAGCTGGGAGAGGAGGCTGTTGTACCCTGAGATTCTGTGGTCTGGGAGGTAGCTGGCTGTTGAGAAGAGGTTGTGGATTCAGGTGTTGTGAGTGGTAGAACTGGCAGAGGAGGCTGTTGCATTGTCCCTGAGATTCTGTGCTGTGAGAGGCGGCAGGCTGTTGAGCAGGGTTGTGGATTCAGCTGTTGTCAGAGTGGTAAAGCTGGGAGAGGAGACTGTTGATGTTGCAATGAGTGTTGTCCCCTGAGATTTTGTGGTCTGCGAGGTGGCTGGCTGTTGAGTAGGATTTGTGGATTCAGCTGTAGTAGAGTGGTAGAGCTAGCAGACGACGTTGTTGATGTTGGTGTGGGTGTTGTCCCTGAGATTGTGTGGTCTGGAGGTGGCTGGCTGTTGAGAAGGGGTTGTGGATTCAGGTGTTGTGAGGGTGGTAGAACTGGCAGAAGGAGGCTGTTGATATTGGTCCCTGAGATTGTGTGCTCTGAGAGCAGCAGGTTGTTGAGAAGGGGTTGTGGATTCAGCTGTTGTCGGAGTGGTAAAAGTGGCAGAGGAGGCTGTTGATGTTGCAATGAATGTTGTCTCCTGAGATTCTGTGGTGTCGGAGGTGACTGGCTGTTGGGTAGGGGTTGTGGAATCTGCTGTTGTCAGAGTGGTAGAGCTGGGAGAGGAGGCTGTTGATGTTGGTGTGGGTGTTGTCCCCTGAGATTCTGTTCTCTGAGAGGTGGCTGGCTGTTGAGAAGGGGTTGTAGATTCAGCTGTTGTCAGAGTGGTAGAGCTGGCAGAGGAGGCTGTTGATGTTGCAATGAGTGTTGTCTCCTGAGATTCTGTGATGTTGGAGGTGACTGGCTGTTGGGTAGGGGTTGTGGATTCTGCTGTTGTCAGAGTGGTAGAGCTGGCAGAGGAGGTTATGGATGTTGTCTCCTGAGATTCTGTGATGTTGGAGGTGACTGGCTGTTGAGTAGGGATTGTGGATTCAGCTGTGGTCAGAGTGGTAGAGCTAGCAGAGGACTTTGTTGATGTTGGTGTGGTTGTTGTCCCCTGAGATTCTGTGCTCTGAGAGGTGGCAGGCTGTTGAGAAGGGGTTGTGGATTCAGCTGTTGTCGGAGTGGTAGAGGTGGCAGAGGAGGCTGTTGATGTTGGTGTGGGTGTTTTCCCTGAGATTGTGTGGTCTGGGAGGTGGCTGGCTGTTGAGAAGTGGTTGTGGATTCAGCTGGTAGAGCTATAGAGGTAGCAGAAAACGCTGTTTGTGTGGGTGTTGTTCCCTGAGATTGTGTTTTCTGGGAGGTGGCTGGCTGTTGAGCAGGAGTTGTGGTTTCAGCTGTTTTCAGAGTGGAGGAGCTGGTGGAAGAAGCTGTTAATGCTGGTGTTTGTGTTGTACCATGAGTTTCTGTGGTGGAGCTTCCTGCTTCTTTACTAGTGCCTGACACAGAAGTGATGCTCTGTGTTATCTGACTGGAAACAGCAGGGGAACTTTGTCTTGTTGATCCAAGAGTTGTGTAAGGGCTTGTGGAAATACTTGTTCCTTGTGCAATCATGCTGTCTGGAGAAATGATAGAATTATGATGTTAATGAGGTTTCCACTTATTAGGGAAGGAATATTTTGGTCCCCCTGTGGATTTACTTATATAGACTCTACAGAAGGTGGAGCTTTAGCTGGATCTTGGAAACCAGGAGATGGAGGTGAGAAGAGAAAGTCTCCCAGCATTTGTAATATTCCCTAGAAAGCCATGGAGAAGGGAATTCAAAAATCATATGTCATCAACAGCAAGCAGTCCATAAGTCTCAATCATAACTTATATAGAAGGCATACTCTATAAGAAGCCTGATTGGAAAGGGCCGAGGCGTTGGAAAGCAGCAAATATAAGATGATGAATTTAATTTAATTCGGGACGGTAAAATGGAAGCACTGGAGTTTTTTGGGTTTGGGAGAGTTGTGGCATATTCAGATCTTCACGTTAGAAAAATCACTTTGTCTGCTGCTACGTGAAATGTAGGTTGTGGTCGGGAGAGCCTTGAGGTAGGGAGACGAATTAAGTCATTGCAATAGTCCAGGTGAGAGATTATAGGGACATGAACTACGCAGGTGGTTATTTGAATAGAGTGAAGAGGACATTTATGAGAGATATTGTGAAGGTGGAAACAATGAGATTGATGACAGATTGGCTATGTGGAATAGGTGTGAGAGCTAGGAGTTGAGGATCACATTGCAGCTGTGGGTCTGGGTAACTGGGAGCATTGTGACCTTTGCCTTTCCCAGTAGGGAAGTTAGAAAGAAAAGAGGAATAGGGAGAAAGATGATTACTTCTCTTTTGGAAACAGTAAGTTTGAGATACTTATAGAAGAAAGGGGAAGGGAAAAGGAAGGGAACAAACATTTAATAAGTGCCTACTACATCTTTACAAACATCTCATTTGATGCTCCCAACAACCTCAGGAGGTATGTGCTGTTATTGTCTCCATTTTATAGTCAAGGAAAATGAGTAAAGCTAGTAGTGCTTTTTCTAGGCAAAAGAGTATGCACAGTGTAATGCCTGTTACCATATAGTTCCAAATTGCTTTCCAGAAAGGTTGGACCCAACTCATAGTTCTACCAACAGTGCATTGGTTTGCCTGTGCTCTCCCATAGCCCCTCTAATTATAATTGTCCCTTATTTCTATATATCTTCCAATCCGATGTGTGTGAGGTGGAACTTCAGAGGTGCTTAAATTTACATTTCTTTGATTATTAATGATTTGGAACATTTTTCATAAAATTGTTGATAGTTCGAATTTCTTCCCTTGAGAATTTCCTATTCATATTCTTTGACCATTTATCTATTAGAGAATGACTGTTTTTATTATATAGTTGTATCAATTCCCTATATATTGTAGATCACAGTCATTTATCAGAGAAATTTGCTCTAAAGATTTTCCCCTGTTTACTGCTTTCCTTAAAATTCTAATTGTATTGATTTTATTTGTGTAAAACCTTTTGAATTTTGTATGCTCAAAATTGTATATTTTATGTCCTGTGATCCTCCATCCCTCTTTTTTTCTGTCACTAACCTTCTCTCTATCCATAATTATGAAAAGTATCTCCTTTCATTCTCCTCTAATAAATTTATAAATAATCCTTCATATCTATCCTAAATCCATTTGGGGCTTACTGTAGTATAAGATGTGAGATCCTAATTTCTCTCAGACTACTTTCTAATTTTTCCCAGAAGTTTGTGTTGAAGAGTGAATCATTACCTCAGGTATTTATGTTCTTGATTTTGTCAATAACTATGATGCTGTGTTCAATTTCTTATGGATTTTGTGTACTGAAAATGTTCTCTTGTTGATTTTTCTGTTTTATTAAATAAGTGCAATTTGTTTTGGTGACTACTGCTTTGTAGTACGGTTTTAGATGTGGTACTACTAGACCCTGTATTCCCACTTTTAAAACTTATTTTCCTTTAAATTCTTGACATTTTGCTCTTCCAGATGAATTTTGTTATAATTTTGTCTAGTGCTATAAAGCAATCCTTTCATAGTTTGATTGGTATGGTACTGAATCTGTAAATTAATTTAGATAGTATTAGCATTTTGTTATATATCACATATATTTATTTATTATAGCTTTAATACCTTAAAAACTGCACTAAGACTTTTGGGACACATGGTATTAATACTGCGCAACCACAAGCAATTGATTCCTCCTAATTATTTGCCTCTACTTATTTTATATATATAAGGGTATGGGGGAATCATCCATTTTTAACAGCAAGATCAATGACTTATATGGGGATCTTGTTCACAACTGTCTCTTGTTCAATGAAACTATTTCAGTTCAACAAATAATAGGTGGTGGAGTGAAAACAACACTGGACCTGGAGTCAGGAAGACTCTAGTTCAAATCCAGACTTAGATAGTCGATGGCTATGTGTCCATAGGCAAGTCACTTAACTTCTATTTGCCTCCATTTCCTCATCTGTAAACAGGAATAATCATAGCACCTGCCTTCCAGGTCAGATAAATTAGGGAAGATAAAATTAGATAGTATTTGTAAAGTGCTTTGCAAACCTTAAGGTGAAATATAATTGCCAGCTATTATATAGAGATACAATATATGTATGTAGAGATATAGAGATATATAAAGCAAGGATCCTGTCACCAAGGATCTTACAAACTAATTGAGGTGGGGGGGAGTGGAGACGTGTCATATATATATATATATATATATATATATATGTATGTATTTTATATACATATATATATAAAATATGTATTATACATATATAGTCTTCTCTAATGGTCTCATTGATGGAAGAATGAAGAGCCTATTGAATGATGGAAAAAATAATAATGTCAGAGTCCAAAGACCTGGGTTCCGGAGCTGGTACAGTCTTTTACTATGTGACCGTGGTCAGGTTGTTTGAATTCTCTTTGCCTTGGTTGTCTTTTCTAGAAAATGGAGGTTATAATATCTGTCCTACCCACCTTGATTGTAAGGAAAGTGCTTTGCAAGCCACGAATTACTACAATATTTTAACTTTTATTATTACCTAAGCTTAAGAAATCTTTAACCTGGCTACCTTTTTAAAAATTTGTCCTCTTTGTTGGGTGATGATGTGTGTCTGTTTGATTGTCATCTTTGGGACTGCAATGTTGCCAGGGACAGGGGTATTGATAATAGACGTGATTAGACGTAGAAAAGAGGACTGGACTTGTAGTCAGAAAATCTGGGTTTGAATTTCCATCTGACTCTTCCATTTACCAGCTTTGAGCCAGTCATTTAACTATCCCATGCCTCGGTTTCCTCATTTGTAAACTTGGGCTAATCCCATCTCACTTGCCTATCCAATGAGATATTTGCAGGCCCTTAAATGCTTCTTCCCTTCTGCCCTTCCCCTATCTATCTAATGCGTTGCAATGAGAAGCAAAAGAGAGGTTAGTATGAGGTGTTTGACAAACAGTGGAACTCTGTATAACTGTTACTGTTTCCTCTGTGTTGACTAGTCTATTGTTGATCTTGGTGTGGAGCCGTCATAAAGGAATGTGTAGTCAGTGTACTGATGGGTGGGGTGGTTATAGGCTTTGTTCTCAACATTATTCGCTCCAGGTAGAGAAGTCACGCATGCAACCTGAGAGGTCATAGAGCCCAAACCCCTCATTTTTGGCTGCCTCGCTGAGCTAGACTGTAGGACTTGGAGTCAGGAGGCATGAATTCAAACTCTGCCTGAGACCCTTAATTATGTGGCCCATGGGCAAATCACTTAACCTGTCTCAGCCTCTCTTTTCTCATCTATAAAATGAAGATAATAATGGAACCCATCTCGCTGGGCCAAATGAGATTACATGTAGAGTGCTCTGCAAATCATAAAGCACTATGTAAATGTCAGCTGGTGTTGTCCTTGCTGTTCTTTTACAGATGGAAAAAAATAAGAGGTAAATTGACTTGCCACAGGTCACACAGCTATGAAGAAGCGGAGCCAAGTGTGTTGGCTCCAGAGCTCCTGATGCCACCCTCAGGGCTCCAGTGTCCTGCACGCACAGAATGTACAGCTTCCTCACCTTCATTCAATCAACCAATAAACACTTATCGAGTGCCTACTATGTACCAGGCATTGAGCTAAGCTAAGGGATACAAAGAAAAGCAAAAGAACTATCCCTGCCCTCAAGAGGCTTACAGTCTAACAGGGGAGACAATACATAAGAATCTGAAAAGTGAGGGTGGGAGAAGGTTATTGGGGGGGGTCAGGAAGGGGGCACTTTTCAATCTAAAAATCCTTAGTTTCCTTCCAGATTCAGCTTAGGTTATACCTCCTATTTCTCCTGATCCCTTCTTAGTTGGGAGCACATACTCCCTCCTCAGATCGCCTTGCACTTACTTATGTATAAAGGTATCACTCAGGAGCAGCTAGGTGGTGCAGTGGATAGAACACTGAGCCTGGAGTCAGGAAGTCTCATCTTCCTGAGTTCAAATCCAGCCTCAGACATTTACTAGCTGTGTGACCCCGGACAAGTCACTTAACGCTGTTTGCCTCAATTTCCTCATCTGACAAATGAGCTGGAGAAGGAGATGGCAAACCATTCCAGTACCTTTGCCAAGGAAAACCCCAAATGGGGTGGTGAAGAGTCAGACATGACTAAACAACAAAAATCACGCAGTAGAATGTAAGCTCTAAAAAACAGGGACTGCTTTTCATTCTGACGTTGAATTCCCTCATAATGCCTAGCACATAGCAGGGTCATAGCATAACAGCTGTGAAGCTGGGAGGGACCTTAGGGGTCATCTAGCCCGAGCCCCTCGTTTGACAGAGGGCCACACTTGCAGTAAGGGGCAGAGCTTAGGCCTCCAACTTACTCCTCTGACTCCAGAGCTAGCTCTTTTCCCCCTGTGCCAGGCTGACTCACTTTAATAATCCTTATCACTTACTTGCTAGCTGTTTTCATAGAGGAAACAAGAGCTGTAGCTAACACTAAGACTGTTGGCTGAGCTTTTGTTCTCCATTTATTTTTCTTAAATTGTTCCTGGAACTGCAGGTGATGAATCTGGGCAGCCTCACCCGGTGTGTTCTTGGTAATACCCTGATTTATCTCTTGTTATTTCCTCATCTGTGGTGGTGAAAGCAAGGAGGCTATCCTGAGGGAAGCGTATAGACTTCAGTGGTTGCCTCCCCAGATATACCCCCATTTTTATGAAAACAAAATTGTGTCCAAGACAACAAGGGAGAGAGACCTCCCTCACTTTTTACTTGGTTCTGGGGAGATTATGGCTTTTTATGGCTCAGGTCTCTCTCTCTCTTTTTTTTTAATACTAGCTGGCAAAACCAAGTTTAAAAAGCATTTATTAAGCACCTAGATTGTGCTAAATGCTGCTGCTATCCTGAATCCCGCCTAACAGTCTCTGTAATTGGTCACAAAAGTCCCTGGTTTGGGGTTATAACTTTGATTTACTACTTCCTAAGGAGAAGCAATGTAGTGTTATAGTAAATGGAGAGCTGATCTCTGAGACAGAAAGACCTGGGTTCATTTGTCTCTGTTGCTTATTGGCTGTGTGACCCTAGGCAAGTCACTTAACCTCTTAGGGCTCTAGGCAACTCTCTAAGACAGGACTGGATTCAGATCAGGGTCCTTTGACTCCAAGTCCACTGTACCTTTATCTCTTTTGAGCGCTGAAATTCTATACATTTTAATGGACTATCATCACTGTCCAGTCCATTTATATGAGACTCTCCTCAGTGGTGGAGAATGATTACTTGATATCTGCCTGTGATGAGGGAGGCAAAGTTGGCAAGAGCTTGGGAGGGGAGAGATTCTTGTTCTTCTGGCTTCTTATTAGAGTCTTTCTTTAAGGGCCTGTCCCTGAAGAAAGCCTGGAACTGGGTATGTCTTCTCTTCAAGCTGGAAGCCAGAAAAAATAGGATCTCTTCTTGCCTGAGGTTGTTTTGTTTCTTTTTTTAGATTTATTAATCTATTTATTTTTAGTCTTCAACATTTCACTTCCACAAGATTTTGAGTTCCAAATTTTCTCCCCATCTCGTCCCTCCCCTCTACCCCAAGATGGCATGCATTCTGAATATCCCTTCCCCTAATCTGCCCTCCCTTCTATTTCTACTGCCCCTTCTCTTATTCCCTTCCCCTTCAATTTTCCTGTAGGGCAGAATAGATTTCTATATCCCATTGCCTGTATATCTTATTTCCCAGTTCTTGCCTGAGTTCTTGCCGAACTCTACCCCTACCAGAGTGATAGAGTATTGGGTAATCATTCTCCACCAAGAAGATAGTATTATAATATATAGTCAAATAGTTGAGCCCCAGGTTCCACAACTTAAGAAATAATATAAGATAGGAATTCAGAGAAGTCTGGGAAGACTCTTATGAATTGATGCAGAATGAAGTAAACAGAGCCAGGAGAATGTTTTATCTGATAACTACAACATCATAAAAGAAAACACCTTGTGAAAGCTTTAAGCTGTGATCAATTCAAAGATCAATCACAGCTCTAGAGGGATGACTGATAAAACCTGTTTCCCAGCTCTTGGCAGACAAGCAGTGTATTAGAGTGCAGGGTGGGACTTACTTACATTTTCAGACACTGCTAATGTGTGAATTTGTTTTGCTTCAATGTATTTATTTGTTGAAAGGGAGGACTTTCTTTTTTTAATGGAGGAGAGTTGTGAGGGGAAATAAGGGGATAGTGTTAATCATTTTGCCCTCCAAAAAAAGAGAAAGAAAAGATTATTAATGAAATCTTCATGTTTGTCAAGTTCAAAATTTTTTAATTGTAAAAAAAGCCAAAAGAAATGCTATGGATTTTTCTGACAAAATACTACATTTCCCAACTACAACTTTGGTGTTGTAGATTGATTAATAAATCACTGTCAAATTTTTTTGTCTATTTTTTTTTTTGATGAGGCAATATGGGTTAAGTAACTTGTCCAGGGTCACACAGCTAGTAAGTCTCAAGTATCTGAGGCCGGATTTGAACTCAGGTAATGTCTAATTTTTTTTTTAATGTAAAACAGTTGCATTGGTAGAAAGGTTTTTTTTTAAACCAAGAGTTTCCTATATTGATGAAAACATAGGTCAAGACTAAATAATAAAAGAGTAGCTCAGTCTTTAAGCGATATTTGTCACTTGACCAATTGTTCTTCCTGCTGTGGTAATGTTAGAGATGAAAGAGGTAATGATTGTCACTTTCTCTTCTGTGCTATTTAACTATTATTGTTGGAGGTGTGGCTTTCAAGAGATTTGGGTTGTGACTTTTAATAGGATTCAACAGTGTGACAAGTCTGCCCCTGAGTCCTTCATTTTTGAAGAGAACCGATGACATCACAGACTATGAGCAAGGGTGAGAATTCCAGAGGCAGATTTTGGTTCAATATAAAGAAAAACTTCTCAGTGATTACAGTAGTTCAAAAGCAGAGTGCGCTGCTTCAGGGGTGGTGCATCAGCTGTCACTAAAAGTCTTCAAGCAAATGCCATTTGGAACCTTTTCAGGCATATTATAGAGGGGATTCCTGTGCAATAATAATAACAACTATTATTTGTATAGCACTTTACACTTTTGCAAAGTGTTTGACATATTCTATCTCATTTGATCCTCACAACAACCCTGTGAGGTGTTATTATTATTATTATTATTATTATATTATAATAGATTATTGTTACAGATCAGGAAACATGTTAAAGAAGCTAAGTGACTTGCCCAGAATGACACAGCTACTAAGCATCTGGGGCAGGATTTGTACTCAGGTCTTTCTGACTCCAGGTCCAACATTATGCTACCTAGCTGCCCTGAGTGTTAGACTAGGCACTAGACGATTTCTGAATTACCTTCCAACTCTGAGGTTCCTTTTCTAGGAATGAGGGATGCAGCCCACACCATCCTACTGTAGCTTGAATCAGCTGCGGAGGATGGGATTATAAGTAGTGTTCCCTCTGTTTTGGAGACTACTGTTTCAGAGGCTACCCTTAGAGGGTTTGGCGTTATTGCTAGAGATGCTGATACCGGAGGAATGATGCTGGCGGAAACTGGCATGCCGGCAAGGCACGTCGGACAGCCAAACAGCTTGAACAATTGTACTGATAAAGGAGAACACCCACCTATATAGCAACAAACACGATACAGAACCCACAGGGAGTTTTCCATATGTTGGTTGGTTACTCTCTCCAGTGGAAGTATGTTGAGTACGAGACTCTTTCTGAAGTCTTTGCTTGGTTGTCTCCCTCTTTTGCAACTCTTTGGTGCCTCCCCCTGCCCCCACCTTATTTCATCTTTGGTGTCTGTCCTTCCTAGACCTTAGCACAAGATGGATTATTTTCAGAAAAACAGGGTTTTGAGGTGAAGCTCTACATTACGTCTGTGGTTCTCAAGACTTGCCCTCAGGATGATAAGAAGAGCCTCAGATAATTGTTATGTTGAACATGCCGCCTAGACCATTTTGGGAAGGTTTATTATCACTGATTTGCCCTTATCAAAGTGCTGGTACCCAGTCAATGGGGAGGTGCCAAGCTTAGCTACAACACAGAAAACTACAAGTAAGGGAAAAAAACCAATACAACGCATGACTCCCCTAGTCCCCCAACAGGGGACATGTAGGTAGTAGGTTGAGGAAAGAAGGGAATCTATGTAACTGATAAGATGTATATAAAACAATCAAGGATTACTCAGAGAAAAGTCAAAGGATCAGTGTGTAGCAGCCAAGATTAGATAACATAAATTTGTAGTGGGCACAGTCGACATGGTTGGCAAAGGCAAACGGTGGGTACCTATCCAGGGTTGGAGTTTAGAAAGAAATGAGAAGAGGTGGGACAAGAGGGCAAGGGATTCAAGGATGGAGGAGAGGGTAAAACTAGACTGGTTTGCGATTGGGTGAAGATTTCAGATGGAGAAAATTAAGGCCAGAACAGGGATAACAGACTGGGAAGGCAGGGAGGGTAGAGTGATTGGAAGGTGTTATTAATACAAGAGAAAACAAGTTTAGGAGGATTAAGTAAAGCCGCAAGGAGAGGTAGAACAATAATGCCTGTCCAGTTTTCCTCTTTCTCTCTCTGTCTCTCTCTCCCCAAATTCCCTCTCCTCCCCATTCCTCTCCTCTCCTCCCCATTCCTCTCCTCTCTTCTCCCCTCAGATCACAAATGAAATTTCAGACTCTGCATTGACTGATGATCCATTTCTTGGTAACCTATAACCCTTTCCATGGCCTCAGAATAATACTCCTAAAGTCACTTACATTGTGCTTTAAAGTTTGCAGAGCACTTTCCATATATCCTCTCATTCGATCCTCGCAACAACCCTGGGAGGAACGTACTGTAAGTATTATTATTGTTGTCCCGTCATTTTTTCAGTCATGTCCCCCTTCATGACCCCACTTGGGGTTTTCTTGGCAAAGATGCTGAAGTAGTTTGCTATTTCCTTCTCCAGCTCATTCTATAGATGAGGAAACTGAGGCAAATAAGGTTAAGTGACTTGCCTAGGGTCACACAGGAATCTTCCTGACTCCAAGCCTAACACTCTATCCACTGTTCGTCCTAGCTGTCCCTAATACTACAGGTATTAGCACCTCCATTTTACAGATAAGGAAACAGGCTTAAGTGAGGTTAAATGAGTTGCCCACCTTCACCCAGCTAGTAAGGGTCAGAATCAGGATTTGAATCCAGGTCTACTTTATCCCAAGTCCATGCTTTCTGTCCAAAAGCCACTTGAGTCTCGGGATCTCTTAGATTATGATATTTCTTGGGCGGGGGGTTTGGGAGTTTGGGTCAAGGTAGTGAGGAGAGAGGAATGAACATATCCAGAATCCAGAAGATGCAGAGATCCAGAGTAGGGAGGGTCTAAACAGTCAGGTGAGAAGAAAAGTAATGGTGGTGTGAATCTTGTGTTGATTTCCCTAGTGCTGGCTTCTACTTGTGAACACTGCCTATGATCTATGGATTGATTGTTATGCCTTTGTAGTGATTTACATTTATTTTTTATTTACACAGCTCATCATTAGATTATTTCTTCTAAGTATATCCAGTAACATGGGTGTGATAAACTGACACTACCCACCTTATTTGCTCAGCCAACAAGCATTTATGGGTCCCTCATTGTGCTAGGTGTTGGGATACGAATACAAAGAATGATTCAATTCCTTTTCTTAGAGAACTTAGATTCTATTAGAGAACAGCACATTGTGAGGAAAGTACTAGTAAGTAAGCATGAGTTACTACCTAATTCAACAAATATTTAATAATCATTAAAAGCACTTTTCTTTTGAAGTTTAAAATTGTGAGCTACATCTAATTACCTTGATAATAAAGATTAAGACTGTACAAATTGAGCAATGATCAATAACAATATTCAGTTTATAAATGCCTGACTCATGAGTGCCCCCTCCAAGACAGCTGCCGTGTCTGCTTCGCCCTCCTGCTCTCCCCTCCCCAAGCCTTCTCTTCTCCAGGCTAAACATCTCCAGCTGCTTTATCCAGTTGTCCTGTGACATGGTTTCCATTCCCTTTTCCATAATGATCCCCTTCCTGTGGATACACTGTAGCGTGTAGGGATCCTTTTCATATGGTGGTACCCAGAACTAGACAAAATGTTTCAGGCATGATCTGACGAGAGCCCGGTACAACAGAACCATCACTTCCCTTGTTCTGTACTCCTTTTTTTTTTTTGGCAAGGCAATGGGGTTAAGTGACTTGCCCAGGGTCACACAGCTAGTAAGTGTCAAATGTCTGAGGCCAGATTTGAACTCAGGTCCTCCTGACTCCAGGGCCAGTGCTCTATCCACTGTGCCACCCAGCTTCCCCCTATCCTCTGTACTTCTATTTATGTTGCCAGAGATCTCAGTTCCTTTGAGCACCACATCACCGTGTTAATTCATGTGGAACAAGAAATTCCAGTGGAACCTCTAGGCCTTTCTAAAAGTGAGCTATTTTCTAGCTAATCCTATGTCACCCAGCACATAGAGTTAGTTTTTTAAAGCCAAGACTAGGACTTTACACTTCTGTTTTTGTTGAGTGGTTTTCAGTCATGTCTAATTCTTTGTGATCCCATTTGGGATTTGCTTGGCAAAGATATTGGAGTGGTTTTCCATTTCCTTCTCCAGCTCATTTGACAGATGAGGAAACTGAGGCAAGCAGGGTTAAGTGACTTGTCCAGGGTAACACAGCTAGTAAGTGTCTGAGGCTAGATTTGAACTCAGGTCTTCCTGACTCCAGGCCCAGTGCTCTATCCACTGTTCCACCTAGCTGCCCTGGACTTTACACTTAATGCTATTAAATATAATTTTCTTGGCTTCAACCCCATCATTCCAGCCTATCAAAAATATTTGGATCCTGTTTCTGTCATTCACTCTGCTAGTTGTTCTCTCTGATAACTCTCTGAATTTTGTGTCATTGGCAAATTTGCTGTTTAGCAGCAAATATCATTTATTCCTTTAAATCACTGATAAAATGTTGAACAGAAAAAAGCCAAGGACAGATCCTTGGCATGCTCCAATAAAAGCCTCCTCATCATAGGTTTTGAAAGGAGCTAGGTGGCACAGTGCATACAGTGCCAGTCCTGGAGTGAGGAAGACTCAATTTCATGAGTTAAAATCAGGCCTCAGACACGTGTCTGAGCAATGTGACCTTGGGCAAGTCACTTAACCCTGTTTGCCTCAGTTTCCTCATCTGTCAAATGAGCTGGAGAAGAAAATGGCAAACTACTCAGTATCTTTGCCAAGAAAACCCCAAATGGGGTCACGAAGAGTTAGACATGACTGAAAACTACTGAATGACAACAACCTTCTAGGTTGATCCCAATGGTTTATTAGTCAGCTTTCTTCTGTTGCCTTCATCCAAACAACCCTAAATCCACGTAATTGCACCAACATCCACTTTAAAAGCTTATGAGAGATTTTGTCAAATTCTTTCCTGAAGTCAGATATACCATATCCATGGCATTCCCTTGATCTGCTGATAGAATAATGCCATTAAAATAATGGAAATCAAATTTGTCTGTTGTGAATTGTCTTTAATGAATCCGTGATGAATCCTAGGGATCAACTTTTGCTTTTTTTAAATGCTAACAAGGCACAGTTGATTTGGGGGTTAGGACGACCTGGATCCAGTTCCTAACCCTGACACAAATTGATGGTTTGATGTGAAGTTACTTAACCCTTAGTGCCCCCAGGCAACTTTCAAGGTTTCACGGTATAAGGAGAAGGGAACAAGCATTTATTGAGCACCTACGCTATGCCAGCCACTGTGCTAAGCACTTCACAAATATTACCTCATTTGATTCTCACAACAACCCTGGGAGATAAGTGTTGTTATTATTTCCATTTTGCAATTGATGAAAATCAAGCAGAGAGAGGCTAAGTAACTTGCCCAGGGTCACATAGATGGTTAAAGTGTCTGAGGTCTGATCTGAACTCAGGTCTTCCCAAGTCCAGATCCAATGCTCTATGCACCATGCCAGCTGGTTATATAAATAGCAGAATAGTTGATGATCTGAATTGGTACAGTTCATAAACAGTTTTTTATACCAATTGTGGGACTGGATCAAAACAGAAAAAAATTACTTAAAAACTATTCCTTTTCATGATGAAAAGTGCTATACCTCCATAGAAAGAATTGCTGGCATCTAAATACAGACCAAAGCATACTGTTCTTTCTTTCTTTCTTTCTTTCTTTCTTTCTTTCTTTCTTTCTTTCTTTCTTTCTTTCTTTCTTTCTTTCTTTCTTTCTTTCTTTCTTTCTTTCTCTCTCTCTCTCTCTTTCTTTCTTTCTTTCCTTCTTTCTTTCCTTCTTTCTTCCTTTCTCTCTTCCTTTCTCTCTTCCTTTCTCTCTTCCTTTCTCTCTTCCTTCCTCTCTTCCTTCCTTCCTTCCTTCCTTCCTTCCTTCCTTCCTTCCTTCCTTCCTTCCTTCCTTCTTTCCTTCCACAAAATGACAAATAAGGAAATGTTTTCCATAATTGCATATGTATAGCGTAATCTGTTAGCCACATTGTTTACCATCTCAGGGAGGGTGGAAGGGAAGGAAGGATAGAACTTGGAACTCAAAACTTAA